TAGTACAGTCGGCTACCATGCACAGCCACTGAGATGGGAGAATTGCATAAATACGTGCGGTGGATAGCGGCATGCAGTTAAATATACGGACACAACCAGGTCCGCAGCTCTCGGCATATAATGCCTGGAGACCCTGCAGTCTAGAGACCCTGCACCTGCAGTCTGGAGACCCTGCAGTCTGGAGACTCTGCACCTGCAGTCTGGAGACCCTGCACCTGTAGCCTGGAGACTCTGCCCCTGTAGCCTGTAGACTCTGCACCTGTAGCCTGGAGACCCTGCACCTGCAGTCTGGAGACTCTGCACCTGCAGCCTGGAAAGATACACAATTGGATAAATTTAATTAGTTTGGTAATGTTTTACTCTGTTTTAACCTGTTTCCTGATTGATGTATTTTTATCAGTCGCCTCCTGTCAGAATGGCCTTACTTGTTTGCAAGTCATTGGGGGTTACTTGACTGGATAGTTTTTTTTATGAGGTTTAAATGTTGTAAACGCAAAGATTAACTGGTTTGGGGATATTTCGTAAAAAAAAGTATTGATTAATCATTTATTGGTAAAGAATATAGCTTTCTCTGAAAACAGGCATTTAAATGTCAAACTTCAGCAAAGAAACGCTGCCCTGGTGGCTTGTTTACAGGTGTTAGGCATGCAGTCACGGTGCTTTTGCATACTAACAACCAATAATTTAGGAAAAACAGTTTAAATGCAATTATTTGCAAGAAAATCACACCTCTAATGGATATTACAATGGAACAGCGCCCCCTAGTGTAAATTCGCTAACGTGTTTCCTGGAATTTTAACCCAGAGAGCATCGGGTTCAACGGCAGAAATTCAACCCGCTACGCGGTACCAATCTTCCGGTTATTGAGTCTGCGTCGTTTATGACATCGGTTTACATTTTTTTATACGCATTGTTTCTGCAAAACATTTAAAATATATATGTCGTTCGAGTTTACTTTGTTTTGATTCAAATTAGCAAAAACAAATTGCGTCGAAAAGTTAGACTTGAACTCGTGACTCACAGGCCCGCGTAAGCCCCCCTTCTAAACCACCGTGAACAGTGACGATGCTAAGGCAGTCGTGGTTCTGCTTAACCTGGGGTGCACGCTGAACCCCCTAAAATACGAGATGCCATTTGTGGGAGTGCGAGACATGGCCAGATTTTTTCGAAAGGTAAATCATCGACAACACAAATGAATCACGGCGCACGCAAGCACAGCTACTTTGCTTCATCAAACCCTGTGTACGCTTTACGATTGAGAGCCAAAAGGCCGCTGTAAAAAAAAGATTAATAATCGTTGTGCTAATGGCTCCCACGTGGTGCAGTGACTGCACCGTGCGCGCGTGGATGTGTAACTCAATAATGACGTCACATAGAACAAACACGTCATTGCGGTTGTGACGCATGTACGGCAATCGCGCGTGTTAACATTGCGTTGAAAGGACATTATTGTAATGCAGAGCACTGCATTAAAATGATAATTTTACTGAGTTAAAGATTAAGATTGGGATTCGAACCCAGGTCAACCATTATCACAGGCAGACATTCCATCCGCTACGCTACCAAGGTTTTGTGGAGAGAGCAAATGGCCTGCTTGTAAAGTTATTGTTATTATGTCGTTGTATTATCAACATTGATATATATACTCGTGCGTCATGTAACCCTGAGCTTTTGATCTACATGCGTTATTGAACTGAATAATAAAAGAGGTGTATTTCTAATTTAATACTGCGGATTTGAGCCAAGAGTCCTGGAACTCACAGTCACACGCCCCCCTCCCCCCTCCCGCCTGGCCACTATTGTGTTTCTTCGTGTGGATGTACACGGAGACCCTTGAATATCGCTGTTTTGGCTTTCGCGGAACTTTCCAAGAACGTAACCCCCGCGATACTCAAGGCTCCTGTGTATTGACAAATTTTCGACTCTTGCTAAACACCCAACAAAAAACAGCAGATGCCACCGTTGTCAGTTTTAATCCGTGATCATCAGATCTTGCCCAACGCCACCGCTATGCAATAACTGGCACGGATCGGGGTGCCTCCTTCCTAAAGTCAACGGCTACATTCCTCGAATTGCTTGGTCATGTTGCTTGTGGGCACGCAACCCCAATCGATGGACCACGTCGTCCACCACTGCAGTTTGTACTCCTTCAACACGGGCGGAGAAGGGAGGAGGAACTTCAAACCGACACGAACCGTTCTGCCGAAGCCCCCTCGTCTTGGCAACAAGACCTCGACATTCGCGTTCAGCTCCTGAAAGGGCCCCCCCATTGCTGCCACCAAGACGAGAGTGTAAAATATTATTTGAAACCTATCTGCGTGACTTCACCGAAAGACTCAAAGAATATGAAATCCCGCAGGACACGACAACTTTTAAGTTGAGAATGTAAATGTCACCTGCGACATTGGCAACGAGACAAAGCCCGGCTGTACGCCAACGCAAGTGATGATAACTATGGTCGGTAAGGAAGGTCCACGCGGTCTAGTAACATACAGCAGCAGCACTGGCAAACTTGCACGGCTGAGCAAGCAGATAAGTGAACTTGACAAGCCAACGAACGCATGCCTTCCCCTTTCAAGGGTTCATGGTTCATTCTTGATTTGAAGCTTTCGTGACTGCAGGAATACATACTCTTTGGTTTATTTCGGTAAAGTCACGTAGGTAGAAAATAAAAAAAAATAATCACGACGTTTCGATCGCAACACAAGCGGTCGTCATCAGGCGGAAAAATATATATAATCCAGGAGTGGAACTGCAGTAGAACTGCTGGATTATATTCTCCGGATTGTAAGACGCTCCGGGAAGAAGGGCGCATCCCAAATAGGTGCCTGGGAGTCTGGAAGTCGATGCAAATCTGGTCACTTACCGACCGGATTATAAGACGCACCCCCCCAATGTGTAATACTTATTTTTACTACGGGTCCAGGTGTATGTGTCTTTATAGCCTCGGTTTGTGGGCTCATTGTCCCGAGTCTCCTCTGCGTGCAGTGTTCATGGCGCGGCGCGCTTTTTGACGGTGTGTTTAAGTGCACCGTGGAACACCATCTGATAAGGGTTTTTTTATAGTAATGGGTTTTACCCTTTTGACTGGCACAAAAAACTGACACCTTTATTCAAGGCATTATGTTTGCAATAACCACAACACAAGCAGTCAAAATGCAAACAAAAGAGACAACTCTGATAATAATATGCACTGTCCTTGAAATTGATTGGTCCACACCCGAGACGGCTTTTCTTAGAGCCTAGTCTCCACTGGTGTTGGACCAGAAGACGCCAAAAGGCGTACAACTCAAAAACAGCGCACTATCAGAGTATTGAGGGCTCGGGGTGAGCATTTACATTATGAGACCTCCTTTGCCAGTAACAAGATATAGTAATAGGTTTTACCCTTTTAACTGGCACAACAAAAACTGACACCTTTATTCAATGCATCATGTTTGCAATAACCACAACACAAAGCAGTCAAAATGCCTTTTGGCGTCTTCTGGTCCAACACCAGTGGAGACTAGGCTCTAAGAAAAGCCGTCTCGGGTGTGGACCAATCGAATTCAAGGACAGTGCATATTATTATCAGAGTTGTCTCTTTTGTTTGCATTTTGACTGCTTGTGTTGTGGTTATTGCAAACATGATGCCTTGAATAAAGGTGTCAGTTTTTTTGTGCCAGTTAAAAGGGTAAAACCTATTACTATATCTTGTTACTGGCAAAGGAGGTCTCATAATGTAAAAGGGGTTTTTTCTTCATTTTAAATCAGGCTACGTAAGTATTTTTTGAATCCCCTTTATATAATTAGAGCTACAGTCTGGTCTCCTATAACACGGTCATTGCTTCCCTGAAGAACACCGCGTTATGTAAAAATCGCGTTATAATAAATAATATGTAACGTAGGGGGTGAAGCACAGTCCGCGATAACGCGTGAGACGCATAACGCAGGGCTGAACAAAGACCCGAGGCGCGTGGGTGGCATCTCGAAGCATCCAGCAGCATCCCAGTGCCTCGTGCGATGCTACGCCGAGGCAGCCGTACGACCGCTTACTCCGACTCGCGCGACGCAGTTCCGTTCGCTCGATCGCGTTATATCCAATTCGCATCCGCGTTATAAAAACACGTGCTCCCTAATTACATTCATCATCGTGTCCCCTAATTACATTCATCATCGTGTCATATCCAATTGGCGTTATAGGAGAACAGACTTATTATATTGTGTAACTTAGATTATATCGATGTAATAATGTTATTTGTGAAGCGCTCCGTGTCGACTGTGTTAAACAATTATGCGAGTTCACCCAGGAAGGCGTCTCGCGACTTTCTCGGAACTCCTGCCAAGGTTTTGCAGTAGGCGGTGTGGCGGGGAAGCGATGATTCATAATCGAGGTTTTTTGGGTTGGATCCCGTAAATATATAAATGTGTCATTAAACCCGACACAGACAATCTGTAAGGTTTGTTACGTAAACAAAACATGCCAATTAGTTACTAGTTCAGCGCACCGGGGTGTTGGAGAGCAAACCCACAACATTTACAATTCGAGTGCGACGTTTCGCCGATAATTGATGCAGTTTGCCGACGGTACAGAAAGGCGGATTCTAGCGGGTGACGTCACTGGAGTCCACCGTGACGCAGACGGGCGCGTGGTAATGTTTACTGCACGCGCAGTATTAACCAGGGCTGCCGCTTTTTGGCTTGAGCCGTGAACCTCCGCAACACGTGGCGAACCCGCCGCCGCGACGTCACTCGCTCCACGCGCCATCGTCCTGGATGATACAGAGAGAGGGGTTGCGCTGAGTTTTATCATCCGGAGAATATTGTAATAGTTTACCAAGACCCCAACCACGGCAGGAGTAAAGAGGTGTGTGGTTGGTTGGTTGGTGTGTGCATCTCGAGTAACGTCTCTTGAACGTTCCTTCCCGCGGTAAGTGTACGGGCGAGGAGCGTGGGAAGGATGCAACACGAGGGCATGGGGGGGGGAGGGCAGTGGCTTGCGTCTCCGAGGGAGAAAGTTTCTGAAATGGGGGAAATGTTTCAGCACGGTCAAGGGTAGAATCCGGAATAATTGGCATTGGCGTGGTGGTTACCTCCTCCTCCGCGTTGTGGAATGTCTTCAATGCCTTCCTTTCATGCGAGACGTTAAACAAAAAACCTTTTGAGCCCGTAAACAAATCGCCATGCGCGCAAATTCCGCTGATGCGGGTGCTCGACTGTGGCGCAATTTTTCTTCACGCGACGAGGAGAAGCACCGCGTGATGAGGATGATGAACCGGCCGGGGAGGGCAACAGGAGGTTGGGTTGGTAAATAAATATTTTGTTTAAACTCATTTTTTTTAAACCACAAACCCCCGCTGGAGGTTGACGTTGGCGTGCCGAACGTTTCGCTGTGATGACAACACCGACCAGCAGCGGGACGCGATTTGGGGCAGATGGAGAAATTTCGACTGCATTCGCGTTAACTGCTCCAACAGGTTCGAGAGTTGGAGCGAAGTTGTGTGTGTCTGTGTGGTGAGTGTTGGGGTCTGCGTGTGGTGAGTGTTGGGGTGGGTGTGTGGTGAGTGTTGGGGTCTGTGTGTGGTGAGTGTTGGGGTGTATGTGTGGTGAGTGTTGGGGTGTATGTGTGGTGAGTGTTGGGGTGGGTGGGTGGTGAGTGTTTGGGTGTGTGTGGTGAGTGTTGGGGTGTGTGTGGTGAGTGTTGGGGTGTGTGTGGTGAGTGTTGGGGTGGGTGGGTGGGGAGTGTTGGGGTGTGTGTGGTGAGTGTTGGGGTGTATGTGTGGTGAGTGTTGGATGGGTGTGTGGTGAGTGTTGGGGCGTGTGTGGTGAGTGTTTGGGTGTGTGTGGTGAGTGTTGGGGTGTATGTGTGGTGAGTGTTGGGGTGTGTGTGGTGAGTGTTGGGGTGGGTGGGTGGTGAGTGTTGGGGTGGGTGTGGTGAGTGTTGGGTGGGTGGTGAGTGTTGGGGTGTGTGTGGTGAGTGTTGGGGTGGGTGGGTGGTGAGTGTTGGGGTGTGTGTGGTGAGTGTTGGGGTGTGTGGTGAGTGTTGAGGTGTGTGTGGTGAGTGTTGGGGTGTGTGTGGTGAGTGTTGGGGTGTGTGTGGTGAGTGTTGGGGTGTGTGTGGTGAGTGTTGAGGTGTGTGTGGTGAGTGTTGGGGTGTGTGTGGTGAGTGTTGGGGTGTGTGTGGTGAGTGTTGGGGTGTGTGTGGCGAGTGTTGGGGTGTGTGTGGTGAGTGTTGGGGTGGGTGGGTGGTGAGTCTTGGGGTGGGTGGTGAGTGTTGGGGTGTGTGTGGTGAGTGTTGGGGTGGGTGGGTGGTGAATGTTGGGGTGGGTGGTGAGTGTTGGGGTGTGTGTGGTGAGTGTTGGGGTGGGTGGGTGGTGAGTGTTGGGGGGTGTGTGTGGTGAGTGTTGGGGTGTGTGTGGTGAGTGTTGGGGTGTGTGGTGAGTGTTGGGGTGTGTGTGGTGGGTGGTCAGTGTTTGGGTGTGTGTGGTGAGTGTTGGAGTGGGTGGGTGTGCTGAGTATTGGGGTGTGTGGCGAGTGTTAAAGTGGGTGGGTGTTGAGTGTTGGGGTGTGTGTGGTGAGTGTTGGAGTGGGTGGTGAGTGTTGGGGTGGGTGGTGAGTGTTGTAGTGGGTGGGTGGTGAGTGTTGGGGTGTGTGTGGTGAGTGTTGGGGTGGGTGGTGAGTGTTGTAGTGGGTGGGTGGTGAGTGTTGGGGTGTGTGTGGTGAGTGTTGGGGTGGGTGGGTGGTGAGTGTTGGGGTGGGTGGGTGGTGAGTGTTGGGGTGTGGGTGGTGAGTGTTGGGGTGTGTGTGGTGAGTGTTGGGGTGGGTGGTGAGTGTTGGGGTGGGTGGGTAGTGAGTGTTGGGGTTTGTGTGGTGAGTGTTGGGGTGTTGGGGTGGGTGGGTGATGAGTGTTGGGGGTGGGTGGTGAGTGTTGGGGTGGGTGGGTGGTGAGTGTTGGGGTGTGTGTGGTGAGTGTTGGGGTGGGTGGGTGGTGAGTGATGGGGTGGGTGGGTGGTGAGTGATGGGGTGGGTGGTGAGTGTTGGGGTGGGTGGGTGATGAGTGTTGGGGGTGGGTGGTGAGTGTTGGGGTGGGTGGTGAGTGTTGGGGTGGGTGGGTGGTGAGTGTTGAGGTGGGTGGGTGGTAAGTGTTGGGGTGGGTGGGTGGTGAGTGATGGGGTGGGTGGTGAGTGTTGGGGTGGGTGGGTGGTGAGTGTTGGGGTGGGTGGTGAGTGTTGGAGTGGGTGGGTGTGCTGAGTGTTGGGGTGTGTGGCGAGTGTTAAAGTGGGTGGGTGGTGAGTGTTTGGGTGTGTGTGGTGAGTGTTGGAGTGGGTGGGTGTGATGAGTATTGGGGTGGGTGTGCTGAGTATTGGGGTGTGTGGCGAGTGTTAAAGTGGGTGGGTGGTGAGTGTTTGGGTGTGTGTGGTGAGTGTTGGGGTGGGTGGGTGTTGAGTGTTGGGGTGTGTGTGGTGAATGTTGGGGTGTGTGTGTGGTGAGTGTTGGGGTGGGTGTGTGGTGAGTGTTGGGGTGGGTGTGTGGTGAGTGTTGGGGTGGGTGTGTGGTGAGTGTTGGGGTGGGTGTGTGGTGAGTGTTGGAGTGTGTGTGGTGAGTGTTGGGGTGTGTGTGATGAGTGTTTGGGTGTGTGTGGTGAGTGTTGGGGTGGGTGTGTGGTGAGTGTTGGGGTGTGTGTGGTGAGTGTTGGGGTGTATGTGGTGAGTGTTTGGGTGTGTGTGGTGAGTGTTGGAGTGGGTGGGATTACGTCCGGCTCCGGTTGATGGGCGGGGGCAAGCAAAAACCCCCTTCGGTTGGAATTGACACGGGCACCCAGGACGCATCATCCGGTCCCTCGACAGAGGGGAGCTCTCTGCAACTTGCTACCCAGCCGCCGACTTGGCAAGGGACGGAATTCTCACGGAGCGCCGCTGTGAGACGCCACGAGCGATGTCCGTGACGCCTCAAGAGAAACTATCGGCGTCTTCTCTGGAGGAGAGTCACATCGTGAACTTTGATAACCATCGCCTGTACTGCCGCTACTACAGCCCGGCAAACCAGCAGCAGCCCAGGTGAGTGTGGATTGCAAATTACACATGGCAGTGATGGTTAAAAGCGTTCTTGGATGTCTGTGCTGTATTCTCCGGATTATAAGTTGCGTGCCCTCCCACAGAAGTTGAGGCTGCGTCTTATAATCCGGAGAACGCGGTCATTCCTATCTGTGCCGTTGTGTTGCTCTTGTTGACACAAACTAAATTATACCCCAATTTACCGATTAAACTACCGCCCTAAGTGGCCTATTCTGGCATGTGGTACGTTACCTTATGAAAGCTACACTTTGAAAGATAATGTACGGCCCATTATGTTGGACCTGTTGGTGGCTTGGTCGTTTAAGAACGCGTCGGGCAGGCTGATCGATGCGAGACCGTCGGCTGTCCTTCACCACTGATGGCCCTGCGTCGTTCGGTTTGTATGCACGTTTGTTGAACTTCTAGCGCACCGTACGTAGCCAGCCGTGCACATCGGAGGCGCTGGGGAAAGGACAACAAACTAAACACAAGAAGAAGAAGCGGTTTTAAAGAAATGGGCTTTCAATCTAAGAAATGAGTTTTCACTCGAGGTTCGCAGTGCGAGAAGCACTGAGTACACGGTTCTTTGGTCGTCTTCGAAGCGAGTCACTCGACTCAAGTTGTGTCATCACCGCACAGCTACAGCCTGTAACGGCAACCACGCTTTCAGAAACATTCTAAAGGTGCTGTAATTTGACACGCGGTCAATTACTCCCGCTCACTCTTTTTTGTTTTACAAAGCAATACTTTTCAGGTTTTTTATTTATTCATTAGGTATTAGCCCCTGTGAGCCATGAGGCTCTTGACTCGGGTGCAACCGCAACAACCAAAAAACATGAACAACGAAACATTTAAAGTGACGACGCCCAACAGAAACATCCAGGAAAAACCAGCAAGATCTTCCAGAAAAAAAAAACACCGCATATAACAACGCTGCGTGCAGACATCCCAGTGGGATGCAAGTCAATTTTGGAATGGGCAATAGCTGCATTTGAAATGCGTACTTTCTCTTCTTGTGAACTTTAGATATTATCATTACTTGCCAGTACTGAATGAACGTCATTGTGTTCGCATTGTGTTTGCGTCAGCTCCCAGAGATGTTCCATTGACTCGCAACGCGATCGCTTTCCGCTTAGTAACACGCGAAAGTGGCCTCACTCCGTCATTCTGTATTCTGCCCACTCATTCGGCTCCCACGCGCGTTGTGCGTCGTCTTGCACGTAATAACAATAATTTAGATTTCACAGAGCGCGCTTAAACTAATCGTTCTCATGGCAACTCAGTTGCTGAATTAATTCGACGCGGCAAATGCGGACAGCGCAGCCAAAGCAGCGGCGAGCGTCTACGCAGTGGCATTATTTTCTCTTGGAAATAAAATAAACAATAATAATTCGGTGTTGGACGCAGTGATGATGAGATGCGAGAGCTTTGACAGCCGAGACTGGTTAGAGCGGTGATTCTTCTTCTTCTTAATCTGGGGGTGCACGCTGCAGCCCCTCGGGGTGCGAGACACGGCCAGACTTTTTTTTCTGGAAGGCAAATCATCTGAAACACAAATTAAGCATGGCCACATAAGTACCTCTGCTATCCTCTTTGGTTCTTTCGGTAAAGTCACGTAGTTATAAATGAAATAAAACAAATAACGACGTTTCGATTGCAACCTTCAGCGGGTGGGAACATCCACAGCAAGAACAAATTGCTGAAGTGGTTGTTCCCACCTGATGAAGATTGCGTGTGTTGCAATCGAAACGTCGTGATTTGTTTTATTTTATTTTATTTCTACCCACGTGACTTTACCGAAAGAAGCAAAGAGTGTGGATTCCTGTAGTCACGAAAGCTTCAAATCAAGATTGTACCACTAGTTTGTTTCATCAAACCTTTTCCATTTATGAACAGTAAATGTTAAGAACCACTGAAGTAGCACCTTCGTCAAAGGAATGAAACCATTGTCGAGTCCGTACCTGTGCCGTACACGTGTCATGTTAGGAAAGTTTCACTTGCTAGTGTTTTTTTATTGCAAGTTTTTGGAGGGTCACTCGGAATGTCTCGCGCCTTCACCAGGGCTGTGGGAGTTTTGACAACATTGGCAACGCAGTAGAACACCGGTGTTGTTTCTGTCTTTTTTGTTGTTAAATTCCTTCGCCTTTTATCAGACGACGCAGTTCCGTAAACCGGAATAACCACCTCTGAATTCCTCAAGGACTTAAGCCCTGGTTAATGGCACACGATCCCTTCATGCGACTTGGGAATTCTCCGCACATCAACAGCTGTTTGGCCACTCTGTGAGTGGCAAACCATTTGAGACGGTGTGTTTCCTAGCCCAACGGTAAGTGATAGAGGAAATTAATTAAGCCCATCATTGGCCACCCTTTACATGCAGGCATCCGTGAATATTTTTCTTAAGATATCGCGAGCGAGAGCTGCTCGATGGCCCCTGTAGCCGAATGCGTTACCCTCCAGCATCATCACCATCGGCAACGGGATGATCAACAACACTGCCTTGTGGACAAATACATATATACACACACTTGGCAACAACACTGTGGAGCGTCTTCGTTAAAAACCAAGAGATAGAGACAAGGGTGGGAAGAAGCCTACGACATATACAATAGAGGGTTGCCTTCCACCTGTCCTGATTTTCAAAGAATCGTCCTCTTATTGAGGGCAGCTGCTGTCCTGGGAAACCTGAAAGTCTCCTGTGCTTGTCCAGGTGTCCCGTGTACTCTCGTTAGCGGTGCCTTTAGCCATTTATCTCTGCTCCAAGGCACCAGAGCAGCTTTCTTTCTGTAAAAAAAAAAACCCAACACCAAGTGAGAAATTAGGCTCCGCTTGAAGCACAATGTGCTTGCCACAAATGAACCACACCATACTTCGATGATTTCGTCAAGAAGCATAAACCATCACGCGAACTCCGATCATCCTCACAGCGACTTTGTTCGATGGTTTGCTATGGGTAGCCATCGCGCGCTTTCAGATGCGCTTCTGCGGCCGTCTGGAACGCTCTTCCTTCCGAAATTAGGAATCCACTGGAGCTGCGCACGTTTCTTTAAAAAAAAAATAGAATATTTTTTATTCCACATCCCTCCCTCACATCGTAGCATTGCAACATCCTTTACATTCTGGACGGCATTACCAGTTGCATCGACGGTTTCAGGCAGGCACACCAGACTCATCAGAGCAGGCGGGGGTAGGAATTTTTTTGGGGGGCGGGTGGGGGGGTTGGCCAGGTCATTGCCATTCTGGCTTCAGGTATTTAAGACTGTTCTAAGGTAAATTGGGATATAATTTAGTTTGTGTCAACAAGAGCAACACAACGGCACAGATCAGAATGACCGCGTTCTCCAGTTCTCAGAGGGAGGGATCTGACCCCTTGGGAGTTGTGATTCCAAATCTGGGTCCATGTTTTGTTCGGGATTGGCCGATTCACTATTTGCTCCCATATCGCTAGGGTCTGAGGTCGTCCACTATTCGTCCTTGAGAGTAGAAGCCGGTACGCCTCAGATAGTTTGTGTCACGTCCCGAATCTGGAGGTATTTATAAAGCTGAGAATTTGGGAGGTTGTACCTGGGTCTAATAGATTGGAATGTGTCAATGTGGCCATTATCTGCCAGGAGGTTCCCCTACTCTATGAACCTGGGCCGCGTTCCAATCGGACCATCTGATTCGCTTGCGTTTCAACTCGCAGTGCCGGATTGGAGCTGCTATGTGATTGTAAATCATCTCGATTTAAAACGAATTTCTTCATAACTGTTTCATTGCGTTTAGTTTGCTGTCCTCCCGCATCCTCAATTAGCACGGTTGGCTACGTACGGTGCGAAACAAGTTCAACATGCATCCACACTTACAAGCCGTACGACTATTCCATGGTGGTGGTGGTGGTGGTGATGTTTTTTTGTGTACGTGGCAGGGCACTGGTGTTCGTGAGTCACGGGCTGGGCGAGCACTGTGGCCGCTATGACGAGGTGGCCCGGATGCTGGTGCAACACGGCGTGCTCGTGTTTGCCCACGACCACGGTGAGTTCCATGCGGGTGCCGTAGCTGCCCGGGCGTGTCGCTCGCCAGCGCAACCGCACCGGCGCCCATCACGGGCCGGAAGGGGCGCAAGCACCGGGCCCCAAAGGGGTTAGGATGCTGCAAGATATGGGGGAGGGGAGGGGTGGTGGTGGGGGGGGGGCATTATAATTTCTTGCACCAGGACCCGTGCCAACCACGCAGTGCCACCGAGTGCCTCCCATTCACAGTGGACGGATCGCTCGCGGAAGACGTGGAAGAGGTGTGGGAGGGGCGGGTGCCAGTGGACAGGGCCTCGTGTTCAGCGTTCATAAAGCGGCGTCTTCCGTGCCGAGGAGCTGTGGCCGAGGGGACAGGATGCGAGACGACTTTTAGTTTAACGCGCTAACTTGCGGCGCCGCACTTCTGGAAGAACCTCCCCCGAGGCATTGCGCGCGATCGGCTCCACCACTGCATTCAAAGTCAAAACACATCTCTTTGCACTTGCATGCATCAACTAACTCACAGCCACAACTTGCCGTTGTTATATTTCTGTACGTCTCAAACACCTATAAGCGGTATAGATTCGTCGCTCTCGGCCGTAAACGATCGTCTATTTTTTACGCTCACGAGTATTCACGTGACGGCGCCTTTGGGTGGCAGATTCATGCCACAAAATATGCGCCACGTGAAAATAACATTAACTTGACTAGTGACTGATACATTACATTGCGATTGTGTGTGGACTAACCCTCTCGGCTACAGCGTCCCCACTGAGCGACACCGGCTTAATGTCAACTGCACATTTAATGTACGATCGATGTAAACGTAATGATAATAATTATAATTTACAGCGGCCATCTGTCTAAGCACCGCCGGATGAAGGCCTGTCCATGCCACATCGACTGTGCTGTGTGGGGGGGGGGGGGGAGTCGTTTGACCATACTTCACCACTCTGGTCAGTGCAGGACGGTGAATGGGGTGGCGAGGCCAGGGCCGGATCAGAGATCATTCGCCACCGCTGATGTTAACCTTGGCAAGGATTTGCACTTGGGTGAAACTAATCTGACCTCTTTTTTTTTTTACCAGGTAAGACCCACTGAGCTACGTAGCTCAACGAAGTTGGCTTATCACGTGAAAATTTATCGCAGCCAAATCATCTAAGACACATGGTAGTCGGGTTCGAGAGAGCAGTGTGCGAATCACTGCCCCACCACCACTCGACCAAGAAGTATGTATTACAAGGGAGTCTTGAGTGTCTCAAAGTAAGTCAATTGGCTTCCATCCTCCCTGTCTAACATTTAACTCTTGCCATCAGCCTTTCCCTTCCATGATCGGGCTCATCAGGGCATGTGGCACCAGTCCCTGATTTGTGGGAGTGCCTTTCTTGGCAGTGTGTGTGTAGAAGATTACAGTGTGGGATTGAAGATTATCTAAACATAGCAATGCCACGCACCATGCCAACTCTTACCCAACAGATCTTGTTCTGCAGTATTCCCTCACTGTCCAAAAGCCAACATGCAATGCACCCAAAGATATGGATGCTGACTTGAGTGATAATGCCTTGAAGTCATTGGGCACGACAACTCAACACGATCCTCAACAAGACAGCTCTGAAAGGGACATCAACTTCATTGTGGCCTTGTGCGAGGTTAAAAGGCAGTGCCTATGTGTGTCCATTTGCGCATTTGTCCATAATTTGCTTGCTCCTCCTGGGAACACTGGGACAGAGACCAAGAGACAGGCTTAGAAATGTGTACACGGCTTAATTACTCACTCTATTTTCGAGAACGCTACTTGGCTGGCTTGAAGTAGGGATTGTTAGCCTAAGGCACCACCACCAGAGTGTAAAGTAGGGCTTTCCATCAAAAACCCTATATTATTGTACCTTCTATTCCTATAATCCTCTGAACAGGTTTACGGAAATATTGGACGTAAACAATGTCGTGATGGATGTGGCGTGCCAAAGTAATTCCCGTAACAGTGTTCTCGACTGTTCCAGCTGGCATTGGAGGTTTTGTTGTTGTTGTTGCGCTGTGTCATTCTCCGATGCGATTTCGGGTCGCACCGCGTGTTGTTCCGCACGATGCCCGACGTTTCGCTCCACGTGCCGGGAACTTTCTGAGGAAGACGGGGCTTCCTTCCTTGATAACAGAGAAGTGCTTAAGAATCGCCACAGTGCCGGCCTGCAAGTGGGGTATTAGTTTGCCAGTAAGGGGTAATGATTGCTGGCAAATTTGGACCATGCCACCGGAACACAATGGCCTACTGGTTTCGATTGATGTCAGGGCCCCTTTAACGTCACCAGAAGCAAATGGCGCGTAGTATTTTGTCCTTTCCCCGCACCTCCGATGAGCACGGTTGGCTACGTGCGGTGCGAAAGAAGTTCAACGTTAATACATTTGTACGCTTAAGTACACGCGCGGTAAAAAAAAAAACCACGGTGGCTTTCTCGATTCGTAACTCGAACGTTTGTGACAAGCGACGAGCGCTCTCTGGCTGGGCCATCTCAGAGTCTGCATCTACTATATGTGTGTGTCTGATCGGGCGTATGCCTGTATAACAAGCAAATAAGACTCCAACATCCTCGTTGCCCCAAGATAGAATTATTTGTGGTTGTGGGCGAAGCTATGGCAGAAAATGCTGGCATTGGCTCAGTATACAGTGAGGGAAAAAAAGTATTTGATCCCCTGCTGATTTTGTACGTTTGCCCACTGACGAAGAAATGATCAGTCTATAATTTTAATGGTAGGTTTATTTGAACAGTGAGAGACAGAATAACAACAAAATCCAGAAAAACGCATGTCAAAAATGTTATAAATTGATTTGCATTTTAATGAGGGAAATAAGTATTTGACCCCTCTGCAAAACATGACTTAGTACTTGGTGGCAAAACCCTTGTTGGCAATCACAGAGGTCAGACGTTTTTTGTAGTTGGCCACCAGGTTTGCACACATCTCAGGAGGGATTTTGTCCCACTCCTCTTTGCAGATCTTCTCCAAGTCATTAAGGTTTCGAGGCTGACGTTTGGCAACTCGAACCTTCAGCTCCCTCCACAGATTTTCTATGGGATTAAGGTCTGGAGACTGGCTAGGCCACTCCAGGACCTTAATGTGCTTCTTCTTGAGCCACTCCTTTGTTGCCTTGGCCGTGTGTTTTGGGTCATTGTCATGTTGGAATACCCATCCACGACCCATTTTCAATGCCCTGGCTGAGGGAAGGAGGTTCTCACTCAAGATTTGACGGTGCATGGCCCCGTCCATCGTCCCTTTGATGCGGTGAAGTTGCCCTGTCCCCTTAGCAGAAAAACATCCCCAAAGCATAATGTTTCCACCTCCATTTTTGACGGTGGGGATGGTGTTCTTGGGGTCCTAGGCAGCATTCCTCCTCCTCCAAACACGGCGAGTTGAGTTGATACCAAAGAGCTTCATTTTGGTCTCATCTGACCGCAACACTTTCACCCAGTTGTCCTCTGAATCATTCAGATGTTCATTTGCAAACTTCAGACGGGCAGGGGGACCTTGCGGGCACTGCAGGATTTCAGCCCTTCACGGCGTAGTGTGTTACCAATTGTTTTCTTGGTGACTATGGTCTCAGCTGCCTTGATATCATTGACCAGATCCTCCCGTGTAGTTCTGGGCTGATTCCTCACCGTTCTCATGATCATTGCAACTCCACGAGATGAGATCTTGCATGGAGCCCCAGGCCGAGGGAGATTGACAGTTCTTTTGTGTTTCTTCCATTTGCGAATAATCGCACCAACTGTTGTCACCTTCTCACCAAGCTGCTTGGCAATGGTCTTGTAGCCCATTCCAGCCTTGTGTAGGTCTACAATCTTGTCCCTGACATCCTTGGAGAGCTCTTTGGTCTTGGCCATGGTGGAGAGTTTGGAATCTGATTGATTGCTTCTGTGGACAGGTGTCTTTTATACAGGTAACAAGCTGAAATTAGGAGCACTCCTTTTAAGAGTGTGCTCCTAATCTCAGCTCGTTACCTGTATAAAAGATACCTGGGAGCCAGAAATCTTTCTGATTTAGAGGGGGTAAAATACTTATTTCCCTCATTAAAATGCAAATCAATTTATAGCATTTTTGACATGCGTTTTTCTGGATTTTTGTTGTTGTTATTCTGTCTCTCACTGTTCAAATAAACCTACCATTAAAATTATAGACTGATCATTTATTTGTCAGTGGGCAAACGTACAAAATCAGCAGGGGATCAAATTATTTTTTCCCTCACTGTACTTCATTGCCAAGTTCACATGTCACCACAGTAGCAAGCGAGGTGTGCGGTCTGAACCTTTAGTAACCCCCTCCAAAAAAAAATCGAATTACCATAAAACGGATAATGAAGCTGGCTGGGTGGCTCGCTCTTGGGTGCAAACAGAATGGACGTGAACAGGCCTCATGAAATCAGAATATGTATAGGTTAATCCAACCCCCCCCCCCCCCCTTGCACGTCAAGGGCTCACAAGTGACGTCCTCTATTTAAGGAACGAAACAAAAGGATTTCTCCACAAATCTGGCTGTCCGCCTGATGAAGCTAGTTGTAATTACTGGTGAAACGTCGTACTCAGATTATAAAGGTTGTGGATTTTCTCTCCCAACACACCGGTGTGCTGTAATGGTGACGAATTGGCAACGTTCTGTTTACGTGACAAACCTTACTAATTTGGCTGTGTCGGTTGGTGGCGGGTTTAACGACACATTTGTGTATATATTTACACAATCTAACCCCCCAAAAAACTATATTATGGAGAATATTTGTACCTGGAGGAATCCGATGAGCTGTAAAGCTCTTTTTTTTCGCAGTGTGTCCAGTACGACGTAAACCGGACGTGAGTCCCACCTCAATGCTCATTTGAGCAGGAAAATTACTTCAATTTTCTTTTTACAAAGAGGTTGCCAATCACAAGTAAAGCGCACGGAGGTGGCCGCAGGTGGTTAAGGCATCCGTCCAGGACATCCCCTTACCCACAATTCCGTGTGGTGGCTCCAGGTAACTTAAACTCCCCCCTGCCCCCCCCCCCCCCCCCCCCCATCTGGGAGCCTCGACTGGGCAATCCACCCGGGTTTATTTTGGAACTCTGGAGACAAAGTTGGCCGGGGTGGGGGGGGGAGACACTCCTCCCGGCTCGTGTTTCCGTGACGGCTGTGCGTGGTGCTCGCCTGCAGCACCTGCCCCGTGTCAGCCAGTGCGGACGTCTCGAGGAGTCTTTGATGTGCAAGTTTCCCTCGCTCTGTGCGGCAGTGGTAGCGGATGCGTTCAAGAGAAATCAGGCGCGCTAAGCGAGACTGCACGAGGCAACTGTCGGCCGAGTAGCGTGCACAGCACACACACACACAATGTTGTATCACTGTATCTTTATGTGTATGTCATTCGGTGTATCTCTTGATGTATCTCTGTATGTATCTGTATGCATGTGCGTATCTTTGTATCTGTGTATCTCTCTATGTATCTCTGTATGTGTGCGTCTCTGTATCTTTACGTGTGTGAATCTGTATCTATGTATCTGTGTATGTATCTCGCTGTGTATCTGCGTGCATCTCTGTGTGAGACAGCTGCCCGCAGAGTAGAGCATGCAGTACACACACAATGTTGTATCTCGACATGTGTCTTTGTATCTCTGTGTCTATGTTTGTATCTCTGTATCTGTACCGAGTGCATTCCACACAACGTTGCTCCACGTCTGACAGCATCGCCGCGCATGAGTGAATTAAACCCGCATAGAGCGAATGTTTTGCTAGACATAGGCTTAACTGTGTATACGTGAAATCGCATAAAACTGAACCCGCGTAAAGTGAGGGACACCTGCATTTGTTTTGTGGGCCACTCTTAGGTAGACCCAGCCTTTAATGAGTATATTGTGCAGTGTGTAAACATCAGCACTCGGGAGATGAAGGAGATCAAGGTGCGTGCCACTCCTCAACACACACCACGCAAGAACGTTGCTCCCAGTCTAAATGATAAACACGTCAATCACGGAGAAATGAATCTGTTTTTTTTTGTACACACATTTTGTCGTGTTATCCTGCATTGGCAGTGTATGCGCGAGCACAAATCACTTAAACTGAACACATTCATCAACAAAACCGCACTAACATTAAAACATATATATACCAATAAAATGCATGACGTTTCAGGCAATGGCCCTTCATCATAGCAGTCTGCATGTGCCTGCTACGAAGAACCATCGTCTAAAACGTCTGCATCTGCTATAAAGTGGGGCCAATGCCCGAAACGTCGCCTGTCAAATATTTTTTTTTGTTCGACGAGTGCAGCGCTGCTATTGTTATCATCGCGACTCATTCGGTTTGTTTTAGGTTTTCTGTCCCGTTCGCGTGCGCCGCCTCTGACCGCGGTCTCGGTCCTCGCGTGTCGCTCCGCAGTTGGGCACGGGAGGAGCGAGGGCGAGCGAGTGTCCGAGGCTCGGCTCGGCGTCTACGTCCGCGACTGCCTTCAGCACGCGAGGCTCGCGAGGACGCGGCACCCGGAGCTGCCCTGCTTTCTGCTCGGCCACTCGATGGCAAGTCCCCACCACCCACCCGTATAGCCTGGACAGGCTTTTTGGGGGGCTGTTAGAGAGAGCAACGCGTCGGAAATCTGGCACGGCGGCACACGAGCAGAACCGCGACAACCTACGCCGTCGAACATCGTGGCAACGGGCGCTGGGTGGATCATTACGTCATCGCGCGGCTCCTTGGGAATTCCTGCATCCGGCAGCGGATGGATCGTGGGTTATGTTGACGATGACGATGGCGGTGATGATGAGCCGTGCTGTGTGGCGGTGGCGGCCGTGGTGAGCGGGGCGACCCGCTTGGCCATTCGTTCATCCAGCGGTGGATGGACCATGGCTGATATTAATCACGGTGGTGGCGGTGCTGATGAGCCGTGCTGTGTGGCGGCGAGCAGGGTGGCGCCGTGGCCGTCGCGGTTGCGAGCGAATGCCCAGACGACTTTGCGGGAGTCATCCTCATCTCCCCGCTCGTCACCCTGAGCCCGTCCGTCACGTCGCCCACGTTGGTGAGGGCTGGCGACTCTCGGCCGACCGCCACCTGGGGGCGGCCGCGGTGGCGAGACGTGAACTCCATAGGTGTTTTTTTGGGGGGGTTAGATCGCGTAAATATATAAATGTTGTGTCGTTAAACCCGCCGCCGCCCGACACAGCCAACTAGTAAGGTTTTTTCACGTAAACAGAACGTGCCAATGTGTTACTAGTACAGCAAAGCCCCACAACATTTTCAATCTGACTACGACGTTTTGCCAGTAATTACAACTAGCTTCAGGCGAAAGCCAGATTTGGCGGGTTTAACGATATTTACATATTTACGCCATCTAACCCAAAAAAACTTGTATTGTGGATGATATTGGTCGCAAAAGCCTACGTGTTAAACTGAGATGTTAACTACCTCGCCTGATATACAGGAGGTCGCGAGTTCAATCCCGACCCCGATGCGTTTATATTTGGAATTTGCGGATTCTCTCTTTCCCTGTGGTCACGTGGATTTTCCCACATTTATAATCGACACGCGTTCAAGAGTATTTGCCGTGTATAAATTTCCACGTGATTAGCCACTTTGTTGAGCTATAATTTGTGGCCAGGTTCGCTTCTGAAAAATATCTACGTAGCTCGGCGAGACTTAGCTGGTAAAATATAGATTTAAAAACATCGTTTTTCACGTGAACAACGTCTCTTTGGTCAATCCCTTGTTGTTACCCAAGCCAATGTCAAGTCTCTGTGTTGTCCTTCTATCTCATCTTCTCTTCCTCCAGTCTCCGTGTTCACACGCACAAAAAAAACCACAACTCTCCATATGATGTCTCCCCTCCTAACTCCGCACCACAAGGCCATAACCTACCTCCGTAATTATTTAGTCGAACTTTTTTTGTCTTAGCTGCACCGATCTCTAGTCATCGCTGGACAGGTATCTCTCGGTTTACGAAAAGGGATGCGTTCTACAATAAAAACGCGTGAAACAACATTTGCGTGAATCGGAATTGGCTTTTCCCATGGAATTTAATACTAAAAAAAAAATTCGGACAGTCATTCCAACTCCACTCATAACCTCAAAATATACACCACCTATATCACTTTTTTTACAATACAAAAAAAAATATTCAAACGATTGAACGATATCTTTTTTTAATATATACAAAAAATAATTAACCTGTTCAGGGAAGTCACAAAAAAATCTGCTGCTTTATCGGAATGCCCGGCGAGGCGATGTGGAGGTGTCGCTGCTGACACTGCACCGACGCCATTCTTAAAATCGGGTTTCATCAACAACAAAAAAAAACCGACACCGCCGCTTACTCCGACATACGCAGCAAAGTCACATTAAAATCAATCAAATAACAGAAATTAAAAAAAATATAGCGAGCAAAATCATAATCGCAATAACAAACTTTTTGTTTTCAAACAACGCTGTCCCGGTTGGATGGTAACGAGGTGGGCTCCGTGGTGGCTTCTCCGTTTGATGATTTCGTGGCGCGTGGCCGTGGCGAAATTCCGTTAACGCACAAATTCGATTTCGTTCATCGAAAAGCGTGCGCGATTTGCCACGTTCGTAAATTGAGGGGTACCTGCACTTTTCGACGTCATTGAATGTTATTTGTCGCCACGGTGACCCACGTCACTGCACCTCGCTTCGAGGTCTCACGTGGTCAAATAAAAATAAACTCGAGACTTGCCGACAACACTACTTCGTTCCCCACAGTTGTCTGGGAAATAAAATACGATTAAGTCTATTAAGTCCCACGTGTTTCACGTGGGTTTGTCCCAGCGAGCTTGCAGTAAACACTTGCCGCAGACATTCCTGGCCACTTTAGTTTATTTTTTTCCGCTCATACTTGCTCTTCGTTGAAAGCTCATACAGATATACGCTATATATTCGTCACTAATAACACTGCTCTGTAGAGGAAAAAAATATGTATACGTTAACACGCGACGTTTCAGGCAGTGGTCCTGTTTACGTAATCATGTGGTGACCGATGACGTGGATTGTATTATAATTCTGTGCAATTATCTTTGCTGTGTTTTTTTTTGTCCCAAGATGTATATGGCCCGAATTATGAATTACATGTGGCCTAGATGTCCTGTTGGCTCTGTGAACACAGCCTGGTTGAGCAGAGATTCCAACGAGGTAAGACGATTACTCTTTAAAACACATCCAACCCTTTTTTAATGCACTTTTATTGAACTTGTCCTATTGTCCGTTTGTATTCTTCCAGTCGGCCGAGGGCCACCGCCCAGCCATGCGGATTGTGGGAGTTTATCTGTCAAATACCTCAAACAAAACACGCCTGGCAGACGCGAGTACGGACTAACCCACCGGACTCCTTCCCCTGCACCCCCACCACAGGTGCAGGCGTACGAATACGACCCGCTCGTCCATCACGGCCGCCTGAGCGTGGCCATGGGGCTGGGCCTCTCGGAGACGTCGGCGCGCGTCCGTTGGCTCGTCCCGTCGGCCCGCTGGCCGTTCCTGCTGCTGCAGGGCGGTGCCGACCTCCTGTGCGACCCCGAGGGAGCCCGGCTCTTCTATGACCTCGCGCCCAGCCAGGACAAGACGCTCCGGGTACGACGGCCAGCGCGGGATACCTCGGCTCGGGCGAAATGCGGCTTTCTTAAAAGCGAAGTGTCCAAAGGTTTTTTTGGACGTCTTGTTGTTGACGATGGCATTTCACGTCCGCAGAACCTCATCCCCTCTCGTCCGCGCTCTCTCTCTCCCGTTCGCCGTCTCTTCTCCCGAACTGCTGCCGTAACCCCCGAATCCTCCATGCACGCATTACATCATTGTCCAATGCAGCGCGCTCCTCTACGAACCACCTCCACCAAATCCCTCCTCTCCAAACTCCAGACCATCCAAAAAATGCGACGGCTAGACGTCTCGGCGGCACCTGTAAACAAGACCACATCACCCCAATGTATTCCGGGTCTCTCCACTGGGACAGCTCGCTCAGAAAGACGACGATCCTGGAAAAAAACAAGTCAGGTGGCTACTCTGTTCCGGTGTGGGGTGCTACGTTTGCGTAATTGCCTATTTCCCTTTTCTTTGTTGCGATGTCACGTGCTAGTGGTACCAGGACGCCTATCACGTCCTCCACAAAGAGCTACCGGAGGTGAAGGAGGCCGTCCTGAAGGAAATTGAAAGCTGGGTGCTCGCTCGTCTGCCTTCCCTGCCTTCCTAGCTCGCTGCTGTGTGAGTGTACGTATGTATAATTTAACTCGCACCGTACGTAACCAACCACGCTAATCGGGAGGTTCTGGGGAAGGACAAACTAAAGACATAACGCAGTTCTAAAGACATTAGTTTTCATCCAGGTGATTTAAAAGTGCATAGCTCCAGTGGCTTATTAATATCGGAAGAAAAACGTTCCAGACGGCCGCAGAAGCACACCCATGCAGTGACCGTCTTCGTTCGATGGCCAGCCAAACATGGCGAGGGTGAACACAGCCCTTCTCTGTACAGCCGTTTGTAAGCAGGCCTGAGCCATGATGGATCAATTCTAAGAAACTCCACTTGGCTCATTTCTTGTCCTCGCATTGAAGGGACTCAGCCCCTCTACCCCCCACTCCCCAGCCCCATCCACTCCCCTCCTACAACCCATAACTGGTGGGAAACTAAATTGGGTTTTGCATACAATACTTAAAATTTACAATACTAGAGTTAGCTTATACAACCCTGAACTAACATGTATTATTTTAAGTTAATAAAGAAAAGATGGCAATGATCACTCAACTCCGTTTCTGGGTTGACTCTGCTGTGTCTGAACGCGGCCAACATGGGATAAAGGCCTTAACGGGTCCGTGTGGTAACCCCGACTCAGGCGGCTGCTTTGGGAATGCGGGCAGAGCCTCACACTTCAGCGCAGGAGGAAAGGCACAATGGCAAAGTTGCACTGCAGTGGGAAAAAAATACTACTGCCGTCACCTCCGATTGTAGCACGGTTGGCTACGTACGGTTGCGAAAGAAGTTCAACGTGCATACGTACATTAAGATTTGATTTTTCTTGGGGCCCGGATAGTGCAAGCAATGGGATTTGTTAGCAGCACAACAAAACAATGGATGGGAAACATGGGATTGAGGGGGACGGGGAGGTTTTTCGGGCTGCCGATGCAAGAACCACATTTTTTCAGGGCAGAGGAATTTCACAACACATCACAGCAACGTCGACATCACGGCACAGTACTTATGTAAGTTCTGGGGAGTTTACCGGTGGGTTTAAATGATACGTGCCACCCGAAGCCAATTAAGGGATAGTGATTATCGTATTACTCTGCCAGTGTCAACTACACCCACCAGTCTTCCCACATCCAAGCCCCGTGTGCCTGGCTTGCTCAACGCAGAAAATAAAAACTTGGCACATTTCCTCAATAAGGCATCTCTAAAAGGAAACAAATTTTTAACAGTGACGTCACAGTCACGTGTTAATGACGAATGTGCCGAGTTTACAAGGTAGTGCCTTTTCACCATTGCTGATAAATGTTTGTTACAATTAGAAAAGGACTGCGGTTTTAGTTTTAAATGTCCCATCTATGCCTACAATTCAGTAAATCGGCAATTAAACATAAACACTAAAACATGTTTTTTTGGGTCATTTTAATGACACATCTTATACGTATACATTACTCAATGTACTGAGTTTAAAATCGCTGGCGACTGTACAATAATAATGCTGGCTAGCACCGATGCTTTCAGTCAGTGAAAGTTAAATAAAATTAGACAAACTGCAGTACACACGTGCTTAGAGGTTGTGGAAAATTAGCGTGTGCTTAGCGAAGTGGTAGTAGTTATCACCAGAGTAACAAAATACTGCGTCACTTTAGTAATTCAGAGGAATTATTAATGTATCACTACACAAAATATTTGTATATCTCCATACAAAGACATAAATCACAGTGCCCCCGTGTTCAATCATTTAACATGCAGACGAGACAATTCACGCTCTCCACTGGGTTACTACCAGGGTCAACATCTCTCAGACCAACATATGAATGCACTTCTAAATCCATTCTAAATGCTGCTATAAACCCAAAACGCCTCAAAAATGATTTTGTTTCACATTCAAGGGTTTGGCTTGTAGTTATTGCTTATAAATCCCAAGTCGATTGTAAATAATTGGAATATTAGTACTGTATTAACTTGACCGTATATGATGTATACATAATACATTCACTTAGAAATGTACAAATTGGAAGGAAGATTTCATTGTGCTGGGCTTCCCCTCCAATGCTTTAAAAGGGGTTCCAATTTGTTAAGGAAATAAAATATGCTTGCAAACCAACCCCTTCGAAAGTCGTGTTCACAAAAAGCCACACAACTGAAATGGTATGTGAATGCTACGGTGTAGTATGTGTAGCATGTCAACTGCCCTTACTGATTTGAACATGTGAAACATATCGGCACCACTATTTCATTGAAGGGCAACATCTGGAAATGATAATACATTCATATGGCATGCAAATTATATTTAAGTACAAGAATTCTTGCCATGTATTTAAGTATTACAGCTTTTAACTGACATTTCACAATGGGTTACCATTGCTGTTATTCTGTAGATAGTTTTTCTCCAGGTAGATTTTTCTGACAAAGGTATGCACTTTATACAACTGCATTGCAATAGCAAACTGCATCTAAAATACACCACAATCCACTGAAAATGGCACCTCTTATAAATAAGTAGGAATCCATTCATCAAATATCCATATATAAAAGTGCTCGCCTCTTGAAGTCCATCTGGCCCGTCTCAAGACAGACATACAAAAGAAAACTATCGAGATAACCAGATGACTTCGGTACATTCAAATGCCCAATATACTCAATCCATGGCAGTTTATACCGAACGACATGCACAGGCTTTCAAATGATACCTTCTTAAATATAAATTGAAACGCCGGTTTTTTGCTCTGTTTTTCATTTCATGAAAAATATTCAGATCGACGCTATAACGGCAGTGGCGTGGGACAGCACCCAGCACTCAGAGGGCCGTTATAATAATACATGAAATTAAGCTGCTCCATACAATACAGTTGGAATTCGGTGCCAATGAAGTGAGGGACGCCCGTGCCCATCACACGAACAAAGCCGGGCCGACTGCAATCGAAAACCACAATCGGGACAACACCAAGCACTAAAAACCCATTAGAATGCCCAGGCCCCATGAACACGAGCTGCTTTCAATGCAGCGGCAATGAGCCGTTAAAGCCGAGGCTGCACCTTTCGTCCAGAGTTTGAGAGTTACTGCAATGGCGTAGAGCCATCTCCGCTCATCTTCTGAGCATTTTTCCCCGTGGGAGTGTTAAGTTCACGGGCAGCGTTTTTGGTTGATGCTTGCACAATGCCTGGGCTGTCGACCAGACAGATATTGGTCGCTCTCACCTGCACATTTTGCCTGTACCAATTAAATGTTTTTTTTGGTCAATAAAAATACACTAGGCGACACCCTTTGCCCATCAGCAGGTCACAAATAGAATTCATTTTTATTGGCCATGTAAAGAAACTGATACCAATAATATTTTTCCACCTCGGGTGGTATGCGATTTTTTTTTTCGGCCTATGGACGAGCAATTCAAAATCGGCATTACGTAAAGGACGGGACCGTGAGCCGTCAGGTGAATTGAATAGCGATTCAAAATGAACAGTGACAGAGAAAACGTGAGGTTGAAGCAGGTGGCCTGGTTAACAGGTAACAGGATCCTGCCTACAGACGCATCGTCCTCCGCACGATCACAAGGTGACACAACAACACGGCAGACGTCTACGGAAGTATTTAGACGCGTCGTCACCTACACCTGTACGGTCCTGAAAATTTACCGGCGGATAAAGGGCTCGGGTCTCATGTATCTGACGTGTCCTGCCCGACGGCTGCCCTACGCATTCAAACGACGTGAGGTACCGCGTGTGCCGTTATGATAAGCTGTGCGGGGGGAACACGTGAAGCGCATGCAAACGGCAAGGTGACGGTGCCCTAAAGCTGCAGGGCAAATGGTGCAACTTTTCTGTAATGATGTCACTCGCAACAATGTTGGTTCTGCATCGTCTCCGCTTAATACTGGGAAAATACAAGTCGCCACTTTGCACTCCAAAAAAGTTTAGTTAATATGTTTATAAGCATTTATAAGCAAAACTCCCGTTGTGTGTCCACATGAATCTAAATACAGGGCGCTTAAAAAAAAAGTTAAAACTTATATGGGACTATCGTTTTTAAATGAAAAAGGAATAATACACTGTAATACGATAACGAATGTATGTTAATAGCTTCAGAAAGTCAAAGTCTACACTTGTTCGCCAACATTGCCAACACAATGCCTCGAATCTTCTCCAGTTGGTCTCCAGAGCCTGGAGGCACATTTCTAGTGGTAATGTTGAAAATTTTCGGAAGTGTTAACATTTTTTTGAAGCAGCCTGCATATATTTAATCCATTGGCCGATTGGCTTTCCAGACGAATATTTTCCAGAAGCATTTGTTTAAGCAAGATAACTCCGGGCTGGTTATGACCTTCAGGGTTTCATCCGCACAGTCAGGCACTTTAAACAGATGCAACTGAATGACCAGATATTATTGGCAAGAGTGCCTGTATGCAAAATTTTGTTTAGTCGTTAAATGTGTGTTCAACTGCACTTGAATGAGATCACATGGGTAACTAAAGCAATATGAAGACACGTGAACTTAGGGATTTCGTTTTCAGCGTGAAGGCATGGAGATGTCTAATAAAGAACACTTGATTAATCTGTTTTCAGGAAGGTGATCCACACCCTCAACTTGATTATATTAAACATAATCTTTTGCCTATACTTATTTCACCAAGATAACTTTTTGTTAACAAACCACTAATCTCAGGTTATAAGATGTTCTCAAAGGATGCACACCCACGTTTGCTTTAACAGAGGGAAAAGGTGTGTTTTACAATCTGGAAAATACAGGCATCGATAGGTTCCAGCAGACATTTCCTTGCCTCGATTCCTGCCCAGCTCGAGTGAACTCCTTAGGCAGGGAAATCCAGGCAAGAGTGTTGGGCAAGGGGAGTTGTGCCCGTCGCCTTGCTAGCCTCTACCGTATCACCGATGTAAAGACACGGACCTGCGATCGACCGCAATGCCTCTCGGTCACACGCTCCTGCATTTCCAACAACAAGCGATGATTAGGGTGCGGTGGGGCACTCGACACGGCATGCTACGCAACCATGAAGAGGCGCGACAAAAATAAGTTACATGCAGGAAAGTTGCGGCCCTTTAGCTTTAGCAGGAGGCCAGTTTCTGCTCTGCACAAGAGCCGAGCGTCATCCGTTCAGCCTTTAACCTTTGCCGACACGAGGTGGGGCCCCTTCCTCCTTCTCGTCCTCCTCATCCTCCCTCCTTGACATCTCGGCGAGTGGGGGGCGTCTTAGCACTCGATGCCGAGCCGTGCGAGTAGCGCGTCGAGCGCCGCCAGCTTCTGGTTGGCCTCCTCCATGGCGCTGAAGGTCTGCACGCTGGACGTCACGTGGAAGCGGATGTCGTCCACCAGGGGGATCGAGTCCGTCTCCTGCCGCTCCTCCACCGCCTCGGCGTCCACCTTCACCGTCTCGGCAAACTCCTCCGACTCCACGAGCTGCAGGGGAATGGGTGGGTTCGTAGACAACGCGCTAAGACCTCACTTGGCATATCATCATCAACGTCATCAACTAAACTTTTTTTTTTATTTTGCCAGGTAAGGCCCAACGAGCTGTATAGCCATTTTTTTCCAGAAGCGACCTGGCCACAAATGATCGCTCAACTTGGTGGCTTATCACGTGGAAATTTATAGCAACCAAATACTCTAGGAGGCGTATTTCTCAATGTGGAGGGGAAAAATTGGAGCACCCAGAGAAAAATCCAAACGACCAAAGGGAGAACATGCAAATTCCAAATATACAGCAGGCGCCGGTCGCGATCGAACCCACGAGTTCCTGCATACCAGGTGAGGGAATTAACATCTCGCCACTGTGGCATCTACATCATCAACAGCAACCATGATCCATCCACTGCTATATGAATGTCAGAGCGTGCGGCCAAACAGCATTAATAGCCAATGTGCCAACACTGAACCTGACATCCATTATCAGGGGCAGCCATGATCTATCCACTGCTCCATGAATGCCAAAAGGTGAATGGCAGCGAGTCAACGTTACAACGCTGTACCCGGCATCAAATGGCGGTGGTAATCACCCGCAGTTAAAAATCAAGAAATCGGTCACACAGTAAGAAATCAGTCACACAGTAACACGCAGTCAAAAACACACATTAGGCACACATAGGCAGGCTACAGTCAACTCCACAAAGACACACACAAAGTACAGTCACTCATACAATCACATACAAAGATAACCAGTGCCACAATCTACCAACAATCACAGCTGCCAAGCGAGGTGCACTCATAGGCCATGGAAAATGCCAAAGGCTCGCAGGCAGGTCATGGAACAGACCCAGGAGAAATGGGTTCACTACGGCGGCTGGCAGAGACACCACCTCTGTCAACGTGCCACCTTTAGCCTCATGGTGCTCTGCTCACATTTACAACAACAAAAAATACAAAGGTCTCCTGTATAGCCTTAAGAGACTGTTGGGGCAAGTGCTGTTAGCGAGCACCTTTGAAGGTCGTCATGGCACACGAGGGGGTGGGTGGCCAGCAATACGCCCACCCACCCCCTAGTGGCGGTGTTTACACACTGCACTAGGTACTCATTTGAGGCCGAGTCGACCTAGGGGAGGCCCAAAACCGGTTCCAATAATCGTCACTGGTGTTGGCCGTGAGCAGGAAACGAACCCGGGTCGCCGGGTTTGCAGTGCAGTGCGCTAACCGCTACACTACCACTCCCCGCACTGACAACCACACACACACAGCCCACAGTGGCAAATGGCAGCTTGCCTTGTCCAGGATCCTGGCCATGAACTTTGTGCACTGGTCCTCGAGGCGTGGTAATGAGAACAGCTTTGCCATCCTCCACATGACCAGGACATTGTCCTCTCCCAGACTGTGAGCAAGCACCTTGCCACACAGCCGCTTGAGACCCGGCAGCAGGTACATGTCGGCCACGGGCAGCATCTCGCATGCCTCCTCGCTCGACAGCTGCAGTGCGTGTGTGCGATTGCAAACGTGCGTGTGCGTGTGGTTGCATGGGTACGGGGAACAGTGGCGCAGTGGTTAGTGCACAGACAATGTCTGGGTTTGATTGCTCGTCATGCACAGCATAAACAATGCCACGCGGTATCAAAATCTGTTCTGGGTTTCCTCTCGGTGGACTCAGGTCAGAAAGAGTATCGATACTTGCGAGTGTAGTTTTTATTTTTACGTACAGTGCCATGGTGGTGAGATGTTCACTACCTCGCCTGGTATACTGGAGGTCGTGGGTTCAATCCCGACCCTGACGCCTCTATATTTGGAGTATGCATGTCTCTCCCCGTGGTCGTGTGGATTTTTCTCCGGGTCCTCCGGTTTTTCCCTCCACATTTAGAAACATGCGTTTAGAGTGTTTGGCTGCTGTAAATTTACACAGAAGCCACTTCGTTGAGCTATTATTTATGCCTAGGTCGCTTCTGAAAAAGCTATATAGCTCAGTGGGCCTTACCTGGTAAAATAAGAATAGTTTAGTTTGATAAAATAACAGATCATTGCTATTATCTGGCATGGTGTTTTATCTGGCCAAAATAAAACTTGAGAGCAGAAATGCTCAACAACGAAGCCCATGCTGGGAACCGCACTTGGCTCATCTGCTATTGCTGTCGTTTTCCTCTGTAGATTGTAAATGTTGTGGATTTGCTCTACAACACACAACCGGTGTGCTGTACTAGAAACCAATTTGCATGTTCTGTTTACGTGATAAACCTTACTAATTGGCTGTGTCGGGTGGTGGCGGGTTTAACGACACATTGATATATTTACGCGATCTAACCCAAAAAATCCTTGATTATGAATATTGGTCGCGAAAGACAACTACTTCAGCAGAAGAGCCGACTTAGCCCTGAATGTTGTTTATGGCCCAGATCCCCTTGAAACAATTTACCAGAGCACGCTCATGGACACTAAAGAGTGTGTAAGTATTATTAGTAATAATAGTAACATCACGAACCCCATTATTACACTTATTAGCTATGAACACATAACTAATAAAGATGCAAAAGTCTGTCTCTCCACATACTAATAAAACAACAAGCCCATCTGCCTATGGGCCCTCTGGACCAGCTACTCGTTGAAGTAGGCAAACTCTGGACCAGTTTGACTTTCAGAGTCTCATCGACAGTCTGGCCTGTCAAACACCGCTGGGTTGGCAGATATTACAGGCAAGGGCACTTTATGGAAACTTTGTGGGACCGTTCAACAACACAAAAAAGACTCAACAATCATTTTGTGCTGCAGTGGAGTATTGTGGGTAGCAAATACGCAAAAGTATGTGTCTGTAAAAATAAAACGCGTCCAGTTTCGGTGCAATCATTACTGAAAAGCCACCTGCCTGCATCATACAACACCAAAGTAAACCAATGCGTTTGGCGACATCTGGTGGAAGAGATCCTCAACAGTATTATTGGACATTGGCTATTTAGAGTTCAGGCTCTGTTGTCGTTTTCAGCCGTTAAGCTTCACTTCTAGGAAAAGGCATATCGCACTGTTCTTTGATTCCTCAAAAAGGACCTCTCTATAAAACAATTGGCTTATTCATTATTCCTCCACACTGGCCAGACGTCTTGCGACTGTGATGTACCCGTTGGGTGGACAAAGGTGTGGGGGAGAATTTAATAACTTTCAGCATGGTTTCAACTTCTGTGTCGAGAGATGGAATCGAACCTCTGGATTTCCAGTTCAGTGTGCTGACCGTTTACACCGCTGGATCTGGCGAGTGAATCCTATCACTGCAAAGGCTTGGTTAATACGATTAATTATCCACGCTTTTCCAGAGCACTTCTCTCATCTGCACGGAGGCCTGACTACTGCCACACCAGGAGACAACTGAACCCGTATTGCAAGTCCAGGGTGCTCATCCGATGCACTACGCTAGCGTCCCTTAAGATGCTCTAGCGGTTTAAATCGCATCGTACCGTACTGGATCATTGGGGGGGGGAGGGGGCAGGAGAGGAGGGAACAAGATCACGGAGGTCACCTCGGCCATGTCACTGTAGATATAGTAGAGGATGGTGCTGAACATTTCAAGGGAGATGTTGTGCAGCTTCACCACGCACACGCTCGGCTCTGTCTGCAGCTCGCTCGCCTCACTGAAGTGGTCTTCCAGCAGCGCCTTGAAGTAGTCGCTCCGGCCACAGAAGAACAACTAGTGGTCGAATAATCGTGTAAAGGGGGGGGAATTCTGTAATCATTCATGTGCATTCAATGTTCACCATCGTCATTCACGATTTTGTCCGAGACCCTGAGAGTTAAGGTTTGATTGTCAGCAATCTCTTGCCTACAGGATATAACGTACTACCTTCTGTGACACAGGGTGGTGACATGACCTGGTGGGAGTGCACAATGCTGCCTGTTCCAGAGGATCACGGTTTGATTCTAGCGGCCACTCCGATTAATATTACCGCGTATAAACCCAAAAAAAGCCCTACACGCTATACACTTCAGAGCGGACATCAAAGATCAAGTAACATCATTCGCAAAGGTAGGCCATTGTGCGTCGGTGTCATGGTCCGAATTTGCCAAAAAAAACAATCTGCCACTTACGCCATTCGATTATACATAGCATTCATCACGAACTACTGTGAAAACTTTCCAGGACCCTCCTGCAAAAGTCATGAGACTCATTGTGGCTTTCCTGGGTAAACAAGCATCAAAATAAAAAACATATATTTACTGTTTTATATTTTTATTATTTGATTGTTTCCCTTCTAATGTGACTTTACCGAAAGAACCAAGAATACGCATATAAAAATACATATAGTTAACATGCATATTCATTTATGAAAAGTATAAAACATAATCTGAAAATGCACAAAGGAGCGTGGAGACGTGCACACTTCAGAGAGACAGACCGGGGAACGTACGGATTTGAGAACAGGTGTCGGGACAGCAGGATCTCACCTTGTGACATAGAAACCGGTTGCCACCCACTTCAAAGCAGACATCAGGGTAGGATGGAAAGGTATCTGCACAGTCGAAGGGCAGCTCTCCAAAGCCAACCTTGAGGATAACATTAAAAACAGCACTTTCACATCGTGGTCATGATAAAGTATATTAAGTCATGGACTACTGAAACGTCATTGTTATAAAACACTCATCAAATGTTAGCTTAAATCCCTCTAAAGGTTCCATTTTTGCCCGAAGTTGTCCATGTTTTTCTAAATTTAACATCCCTATTCACAAATATGAACTCGAGGAAAAAAATGTGAGAAATGAGAAAAGATTAATTATTTCGGAAGCCCTATAATTATTTCACGGTAAAACATTTCGTGTTTATTTACATTTAACTTTGTTATAAACAAAAAAATCACAGGGTGTTACATTGCTCACCATCATTACAATAAAAGCCCGATTCCTTCTCAGTCATTTTTAAACCCTTACTTAACCGACATCACTCAATTACGCCCTGTGACTGACACAGTGACGCACACGCGGACAAACGAGGTTTCTTATTATGCAAGACGGGGCGATAGTGACTTTTACACTTAAGAAACCCCATCCGGAGTACACTGCAGGCATGCCTCATTACCTCCGATCAGCACGGTTGGCTACGTACGGTGCGAAAGAAGTTCAATATACATAAGTTACATTCCATCGTGTTAGATTTTGATGCGTCCGATACATTGCCTCTCGTAGTGCAATGCGCTGCAAGATCACCTCACCCTCAACTCCGGTGGGAAGGCACAATCAGCCAGCAATTCCATGTCCTCTCGTAGTCGACAGGCATCGATAGCCTCCACTGTGATCACCTTGACGCAGGTGCCAGGTTTTGTCGACACTGAAAAAATAGTCATCACGCAACACAGCTAAATGAATGTTTGACTAGCCCACACATGTTAATATCACAGTCTTTATTATTAAAACCTGGACCTTTGTCCATACTTACCATTGTTAGCAAGCAATACGCATGGTCGTATCTAACGACGTGTGTGTGTGTGTGTATATACTAACGCATTCCACATCTGCTAATACGGCTTCATTCATTACAGGAGGTATACATATTCCAAACTTGAAAATGTCCTCGCACAAGCTGGTTTGTGTAAAGTAGTCCTCGTTACCTATAACGGCATGGGGCTTTACTAGTTTATAAATCAGCAGGGTGGCGCAGTGGTAACATTTGTGCCTCACAGCAAGAATGGCCTGGGTTCAATTCCTGACTCGGGCACCTTTTCTGTGTGGAGTTTGTAATTGTCTCCCCCTGTTCTGTTCCTCCGAGTGAGTTCTCCGATGCCCTCCCATAGCTAATAGAACATACAATGCAACTGGTATTGGCCAAAACATCCCAACGCTCAACATTTATCTGCAAAATTACTCAATTGGGATTACACACACACACACAGCAGCATCATCATCATCGCCCCCTACGACAAAAACTTGGCAGGAACCTCCTGAAAAAGGGTCATGAGACTCGGTGAGGCTTTCCATGAGTAAACAAGCAGAATACCAATATACAAATTAAGCCATTACACATTGAACGAACCTGATTATTGACAAACACAAAAACGGTGCGGCGTGGTGCATTGTGGGAAATGGTCTCTGAAATGCCATGGTGCCAACTCGGCCTGAAAGGAGTGCGTTGTGTATGGCAGTATTAAGTATTGAGCCAATAACAATCTTCAAATACAATGTATTAAACCAATTACAATCATGTTGAGGGGGTCAACTGTACAAATCCATGAAGGACACCTTCTGATGCCATGTGAATTGCAAGGCATGATGGTCTTGAATTTGACTAATGGCCACAATCACGCAATTTTCTGTCTAGAAGTCACCTTCTGCACATATTACTATTTTTAGTTGTATTAATTTCGAGCCTGTACTTAACTATCTACATTTTGTAAACCGTCAAAATTTGCGGATACGTTCCTCAAGAATGTCGCGAATATTAAATCCGTGCATGTTAATACTTATGGTTAGGGGGCAAAAACATACATGATGTTTAAACATATACATTGTATGTATATATTAATGAATACATGTATCATGTAGTATTATTGTGTTAACTTACCTTTAATAACGATGAACGTAAACATTTAAAAAGTGCAAATTTCAATTAAGTGTACGGTATTATTTACACTTTAACAACGTCACTTTCTTTTCGCTTAAGTGCCATGGTTAGAGGATGCACGGTAAGTAATTCCAAACAAATTCTAAAGTAAATTACTCGCGTGCAAACAGTGCGACAGAGGCAGACTGGGAGGGAGAAACGAGTCACGTGGCCGACTCTCGCACGATCCACGCCGCTCCCACGCCTCACTACGGTATGCGTGTATGTTGAACTTCTTCCACACCGTACGTAGCCAACCGCGCTAATCGGAGGTTTGAGTACGTAACGTACTTCTTGTTGGGTAGTTGCGTGCCTTGGCTACAAATATTTAAAACACAACCCCGCGAATTCCAAATAGCACAACACTAAATTTGTCGCGAATACGTAAAAAGGGCGATCATAAAGCCCGCGAAAATTAAGGGTTTCGCTGTACTCGTTCTCTGCAATATTGATGCTCTTGTTTTGTTGCTGCCGTACTCATGCACCACGGGCCTCCCTTGTAAGATAGCTGGGAAGCTGGCAACAGGTAAATATTAAACTTAAAACTAAACTCTGTACAGCGTCAGTTGAATGCTTAATTTATTTATTGGGTGCAACTGTAAACAACAGCCACGTCAGACACGAGTACATCGAATCGGCATGATCGTCGGTTCAATTTCGACGCCGTGGGTCAACGGGGTAAATGCACAAACCCTGCGCCAGCAACGTCGCCACTCACCAAACTCGTACACCTGCTTGCACTTGGAGTCGAGCTCCTCAATCAACTCCAGCAGCTGGCACTGCTTGGCAAGGCGTCGGCAGTCTTCGATGTTCTCCACGTCCGTGTCCATACGACCTTACGCACAGACACGCGCCGTCAATGTGAGGTGGGCTTTGTGACGAAAGAGATGATGCCATGGAGACTAACGTCTCTTTTTCAAAGTCAAGACTCTCCGTGCGTGCAAACGGATAAAGAAACAAAAGTGGCTTTCCGCTCTTTTGAGAATTTTCTGCGGTGCCAATTTCCCGTTTACAGCCCCGCAAACAGTGATGGTAATTCCACATTCCCATGGTAGGGAACAGTCTTTCTGCAGCACAACCACTGTTGACTTCCCCCACAAAGCAATACTTGTTTCACATAGCCTGGAGTTTGAAGGCATTACGTATCCAGGTTTCCCCTCGCTTCACGCGGGTTCGGTTTGTGCGATTTCTCATATAAACAGCTAATCCAAAAATTCGCCGCATGCGGTTTGAATTCACTCATACGCAGCTATGCGGTCGGACACGGGGCAACGTTGCTTGCCTGTACTGTGTGTGCTGCTCGGCAGGCTGCTGTCTCGTGCGGTGCATTGTGGCTCGGGTGACTGTACAGTCGGGTCTATGCTTTCACGATTATGCTTTGTGCGCGATTCATTTTTTGGGAACGCATCTACCGCACAAGGCCAGGAAAACCGGAATATATTGTTTCTATATCTGCACACATGAAATACTGTCGTAAAGGTGCGAAGGTTAAGTGACATTCGTTTATCCACCGCACGATTTATTTTAGAATAATCTCTTTAACACTACAAATTCACCTTGTAAGGAAATTCATTATTTTACGTATGATAACACTCACCTGTATAAAGATACTGCAAAATTGAGCCAAAGGCAGCAGGATTGACCTGGAAAGAACAAGTTGTTGAATCAGTCATTTTTTTGAAGTGAGACACGTGTAGTGGGTTCTATTGAGACGCACTCTCGAGTATGGAGGCAACACGTTTTATTTACTAACACAGCAGGAAAGTCTACACTCAACGGGATAACGACTAAGGGTGGTGACCACCACAGATAACTACATAACCACACGGGAACTCTATATTAGTCGGCCGACTAAGACCTGGCTGGCGGATTCCATTCCCTGGGACAGCAACAACGACGACCCTGCCTGCTTCTCCGCACCGGCTTTTATCCACCCCGGCGTGGCCGGGCCACGCCCCATTCCAGATTCTTCTCGAGGGTTCTGGTTCCCCATCACGTGTCCCTCTCACCCCCTTTGGGGGGGTAGCCCCTTCCACATCGTCTGGTCACGTGTCCTCCCGGGTTCACCCACAGGCCATGTCCTCACGTGCCCTCTCTCTCACCGTTGCCAGGGCTATGCCCCTGCAGTTTCCTTCGTCACTTGGTACTGTGGCTGCCCTCTAGTGACATCTAGTATGTCACTACACATGTACAAATATGCATATAACCTAATCACCCTGAATGTGCCTAATGTCGTCACATCTCAGAAGCTAAGGAGTGTTTCAGCCTAGTTAATGCTTGGATGGGAGACTGTCTTCGAATGCCAGGTGTTACAGGCTTGTGCTGCGAGGTGGCCAGGAGATGGCAGTTCGGCTTGGTAAAGATAAATTGCTGCAAGGAATGATGGGCGATGGTCAAGGATAATAACGAAGTGGAACGTGTCTGAGAGGATGTCCACCCAGGACATGGAGCGATGAGATCAGCTGGCGTGCAGGTACTAGGTTTAATTATTAGATAGCAGGTGGGGTTAATGCAGACCTGATGTCTTGCAACAGGTGTCTCTTTAGTGTTTGAACATCTTACCACCTCCTGTATTATTGCCAGAAAGGTTAAAGGGCTATTCCTTTGTCATGATCTTGACGCCAATAAAAAGGGTCCCATAGATCATGGATTCGTGAGAGGCAGCGAAGACTTGGGGAGGTCTTAATTGAGTGGTGTATTGATCATGGCCGATGGCAATGGTGGCGATGAAAGTCATGCCGTTCACCTACCAGGGGGTGCATCAGAGAAATGATGGTCTTGCCCTTCCACTTTGACTGGAACTTCTCAGCAAAGTAGGGCGAGCGGGCGCAGAGGACGCAGCGATGCGTGCGGAATGACTGCCCGTGCACAATGAAGCACACGTCGCTGTAGAAGCCCTGCTCTAGCAGCCTGCACGCGACCACAGCGGCACGTGTCAACGCAAACTGAACGCCGCCGCCAAAAAAAAAAACACGGGCGGGAGGAATTTTTTTGCAGCGCAAATAGAAGCCCTTGAAAGAGTTTGGTCGGTAAAATAAATACAAGTGTTGTATACAAGTGGATTTTTTATCAACGCTTGTTTTCCCATTAATAATTGCAAGCACACACACACACAACTGCAGGAGGTGGCCAGGTGGCTCAAGAGGCCAATGGCTATGTAGGTTGCAAAAAAAAGTTAAATATACAAACATACAACATCATGTTAGAGCACTTGGCTGGCACCCGTGATTCAACTAAATATTCAACTGTAGCGAGTTCATCATCTCAGCCTGGTTACATATGACTTGCACTGACAATTTTATATAATGGTTTTAATTGTATGAGATAAACAATGTTGGAAGAGGCTGATCGCCCGATGTTTAAATGTGTTATTGGCAGTCATTAGATGAAGACATTCGAATTTTTAACTCTCACAGCTAGCACGGCAACATCCTACGTTAGAGAATGATGAACTATTTTTCACATTACTTCAATAAGAATCTTTGTCCACATTAGGGGCATTCCCTTTACATACATTGCACAGAATATTGCATGTAGAAAGAGTATTGCGGGTACAAATAGTATTGCACGTCAAACACATTGTTTTAATAACAAGAGCTGGTAAGAAATGAATTAAGTAAAACTCAACATTAATATAACAGGGTTGGTTTTTCCCATGAAGTAATTGGAGAGAGGAGGCTGTGACCATCAACTCACTGTGTAAAAAGCCAGCCTAATCATCGAGTACTTCTGATAACAAAATCAGACCAAGTCCGTCTGGTGCTCAGTGACCTCCATTGGTGTCCGGTTGCCAAATGAATACGTCATGAGGTCGCACTCATTACATACAAAGTGCTTGCCACAAACGAACCATACTATACGTTGCAAACCTCGTCAAGGAGCATAAAACCATCATCGCGCAAACTCTGGTTATTCTCGCAGCGGGCTTTAGGCTAACCTTTCAACAAAGACGACCGCCGCATCGTGCACTTTCAGATGCACTTCTGTGGCCGTTTGGAATGCTCTTCCTTCCGATATTAGGAAGCCTCCTCTGAGCTATGCACTTTTAAATCTAGATTGAAAACTAATTTCTTCCGAACTGCTTTTGTGTTTTTTTGTTTGTCGTCCTTCCCCCCCCGCCCCCGCCCGCCCCCGCCACGCCCCCGCACCTCCGATTAGTACGTACCGTACGAAACAAGATTAAGCATACGTACACACACACACACGCACGCCCGAGCAAATTTCATCTGGTGCTCACCTCTCCAGGAAATCATCGTAGAACTCGCGCACCATCCGCCGGGACGTGATCTGCTTGTAGTCGCGCAGCAGGCGCCGGATGCGGTCGCTGAGAGCGCCGTACAGGCAGCGCTCGCCGTCAAAAGTGTTTGCTTCACACTTGGCACCTGCAAGGTGGCGAGATGTCAACTACCTCGTCAGGTACGCGGGAGATCGTGGGCTAGATCCGTCGTGGGTTCCAAACCCGACCCCGACGCCTGCGTATTGGGAGTCGGCGTGCCTCTCCTCCCGTCGTGGCGTGGATTTTTCTCCGGGTCCTCCTGGTTTTCCCCCCCCCCCACCACATTTTAGAAAGATGCGTTTTGAGTATTTGGCTGTTATACATTTACACGTTGAAAGCCACTTCGTTGGGCTATCATTTGTGGCCAGGTCGCTTCTGAACAAAGAACTACATAGCTCAGTGGGCCTTGTCTGGTTAAATAAAATAAATAATAAATAAATATGGACTGACAATTGCCCAAGCTTAAGATCTTCTTCTTTTGTATTGCTCACGTAGATGCAGAGCAACTAAAAATTCACATTCAAGGTGGTCTGGCCAGCGGCAGCGGAATGCATCGCTGCGATGTCTCCTTCGTATTTGTGGATCAGGAATTGCGTCGTAATGCGCTGTACGGTCTGTTCTGGATGACCACAGATGAAGACGAGTTCGGCCAAGGGATGAGTGTTTAGGCATGTGGGAAGAAGCCGAAGCACGTGGAGGAAAGCCACGCGTTGAGAGGAACACTCTATCCCAAACAGAAGGGAGCACATGATTTAAATCTGCAATCTGCTGTACCGTGTTCTCATAGAAAGCCATGGCAAGGAGGCACCTCAACGTCCATGGGAAGTTTTGCAACATTGTGCGGATCCACCCACCAACACCTCCACAGTGCTAGGAATGTCAACGCCGCCTGGCTGTAGTTTTAGCTATTGGTGACTGGGCTGAAACCATTAAGTCACTGTACTTGAAAAACCTGTTAGAATCAACGGCAGCTGCCTGGATTTGAACCCAGGCACTCGGCATTGCCGGCTGAGCTACATGGCCACCCCAAGAGCTTTTATCTTACAGGTAAGTCCATGAGGCTGTGTGTTCCGTGAGGTGTTCATCTGGAGTTTTAAGCATTACAAAGAGGAAAAAAACACATTAAAATCACAAGTCAGGATCTGTGTCAGTGCTGCAGAGATGTCACAGCACTGACATGTTACAGCATATTATGACACTAATGATGTCATGAGTGTCATAATGGCATATTTGAGTCATACCTGTCAACCCCTTATCATTGCCTACCTTATTACAGTCCAATTCAGACCTTATTGGTCACCCCGTGCCCTTATAAATCTCAAAGGTCATCCGACAAAGTCCCATCACAAGGGAGAACCACAAACAAAGACACATTTTTTTTAAAGAATACGGGTAAACCGTATGGGTTGACAGGAATGTTGACCGCAACTTTAAACTGTCCCGTTCCTAATAAATGAAGCTTCAAAATCACGCGAGGCATCCCACAGCCTTGTTTTTTCTGTTTACATCTCTGTATAAAAAGTTAGAAAAGTCTAATTAAAACACAAGACAAATACATCAATGCCACATAAAGATTAGAACTAAAATCAAAAGCTATAACACATTTCTAAATATTAAAACACCATAACACGGCTTGTGTGAATTATTAACAATCTCAACCATTGCAGAAATGGCAAATAGATTTAATGAGCATTTTTTATTCGGTTCCGACGCCTTTATTGCAAGGCCGCACAGGCTGTGCACATAACGGTAACGTTTGAGTGCAACCTCCAACAAATTAATTCTGGAGCCATAATTAATTAATAAAAAATTGCTGCCCTATCAGCTGTGCATAAGTCACCCTATGTTCCTTTCCCCTTCCCCTACCGTTGACGTTATTAAACTTTTGTAAGCTTCTTACCATTTTCCAAAAGGTATTCCACGAGCTCCTCATGGCCGCATAAGCAAGCGTAATACCTGAGAATACACAGCATGCTCATTAACATATTATTACACACTTTCGTTTTCCTGTGTATTATACACATTCGACAAACTTTCCTTTTTGGCTCGAACTAAATAACTCGATTAACGCTCTTGTAATGTACCATGAAGATGACCTCAGCACAAACTGATAATGGAATGGTATAGCTCTAGCAACATCAATTAACAAAAATCCTCTTCTTTGCGACAGTATGGAGGACTAATATCGGCTGTGCCATTAATCGTGGTGCTGGCCACGAATTTACACCGCTTATCCACAGGAAAAAAATGCAGATAATTGGCAGTAAATGCCACTCATCTCCTCTTATTCACGAAAAATATGCAATGGTTAGCAAGCTGCAACTTGCAACCAAAATATTACTGCCAGCCCAATCTCTCGACAGAGCAGTTGAGCCAATGGGGACGTTTTCCTCACCCCTTGTTTTTATCTCAAGTTTTCCTCCACCAATCAGTACGAATGGGTGCACAACAGTTAAGGCAATCGGTAGGTCGCATGTGCTGGGGTAAAGTGTGGGGCACTTCCATCTCTTCTGTGCCATATAGCCAGTGTGGAAGAGTAGGCCAAAATGCAATACAGAGGGGCTCTTGAGCTTCCCCCAGAGGAGACCCTTCATCAAGCAGTGGCATAAGCAAGTGATAACAGGGCTGCACTTTTACCTTTTATAAAAAAATATATATGTTTAGCTGTTTAAAATCTCATTCTGAGTGTCTGTCCATACCAAAGACAAAAAATATGCACTGTAAAAACAAGTCACCATGTGCCAATACCGTAAGAAACATCGCCAAAATATTTTGTGTTGTGTGTGTGCATGTGCCTGTGCACGAACTCGGTTTGACTCCTGCTCACAACCAACACGAGTGACAATTATCTGAAACGGTTTTGGGCCACGTCTAAGTTGACTCGGCCTTAAGTGAGTACCTGGTGCAGTGTGTAAACACCATCACTGTGGAGACAAAGGTGGCCGGGCATGGTGCTGGTCACAGCACACCGTTGTACGCTGTCCTGGGCTTAATAGGCGCTCGCCAACAGCACTTGCCTCATCCTCAGCATATGTAGGCTATACAGGGGACCTTCGCGTATCTGTGTGGGGAGCCATGGCGCAGTAGTTAACACACTGCATTATGGACCCGGAAACCTGACCAACTCCTGGCCATCGCTAATATCAGTGGCGAGCGATAAGTAATCAGTTCGATTTAAAGCTTTCGTGACTGCAAGGATTCATCTTCTTTGGTTCTTTCGGTAAAGTCACGTAGAATGAGAATAAAATAATAAATTGATAAAATAAAATAACACAATAATATTCTCACGACGTTTCGGCCACAACACAAGCGGCCTTCATCAGGTGAAGGGACGAGACTGTCTGGTAGGACAGCGATGGAGTGAAAAAAGCCACGTTCAGATCCTTTGTAAAGGCGCTTTGTTTCTTCTGACACAGCTTAAAGGTCGTGATCTGAACGTGGCTTTTTTCACTCCAGCGCTGTCCTACCAGACAGTCTCGTCCCTTCACCTGATGAAGGCCGCTTGTGTTGTGGCCGAAACGTCGTGAGAATATTATTGTGTTATTTTATTTTATCAATTTATTATTTTATTCTCATTCTACGTGACTTTACCGAAAGAACCAAAGAAGATAAGTAATCAGTTCTAGGCTTGCCTCGGTAAAATCCGCTTCGAATGAGTACCTGCTGCGGTTTGTAAACAGCACTGAGGGGAGCCAAAAGGTGTCCAGGCATGGTGCTGGCCACACCACCCACCAGAGAGCAGTTTACAGCTATGATCGATGCTACAGAGGGATGTTTGTATCTGCACGTGTATCTGTGTCTGCATGGCGAGTGGTATATTACACTGTGAACCAGGTAACTTGAGTTCGATTCCCAGCCACGGCTAATAATAACGAAGAGTGGTCACATAATTTGTCATGGGCCCCCTTGAGGTCCACACTTAACCTTCTACGAGTACCAGGTGAGGTGTGTAAATATCAACACTGGGATAATAATGGAAAACAGGCACGGTGCTGACCATGCTGCCCCCCTTCACACGCCGCCGACCATAATAGGCGCTCGCTAACAGCAGCTGTCCCAACAGACTAATAGTATTAAACGGGGCATTTGTCTTGTTTTGTATATGTCTGCGTGCATCGCTGTGTTTGTGCGCGCGCGCGCGTGTGGTTTACGTACAATGGAGTACTGTCCCATTTATCTCTCACATTCAGTTCCAAGTCCCTCTCTTCCACAATGTCCCTGGAAGGAAGCAGTGGTGGAAATCATGGCAGAGTTGTACTATTGTACACAGCGTTAGCGCGAGACGTTAAACGAGATCACACATTCACAAAGGGGACGGATGGTCAGTTGAGTCTGGGTGGAGTGGCACTCTCGTGACCTGGGAGGTTCACTTAAAGAGTGGGACCAGTCTTATAATGCCGTACTCAGAATCATTTGCAGGCCTCTGTGAATCCACCGGCGGACATGGGCGCCTCCGTACCTTCAATTAGCACGGTGGGGCTACAGACGGTGCGCAAAAAAGTTCAACATACATGCATGCATATGTGTAAGTCACGGGGGTTGTTTAGCCACACTTCATGAAGCTGGTCAGTGCGGATTGATGAGTGGGATTGTGGGGTGGGGGGGGGTGGGTTAGGAGAACCAGTTCAGGTATCAATGGCCACTTACGATAGCCATAACCAGAACTGAGGCCATACATTCACAGCAGGGTACAAGGACCCGCTGCATCACCACTCCCTCCCCGTGGGACCACTTTTACGTCTCCATTAACGTAAGCTCTGGAAACAAATTGTATTCTGCGCTTTGCATAGTGATTATAGTCCATATATTGCATACGTGCGGAAACTCTAGGGACTGGATTGAACTATTTATTATCCTGGGTTGAGAAGGTGTTCCTTCATTCATTACGCGGGTCAAATTCATAGAGCCACGTATTTTATCGAGACACGCAAAATCAATGAATTCACGTATATTTAAAAGCCACATTTCCAGTCCGTGAAGAGAATGAGTCGAGTAACAACAGCAATTATGAGTGGTATGGAGGCACAACTCATTCAGTTGACACTGCTTTAGGATAGGAAGCTGGCTGAAGTTTTCGGCAGACGCATTTTACTTTGGAGCAGAGCGAAGGCAGAGAGACCGACGGTGGCACTGTGAGGCTTTGATAAAACTGGGATCTTTTGGTCTTTTATAATTTTGTTTACACTGAGCTATCCGTGTCATAGCATAAGACAAATCCAAGTCGTATCTCTCGCACACCGGTGTGACCCTTCTTGTTAGAGAACAGCCCACAGAAGCGGACACCAGAGAGCTACTTCTGAGATCCCTTCAATTGATCTCTGGTCAACAGAGTATTGGGTAACACTTTCCCAACTGTCCCAACCACTGCAAGTAATGTACTGTATGTCACAATAGTCAAATCGATATATTGGACTCTCTCAAAGTTGGAATTTAAAGTGATGGTCATTTGCGTGCAGTCATTACTGACAGACCTGAGACTATCAACTCGCTACACTTGAGAAGTTGATTTAATCACAGGCCTGTATTCGAACCCCATTACCTGTGATGCGAGCTCAGCACGCCCAACCTAGGAGCCACCCCAACAAACTCAATACAACCGGGAATCTCTAATAATATTAAGCGCTGGTTTGGCCTCAAACCCCGACGAATATGCTTTTGTTTAGCGAAATCTCTTTCCTAAAGCGTGTAACAGTTCTCTCTCTCTCTCTTTATTTTCAAGTTACTAGAGCCAATAACACGTGGAAGTACAAAGTAAATGTTTGTTATGTAACCAAACGAGTCCTCAAATACCACAATGCTTAGGCTAACAAGTGCAGACACAGCTTTGCTGTTATTTGTCAACGCTACTTTATGTAGATATTTAACTCGGATGGATTAACAAGCACAGCCCCAAAAGACAAAGATCCCACCCCGTATAGCCTTAACAGACTGTTAGCGAGCACCTATTAAGCACAGCAACAACATACACGACAACACATCACATTTACTGCTATAATGAGCCAAGAATGTCAGTCTGTCCCGCGCGTGACATTACTCCACGCCGACCAGCCCCCCTCATTAATAATCATGAACAGGTTACGTCCTCCACATGGACCCCCCCCTCATTCATAATCATAAGCAGGTGACGTCACTCCACATCAAACAGCCCCCCTCATTAATAATAATGAACAGGTGACGTCCTCCAAACTGACACCCCCCCTCCGTTAATCATAATTAGCAGGTGACGTCACTCCACATGGGGGGGGCGAGGCGCCTCCTCCCCCCTCCTCGGCGTCAACTTACAACCCTCACTACAAAGGCAGAACCCTCTCGTCACGTGATCTCCGTGACGCTGTTGAGACATCAAAGTAAAAAGGACGTCATGATGAACAAGGGATTATAACCTTTAAATGAAATAAGTCTGTGTTACCGCGGCCTTAAAAATTGTACATGAATGGATGCAATTAATATCACATCGGGGTCTGCATTTCGAATGCAAGTTTCAGATTTACCGCAATACACCCGTCCTTGGACGGGCAAAAGTCTAGTAACATGATATCGGTGTTAAAAGCACCGAGGTCCAACATGCCGTGTTGGGGGGGGGATGTTTAATTAAATTGACCAAGAGGCCTGCTCGTTCTTTACGTTCTATCACGTCAATGTTGGATAGAGTGTAGTATCTTCGCGAGACATTCATCTCATTAGGCTAGGGTTCAATAAGGGGGGCAAACGACAGATTATGAAAACTGAGTGCTTACATTGTTGATGTACGTATGTTGAACTTCTTTCGCACCGTACGTAGCCAACCGTGCTAATCGTAGGTGCGGAAGGCACCTCCAGAGTAGTTGAAGCAGCAATGGAGCAAGTATAGAATGTTTAGGGTTTTCCTCGTTTGATTATTTACTGGAACTCCTGTTTCCTCCCGAACGAAAACAAAATCTCAAATATAAGGAAACCGGCCAATAAAACCAAGAAAAACACTACTGAAAATGAGTTATAAGGCTCAGTGGGGAATTCTTTGGTTCAAGATGCTATCAAACACAAGTCAAAGGGATTTCCTGCTCAGATAAGCATTCAAGCTGTGCTCGTCACCTGTTTACAGGCCTGAGTCAATGGGCGCTGCGGTAGCGAGATGTTAACTACCTCGCCTGGTATGCAGAAGGTCGTGGGTTCGATCCCAACCCTGGCGCCTGTATATTTGGAGTTTGCGTGTCTCTCTCTCCGTGGTCGTGTGGTTTTTCCTCCGGGTCCTCCGGTTTTTCCCCTCCACATTTAGAATCAACATCACCAGGCATTTGGAGTATTTGGCTGCTGCTGTCAATGTCCACGTGATGATAAGCCGCTTTGTTGAGCTGTCATTTGTGGTTCAGTGGGCCATTACCTGGTAAAGTAAAAGTTTAGTTTGTGTAAATTCCACATTCCTATGGATGGGGGCGAGTGTATCCATAGGACGACCACTGTTGACTTCCATCACGAAGGGGTGCGACATATTGACAGCTGAGAGATGATGGGATGGGTCAACCCCCCCCCACCCACCCGAATCAGTATTTGACCATACAACCTTCCTTTTGTCAGCCACTCACTCTACCGTCCAGTTGCCAACACGTTGAAGCGATATTTAAACTTCACCGGCACGTGGTGCAAAGAAAATGGGCTGAAAAACAAAAGTTCCGTGCTCTCGATGAATATCCATTTGGACAACTTATCCAAGTTGAGTTTGAGGTCCTGGGAATTCCCAACTCCAGCTTGCTCTGGATGCAGCTGCGAGGAGTAATTGACGCGCACGCACCGTTCCGGCGAGCACATCGCACCCGTTGTCTTTGCACTGGCTACCAGTCAAGTTCTCGAGTTCACTGTAAGATTCTGCTGCTGACCTAAGATGCTCTTCTTAAATGGGTTAGTCCCACAATACCCAGCAGGGACTGGTTCCAATGGTATAGTCTCCAACGAGGTTCCCGAGATACTCGGATCGCCTTCTTCTAAGGACTCCGGGGGTGATCGCGCTTTCGCCAGAGAAGCTCCCAGACTATGGGACGATGCTTTGCATTTGGCAGCCAGGCAATCACAGTCACCAGAGATATTCGAATCTCTCGAAAACTCAAACTCTTTCAATTGCTCTTCATCCCCTAGTTCTGGCCGTTTGCCCCGATTCTGTTGTTTCCTGCTTCCTATACACGGCACATTGGGATCTACGGATGAAATGCACCTTACACATTGGAATTGCTACCGTATCTGATGATGACATCTGCTGTTGCTGCCGTTCGCATAACTTGAATGTTTAGTTTTTCTGTTTAGAATGTGTTTGTGGCAGTCTCTCCCTCCTGAATAAAAATACTCAAGTACCCTCCTACAAATTACACTCTCAAAGTGTCAGTTCAAAATAGGGACACTGCAGTATTAAAGTACCGTGCATGTGGCACAACGTGGGTATTTAGACAGCAAAAAGCTCAGATATTTAATGCCGAGTTCTGTGGTTCAACTCGAATTTTGGACTAACTTCTGCGGTTGACATTTGAGACGCGGTGGTACTCATGAGAACGACTCATTTCTCCGACATGTCCCTTGCCAATCCACCGCTGGTTCAATGTCGATGTGGGTGGGTTTATTTAACCATACTTCACCACGTCGGTATTGATTAAGTTGTGGCCGAAAACATCGAACCGAGGTTGGGGGCCAGGTTTGCAGCTCGCCACGTGAACGGGCTGCGTCACCTTTCCAGCCCAACGTCCTGCAAGGATTAATCTTCTTTGGTTCTTTCGGTAAAGTCACGTAGAATGAGAATAAAATAATAAAATAAAATAAGACAATGAAATTCTCACGACGTTTCGGCCACAACACAAGTAGCCTTCATCAGGTGAAAGAACAGAACTGTCGGGGCGACAGTGCTTCAGTGAGCGTTGCTGAGATTCGTAGCGTCTTTTAAGCTCGGTGAGAGGCGTGAAACGTCTTGCTTTGATACGTAAACTCCTTTGTCAAGACGTTTCACGCCTCTCACCGAGCTTAAAAGACGCTACGAATCTCAGCAACGCTCACTGAAGCAATGTCGTCCCGACAGTTCTGCTCTTTCACCTGATGAAGGCCGCTTGCGTTGTGGCCGAAACGTCGTGAGAATTTTATAGTCTTATTTTATTATTTTATTCTCATTCTACGTGACTTCACCGAAAGAACCAAAGAAGATGAAAACGGTACCTATTTTACCGACCACGATTGCTTCCAGTCAAACTGAACTCGGAGAAGGGATTTAAAACAAGTAACAGGTCTCTTTCCCTGCTCAAGACGGGCGCGGGTGGCCACGATGCGGTTGTGGAAATTCCACATTCATGCGGCGGGCACTCCCAACAGAGCACAGTGCCCCGTACGGAGCGATTGCCGCACAATCGATCACAGTAACGGAAACTCACACCGATGATTCCGATCTAGATTTGAAGCTTTCGTGTCTGCAGGGATCCACTTCAGCAATGTGCTTCTTGCCGTGGTCGTACCACCTGATGAAGGACGCTGGTGTTGCGCCCGAAACGTCGCGAATTAAATGTATTTCATTGGATTTGCTCTCCAACACTCAACCGGTGCGTGCTTCACCGGTAACGAATTGGGCACGTGTCTGTTTACGTGACACAACCCTTTACCAATTTGGCTGTGTCGGGTGGTGGTGGTGGTGGCGGGTTTAACGACACATATTTACGCGATCCGACTACCCCCCTCCCCACCCCACCCCACAAAAAAACACCCCTGTCTTATATACTGTACGTTATAGTTCATGACGAAATAACCCGCTGCGATGTGTAAAGGCACTCGCTACGACGTCAACAACAACAACACGTAACAAACACAGCACACACACACACCTGACTCTGCACAAGTCGCCTCGCCTGCAACTCACGAACAGCTCGTTAATCTCCATGCCCGCTGCCGTATCTTGCCCTCTCGTCTCAGTGCCTGGCAGCGGCAGTCGTAGTGGTATTATTATTATTGAAGTTAGTATCTCCTGCTGTTGTTGATGATGATGATGTTGTTGTTGTTACAGTATTTCGTGATCGCCGTTCTGAGTGGCGACCGATCAGCTGTTCCCCTTGGCCCCCAACGTAAACACCCACCGCGCGCTACTGCGCATGCGCCGATTTAAGCGTGCGGGAGGGGGCGGGCGGTGGGGGGGGGACGTCATCGGAAATCTAGCGACGAGAGAGCGCTCTCTCTCTACCCCTCCCACTCTGTCTAGCCCCCTACCCCCACAGCACAATTAGAATGATAGCTTATATTTCTAGATTTGAAGCTTTCGTGACTGCAAGGATTCATACTCTTTGGGTTTTTCCGGTAAAGTCACGTAGGTAAAATAAAATAAAGCAACTAAATTAAATCACGACGTTTCGGAGGCAACACAAGCTTCCGTCTTCAGGTGGAACAATCACAGCAGATATTCTGATATTCTGAAGAATATCTGCTGTGATTGTTCTGAAGAATATCTGCTGTGATTGTTCCACCTGAAGACGGAAGCTTGTGTTGCCTCCGAAACGTCGTGATTTAATTTAGTTGTTTTTCTTTAATTTTATTTTACCTACGTGTCTTTACCGAAAAAAAAACAAAGAGTATAACTTTTATTCTTTGGTTCTTTCGGTAAAGTCACATAGATAGAAAATAAAATTTAAAAAATAAAATAAAAAAATAAAACAAAACTTTAAAATAAAATAAAAGCAAAAAACCCACGACGTTTCGATCGCAACACAAGCGGTCTTCATCATGCACCTGCAACACAAGCGGTCTTCATCATCCACCTGATGAAGACCGCTTGTGTTGCGATCGAAACGTCGTGGGTTTTTTGCTTTTATTTTTCTAATTTTTTTTCTATCAACGTGACTTTACCGAAAGAACTAAGAATATTAATTCCTGCAGTCACGAAAGTTTTAAGTCAGAATGATGAATCTTGCTTTAAAGCTTTCGCGGCTGCAGGAATTCACACTCGTTGGTTCTTTCGGTCAAGTCACGTAAATAAAATAATAATAATAGATCACGACGTTTCGATCGCAACACAAGACGATTGCTTGACGGTTGCTTGTGTTGCGATCGAAACGTCATTATCTATTTTTTTTTATTTACGTGACTTGCCCGAAAGACCCAAGAGTTAGAATGATGACTTGATAAATAAGACCGGGATGAATGAAGCTACATGGCCACCTCAAGAGCTTTCATCTTACAGGTAAGTCCATGAGGCTGTGTGTTCCGCGAGGCGTTCATCGGGAGTTTTAAGTATTACAAAAAGGAAAAAAGCACTTTAAAATCACAATTCAGGCTCTGTGTCAAAGTGCTGCAGAGATGTCACTGCATTGACACATTGCAGCATATGGAAGTGACATCACAGTGATGTCATGGGTGTCATAATAGGTATTTGAATCATACCTGTCAACCCCTTATCAGTGCCGACCTTATTACAGTCAAATTGAGACCTCATTGGTCACCACGTGCCCTTATAAATCTCAACGTTCATCTTACAAAGTCCCATCACAAGGGAGAAACGAAAATTAAAAAAAAAATCGATTTAAAGCTTTCGTGACTGCAAGGAAGGATTCATCTTCTTTGGTTCTTTCGGTAAGGTCACGTAGAATTAGAATAAAATAATAAAATAGCACAACAAAATTCTCACGTTTCGGGCACAACGCAAGCGGCCGTTGTGGCCGAAACGTCGTCAGAATTTTATTGTGTTATTTTATTATTTTATTCTCATTCTACGTGACCTTACCGAAAGAACCAAAGAAGATAAATAAAAATTGCTCGTATTGAAACGGCTGTACGCCGTATGGACCTGAACACTCCCTTGTACAAGAATACGGGTAAACCGTATGGGTTAAAAGGTATGATGGTTCTTTCGATAAAGTCACGTAGATAGAAAAATAAAACTTAAAATAAAAGTAAAAAAAACCCACGACGTTTCGATCGCAACACAAGCGGTCTTCATCAGGCGGAGAGAAAAGAGGGGGCAAGCCTCCAAATGCAACTGCTCCTAAGGCGCTTTCAGAGTGAGCAAAGCTGTACGACGTGAACAGCATGGGCGGGGCAGCCAGCGCCAATGTAGGAGCAAAGCACCACAAGTAGAAGTAGTGCAGGTACAGCGAGTGTGTTAGACAATGGGGGGAGGGAGGGGGTAGAGATAGGGTGAGAGAGAGGGGGGTAGAGATAGGGGGAGAGAAAGGGGGGGGGGAGAGAGAAAGGGGGGGTAGAGAAAGGGGGGGGCGGGTAGAGAAAGGGGGGGAGAGAAAGGGGGGGGAGAGAAAGGGGGGGGGAGAGAAAGGGGGGGGGGGTAGAGATAGGGGTGGAGTTGAAGGCGAGGTCGCAGTCCAAGTGTGTTAGACAATGGGGGGAGGGAGGGGGGAGAGATAGGGGGAGAGAGAGGTGGGGTGGAGAGAGGAGGGTAGAGATGGGGGGGGCATTGCACCTCGCTACACCCATCCACACTACTGACGGTAGAGGTTGACAAGAAAACACAAATCAAGTCGTGACCTAAAGTGGTTGATGACATCTTTCCAATGATTGCTGAATTTAAAACCGTCGTCTCGGTTGAAATTGTGTCTGTGTCTATATATATGGATGGCTTCGTGAACGAATCTTTGTTGATAGGTATGATGATCTTTGAATTTGGTGATGATGCTGCTGCTGCTGCGGCGTTATCAGTGGCGCACCAAGGCAAAAAATAAAGTTTCGCAAACAAATATTATTTATAATAAAGGTTTGTTTGGGGTGGTTAGATGGCGTAAATGTCGTCAGGCGATGAGCCAGAATTGGTCGCGAAAGCCTACGTGTTACACTGTCTTCTCATTTTGTTTGTATGTAATCCGTAGAACCTGTAGTCCACAACGTAGCATCGATGCAACTTGGTAAACATATTTACAGCGAGGGAAAAAAGTATTTGATCCCCTGCTGATTTTGTACGTTTGCCCACTGACAGAGAAATGATCAGTCTATAATTTTAATGGTAGGTTTATTTGAACAGTGAGAGACAGAATAACAACAACAAAATAACAGAAAAACGCATGTCAAAAATGTTATAAATTGATATGCATTTTTAATGAGGGAAATAAGTATTTGACTCCTCTGCAAAACCTGACTTAGTACTTGGTGGCAAAACCCTTGTTGGCAATCACAGAGGTCAGACGTTTCTTGTAGTTGTCTACCAGGTTTGCACACATCTCAGGAGGCATTTTGTCCCATTCCTCTTTGCAGATCTTCTCCAAGTCATTAAGGTTTCCAGGCTGACGTTTGGCAACTCGAACCTTCAGCTCCCTCCACAGATGTTCTATGGGATTAAGGTCTGGAGACTGGCTAGGCCACTCCAGGACCTTAATGTGCTTCTTCTTGAGCCACTCCTTTGTTGCCTTGGTCGTGTGTTTTGGGTCATTGTCATGCTGGAATGCCCATCCACGACCCATTTTCAATGCCCTGGCTGAGGGAAGGAGGTTCTCACCCAAGATTTGACCGTAGATGGCCCCGTCCATCGTCCCTTTGATGCAGTGAAGTTGTCCTGTCCCATTAGCAGAAAAACACCCCCAGAGCATGTTTCCACCTCCATGTTTGACGGTGGGAATGGTGTTCTTGGGGTCATAGGCAGCATTCCTCCTCCTCCAAACACGGCGAGTTGAGTTGATGCCAAAGAGCTCCATTTTGGTCTCATCTGACCACAACACTTTCACCCAGTTGTCCTCTGAATCATTCAGATGTTCATTGGCAAACTTCAGACGGGCATGTATATGTGCTTTCTTGAGCAGGGGGACCTTGCAGGCGCTGCAGGATTTCAGTCCTTCACGGCGTAGTGTGTTACCAATTGTTTTCTTGGTGACTATGGTCCCAGCTGCCTTGAGATCATTGACAAGATCCTCCCGTGTACTTCTGGGCTGATTCCTCATCGTTTCCATGATCATTGCAACTCCACGAGGTGAGATCTTGCATGGAGCCCCAGGCCGAGGGAGATGACAGTTCTTTTGTGTTTCTTCCATTTGCGAATAATCGCACCAACTGTTGTCACCTTCTCACCAAGCTGCTTGGCAATAGTCTTGTAGCCCATTCCAGCCTTGTGTAGGTCTACAATCTTGTCCCTGACATCCTTGGAGAGCTCTTTGGTCTTGGCCATGGTGGAGAGTTTGGAATCTGATTGAATGATTGCTTCTGTGAACATGTGTCTTTTATACAGGTTAACAAGCTGAGATTAGGAGCACTCCCTTTAAGAGTGTGCTCCTAATCTCAGCTCGTTACCTGTATAAAAGACACCTGGGAGCCAGACATCTTTCAGATTGAGAGGGGGTCAAATACTTATTTCCTTCATTAAAATGCAAATCAATTTATAAAATTTTTGACATGCATTTTTCTGGATTTTTTTGTTGTTATTCTGTCTCTCACTGTTCAAATAAACCTACCATTCAAATTATAGACTGATCATTTCTTTGTCAGTGGGCAAACGTACAAAATCAGCAGGGGATCAAATACTTTTTTCCCTCACTGTACGTATTTGGGAATATAAGGAGGCGTTTGTGTGTGAGAGCAGTTATAAATAATACTGGGCGAAACGTCTGCATTTAAATTCTTTATTTTATCTAAGTTGAGCACGTCAATTAATACTCCATTGTAGCGTTTGCAATCCACGTCTTTGGATTCTTTGGCAATCATTGAATTATAGTAGGTGGTCAGGATTTTAGTTTTTATAGAACATTCACAATTTCGATTTAAAGCTTTCGTGACTGCAGGTATTCATATTCTTGGTTCTTTCGGTAAAGTCACGTAGAAGGGATAAAGTTAAGTTTCAAATTTTATTGATGTGGTTTTCACACCTGATGATGATTGCTTGTGTTGCAATCGAAACGTCGTGAGAATTTTATTTTTTATTTCCCTTCTACGTGACTTTACTGAAAGAATCAATAATAAAAATTCACAATGCTATGAACATAAAGCATGTCTTATATACACCCCAAATTATCAACTGCTCACACTCAGTGCGTGATTGGTGCATAGAGTAACTCTCATTTGCCAGGGATGTTCACAAATCCCACCGTTTCATTCAGTTCAGCAATTTTAATCTCACATACATCCGCTTAATTATAAAGCACAGTAAAGCACTTTCTGCTGTTTGCACTTAATTTAAATCCAGTAACCTGTTTGAGCATGCATGGTATCTGAAAGATGTTCACGTATCTGACCTTTTCACCCATTTGCCTTTCTCAGCCATCCTCCTCACCCACCCTCCCCCTGCAAGTTAGATATGCGAGCACGTTCTGTACAATCACGAGACAAACATCCTATTTTTCACGCTCGACAGTTAAAAACGTCAATAATTACAGTCCAGTTTTTTTAGACATCACATTTTGCTATGGGCTACTGAAAAGGTTTACAAACTTATGCAATCACAAGCTACATTTAGGCAATAGCTCACGTGAGCTGCGCTCACACAAGTACAGTGGTTGTCATCTTCTGCACCCCAATTGTAGTGGAGATAACAGCCCTTTGGTCAACCCACTGCTAAATGAGGGCTTCCCTATGCTGTAGGGGTCACGGGGGTTATTTGGCCACACTTCAACATACTGGTTGGTGAGGTCAGAGATCACAGATTCGCCAGCACAGGAGTATAGCACAACGGATTTCACTGCCTCGCTACGCAAGTTCCAATCACATCACGCTGTTTCCAAAACTGTAAATGATGCCATGCAGAATTGTCTGGATTTTAAACATTTCGCACCACTAAGACATATTGCAGTTTAGTGTATATACAAATGTAGACAGAGACGATGCGATATTCAAAATGTTTAAATGTTATGCAAATTACAGCGAATAAGCATACAGTAGTTTTCACTGGTGATAAGAGCACAAGCCAGGGCTGGATTGACCCCATAGGCAAATATGTGGTTCGGCCCTCATGCTTTGTAGGCTTTCCTTTCAGGTCCTTCATTTCACACTGAAGTAACAGCTGAGCGACGGTGGCAGCAAGGCCATCGGAAGTGTTTTGTCTTTGAATACCGATGACGGAATTCGTGACTTTGCCACAGCTAAATCCAGGGGGGGTAAAAATGTTTGAAGAAATTAGTGTCGTGATTCATGTCTGATGAATTTACCTTGAGTGGAATACATGTCAATTTTACACGGGTAAATACATATTTGACGACTTCATACACCTTTGCAATATGTAATACATAATTCGACTCTTTCCCCTCCTATTAACCTGAGGACCCTCATAACCTTAATCCAGCCCTGACAAGAGCAGCTTACTTTATATAAGTCATTACACCCATTAGATATTAAAGTGCTAATGTTATCAGAAAGTACACAATTGGTTTCCTGTAAACAACAGCGGTGATGGTAATGGCCGGGGGTCGGCAACCTGCGGCGCCGCGTGCGGCTCTTTAAGGGGCCGCTTTGTGACGCGTTGTTCATTAAGGACGACCGTCTCGTATTCACTGCGTGCATTGCGGCCCTTGAAATATTGAGTTATTTTTTACCGAATTATAAAAAAAAACGGCTCTTATTATTATATTGGTTTCCGACCCCTGGCGATGGCCAATCGACAAAAGCTTCCATTGTTTTGTTCTCTTCCTGGCATCATTGGACTCTTGCACACGATGTAAAGATTATAGTGCTTCACCAGCAGGATTAACGAGTGAACTGTTTAATTTACACACTGAAAAAATTTAATATACACTTTACACGAAATTTATCTTTATTACGTGCTCACATACAACGCAAATATTACTGCACATTAGTTTTCTAAAACCTCTTTTTCACTGTACAACTCAGCCACGCCAGAGTCGTGCAGAGCCAGCTCAGCATGGCTCAGGAGGCGTCAGGTTGTTTTTTCCACTGCACAACCCGAGCTGTGCCGCTGATATCACATGCAATGAGCAAGTGGAGACAACATGTTTGAGTTGTACCGACTGATGTCACACACAATAAATGTGTCATTAACATCACCCCTGGCCCTGCTTGGCCCCAAGCCAGATTAAGTTTTCTTGTGAGGACAGTTTAGTTCTGGCTCAGGATGGAAAATAGCCAGTGGAAAACCACCTGTACGGATCATTTGGGCCCTGTGCTGGTGTGGCTCTGATGTGCCCATGGAAAATAAATATATTCCAAGTTACTCTTAGAGATAACAAAGAGATGTTGCTATAAAGTGCAGAAAGTCCCATAGGTTAAGAGAGCTGGCATCTGCTGCTGTGGCTTTAGCTGGGTTTGCTCTGCATTGGAAACTGAGAGACATCTTCAGCAAGCATGGGTGACGACAGGTAGGTCTCCACCTCCCTTTGCTTCATCAGCAAGCCCTGTCGGTGAAGCAGAGTGGAAAATTACATTAGTAATTTATAACTCAGAAATTATAATGCACACCGTTTCATTCACTCTCACAGGGACAGAATTATTAGCAGTAGCAGAAAACCACAAGACTGGCTGGGATGCGGCCAGAACTGGCACCAACAATTACCCAAGCTCTGTGGTCCTATATTGGGATGTTGGCCAAAGTCGACCAAAAAGTGTTCGTACATGTGGGAGGAAACCAGAGATTGAAATAAACACATTTATTTCAAGTTTGTTAATCCACTACTCAATGAGGGCTTCCCCATGCCATGCATGTTATTGGAGCAAACTGGACCACGCCGGAGAGCATAGATGTGGAAGCATAAAAGTACAGTGCAACAATGGGTTTTGCTGTACTGCCTTTTATTGCCCTTACTAAAGAAATGTAAGAATTAGATGTTGATAGCAGTATCATTGAAATACATTGTATGCTTTAATGCCATATTGTACCTGTCTGAGTTGGGAGAGCCCCTCAAGAATAGCCTTTTGCCTGTCCTTAGACTTCAGCAGCTCCGGGTTGAGAAGAGGATCGCGTGACTGCTCTGAACTATGCCTCCGCTGCTCCAAATATCCTGTCCACAGAAACAACAAAATCAAATTTTTAATGAGACTGGCAGCTGTTGAGTTTTCAACGAGAGGCATGTCCCAAGCCAACCTTTCACGCGACTTGTAAGGATACAATCGCACAGCACACACACGCTAATATAGTTGGTAAAACGTGTTATTGATAAATACAAGAGTGTTCTTTGCATGTCAAACTGTAACATGTATGTCTCGGAGGTGAAAATAAATGAACTAAAAGGCAACCTTCATATAATCCGTTTTTATTTTCCTGGTGCAGTAATTGGAGAGCAATTCCACCACTGGTTCTGGGCTGTAAAATGGCGATGAGCAATGTCTCAATGCTCATTCGAGCAGGAATTCACTTAAGACTTCGTGGTCATTTGAGCCATTGGTCCGAAAATTATTTTTTGAGTTCCAACTACGGTGGCATACGCTAACAGCGATTTTCGAGCTTTCGTCTCTCCATCACAAAAATGTATCACAGCAAGTTCACTGTGATAGTTTTTTACGAAAAACTAAAATCATTAAAAGACGGGTTATGCGGCAATTTTGGAAGAAAAAAACAAATGGGACATGAGAAATCGTCAGAATATGAAAATTATTTGGAAGTATCCACATAAAACACAGTATCTAGGGTAAGCGCTCTGCTCCATGATCGACTCTCCATGGTGGATACTAGTCGCATTTGCCATCCCAAGTGGTACAGACCAACCCCCTTGGCTTATGGGCGAGATGTGAACTATTTTGCCTGGTATACAGGAGGTCATGAGTTCGATCCCAACCATGACGCCTATATATTTAGAGTTTGCATATCCTTCACGTGATCGCGTGGGTTTTTCTCCGGGTCCTCCGGTTTTCCCCTCCACATTTAGAAACATGCGTTTCGAGTGTTTGGCTGCTTTAAATTTACACACGATAAGCCACTTCGTTGAGCTATCATTTTATGGTCAAGCCGCCTCTGAAAAAGGGCTACGTAAGCTCAGTGGAGCCTTGCTTGGTAAAATAAAAAAAATAGTTTGGTTTAACAGTTTAGTTTAAATTGACGCCGAGCGAGTTCATCGCGGAGGTGCAGAGGCATCTCAACGTACCACGGCCGTATCTGTACTGCGACTCGTTGGTTGGTGGGCGTGACATGGGCGCGTCGGGGTCCAGGTAGAGGACATCATCGCTGCGCAGGTACGGCACAAACGCCGCGTTGGGAGGGGAGGTCTGCCCGGCCCTGCTCGCTGGGGCTTGCCGGCCGCGTTGGCCTCCGGCTTCCCCGACATCGTGCAGCGGAGCCAAGCGGTGGGAGGCGATGTGAACCGCCTCTGGAGCGTGGCCGGCACCCCTCTCTGCGTGGTCGCCACCTGCGCCCGCCTCCTCCTCCTTCTGCTGCTGCTGCTGCTGCAATCTGTGTCTGAGCGCCGGAACTGCCGGTGAGTCCAGTCTAATTTTCACAGTGTTCAACAACATAGGATCGATACGTAACAGTGAGCGTCAGCCCTCCCTGGAGACACTATGGAGTGTCAAAACTTAATATAACCAGCACTGTAATATCGAGACTTAATTTCAAATGCCCCGAGCACCTTTACAGATTATACATATGAAATATTCCTGTCACTTTGCAAATTGTGACGAGAGAAGTCTGCGTCAGATGAATTAGTTTCGTAGCAATTCAAAAGTACCTGTTTGAAAACTCGACATTGCCTTGTTGAGTTCTCTGGGTTGTATTGTTGTGTTCCGTCAATGGTTTCTGTAAGAAAAAAACATGTTTAGCTAAGCAAATGATGGAAAGGAGGTGTTTTGTCCGAAAATAATTTGTTTACATTGTACAAGTATTAAGATTTGCTGGGGGGAAAAGAAAAAAAACAAAAAACTCGCTCGCCTTTTTCTGCACATCCCCTGCCTGGAGTTCCGTCTTGTCCGCGAGTGACGGCAGTGCCCGCGAGGCCTTCTGCTTGTGCGCGGCCTCCCTGGCGTCTTCCTGGCGGGCGGCGTCGCTGGCGGGGGCCTGTCCCTTGCTCACGACATTCCTGTTGACCATCGCCAGCAGCTGCTCCTGCCGCCTCTGCTTGCGTGCCTCCCGCTCCAACTCCCTTTTCTTCAGAGCCTTGGGGTACTTATCGGAGGCTCGGGTAGCGCCGCCTCTGCTCGGGAGAGAAAACCAGCGTGTCTTCTCGGGCTCACAGCTAAGGTGCTCGTTATGGTCTTGAACTGCTCGGGAAATGTTACGGTAATCGTTGCAAGCAACCATCACCAGCAATGCATCAACCATTTTCGACTTTTGTAAGCTGGCAGCCTACGAAATGTTAATTAACAGTCACCTGGTCACGCAGCACAATGGCGTTACAAGATAAGCTTTTCTTATGGGAAAATAATAAATGAGTAGGCTTTCTCTTTCATCACCTCTGATAAGAACTGTTGGCTACGTACGGTGCGAAAGAAGTTCAACATTTTGGCTAGCCATCGAAAAAAGATGGTCACCACATCACGCGCTTTCAGATGCGCTTCTGTGGCCGTCTGGAACGCTCTTTCTTCCGATATTAGGAAGCCACTGGAGCTATGCAGTTTGAAATCTACATTGAAAACTCATTTATTTAAAACTGCTTGATGTGTTTAGTTTGTTGTCCTTTCCCCGGCACCTCCGATTAGCACGGCTGACTATGAACGGTGCGAAAGAAGTTCAACATACATACCTACGTACGCACCTAACCTTTAACCTCATCACACGTGATCGACTGCAATTCCAGGAACCCGACGAAGAAAACAGTGAAGGTAATCGTTACTGACCCCGCTGGATTAACGCACCCCACAACAGGTTTGGTGGTCATATTCCACGCCGGCTTCGTTTCAGCATTATCTCTCGGGCTCTTGCGTTTGGCGGTATCGCTCTGGCCCGGCGTCTTGGAAGACGCCTCCTCATCGTGGCCGCTCTGCTTGTCCGCTCCATTTCCTCCGGGCCTCTCCCTGTCGATGCGACTCCTGCACGTGACTCCGGTGTTGCTGTACTCTGCGGGGACGTGCGGCGTGGCGGGAGGCCGTGTGGAGTCCGCAAAGACGCGGCCCGTTCCGTCGCCGCCCCTTGCCGGTCTTCCAGTGTCCGCATCTTTAAAGAAACCAGCCAAAGGTAAGAAAAGTAAATATATATATGTACGTAACAAAACTCTGGGCAACAAACGTGAAAAAAGGTGTTCCTATATGAAGCGCAAGCTGCAAGTTCACGTGGCAGACAGCAGAGGGCAGTGCAGCAATCCATTGCTGTACAATCTGGGCGGGCCGAGAAATCATGAAAAACTGCGCACGTTTCAAGTTGAAACACATTCTTGCATTGCGGGCAACTACTACCTAACCATACCAGTGAGTCTGGAGACCCAACATCCCGGATATAGGAAGGTGGAATCGAGGGAAGATTGTGATCAAAGGGGACCAATTACTTAAAAAGGATGGGGGTCAAATAAAGACATGTTCACATTGGGCTGGGCTAACCTGTCTGCATGCCGATATATTGCAACTCCACTGTCAGAAACAAATGCACAACAATGTTATATAAATGCAACATAAACAGTAGATTAGAGCAACAAATCAACAATGTGTATTATGCAGCACCAGGCCACCAGCCATTAGTATAAATAACAACACAAATAAAACACACTTTAAAAACATTGCATATTTTGTTTATGGCATCTTAAATTGTTTAAAATTCACTTGCAGCTCCCTGGGTTCACACTCAGGATCTCAGCGGTTCCAGCCCAGCGCTCAGGCATCTGAGTCAGCTGGTCATTTAAGATTGATTAATAATTATACTAATTATCAAAAAAACATTTAACGAAAAATTTCAAGGAATCTTTAAAAAATGCCAATCCATCCCTTTTTCAGCCATAAAATGAAGATAATTAATTGCTCATGCCACTGATGGTGGAAGAGCGTCCGCTGGAGGGGGCTGCAGATAGCCCTTCTCAGGGGTATTTTGCCTACTCTTCCAGGCTGGCCAGATATCTTGGAAGAGGGAGTGCCCACAAACACACACACAGCCTGCCGATCGACTTTCGCGTACCAATTGATACCACTGGGTGGACAGAGGAAGAAGGGGAGTTTAAGAAACATGCCGATCATTTCAACTGCCATGCCGAGAGAGGACCCAGGGCAGTCCCTGGACTGTAAGCCCGGTGTGCGAACTATTACACCAACACAGGCTATGTAGTGGGTCCAACTGAGTCGCAGACGTTGTTCCTTTTAGAGGCAATACTTTTATTTGTAACACCGTAACACAACGGGGTAACTGTCCCTTTACCAGACTACACCCTAAGGTGGTGACCACCCAGCTAACTACACTGTACAGGGGAGTTACTGCTACTCGGGTCAGCTCCGCCCTCGGCCCCGCCCGCCTTTGCAAACATTCTCGTTCCCTCTCGATCCTTCTCAAGAGCTCTCTCCGGACACGTGACCACCCATTAGTCCCCCCCTACCCGGGGCTCCCCTGTGTGGACATTCCAGATCACGTGTCTACGGGGTCAACCAGAGTGCCACGGCCCGGGGAAAACCCTGCCCCTGGGCTGACACTCACCCCCTCCGCCTCGGGGGAGCCCGCACCACACGCTGTGCGTGGTGCCCGCACTATCCCAGTGCTCGTCTAGCCCCGCTAGGGCTGGTGTCGCACACAGCCACCCACACGGTGCTGTCCACGCCAGGGCTGGTGTTACACACAGCCACCCACACGGTGCTGTCCACGCTAGGGCTGGTACTACACACAGCCACCCACACGGTACTGTCCACGCTAGGGCTGGTGTTACACACAGCCACCCACACGGTGCTGTCCACGATGTAGGAACATCGAACGGCACGACCCTTCCGGGCCGGCACCATACAGTGACATCCCCGATGTCACTACAGATATACACAGCACAGCTTTCCAGACTACAAACATGTGAAGTAATAATCTGGTCAAACCTGTCTGCACACCCGTGTCCTTCATGGACGACTCTGGTTCGTGGACACGCAGAGTTGAGCGAGAGTGACCATCCCTCTGGCGAACCGTTTCTTCCTCCACGGCCACGTAAACTGGGCCGTCACGAGTCGGCATCCCTTGAAATTGAGGGTACAGCAAGGGTTATATGTCGACTAGAAGTGTTCACATGAATGATACAAACTACAAGGCGTATTTTGCGACTTACATACATTTTACTTTTAAATGTACATTAAAGAAACATCAAGCTGTGTACATACGATGCATGTATGCCATTTTTATGGTGGGTGTTAACTTGTGTTCACATTACAGAATTCTTCTGGTAATATGGAGGTTGATGTACGATTCAGGAAATTTCAAGACAATATGAAATTACTTTCTGCATTTTATTCTGATTTCTTGGATTTTTTAGTGAAATGTCACATCTAATTGTTCAAGTCAGTTGTGAGAATTGTTCTTCAACTTACTGGTGAGCTGAAACAATAAATAACTGGCTGAAAGAATGCATAATCAGCGAGTTAAACACATATTGTTTTTTGGCTATGTTTGGTGTTGGAGTATCTTAAACGACACAAATTTGGCAACATCAATGTGACCGTAACCCAAAAATCTATTATGGATCATCAACATTAAATGCTTTGTCTTGCGTCCTCCTTCTCTGGCCAGTGTCCTTCCTTGAATTAACATACCAATATTCAACCACTGACCTTCCCTGCTGCGACGGAGGTTGGAGACGTCATGACCCTTGCGAGCCAGCTCCCTCATTCTCTGCTCCTGCTTATCACGGAGGGCCTCCTCCTGAGCCCTCTGAACACTCTGGTACAGGTTCTCCGTCTTCCTGGTCCGATTCTCCTGCACGGGAACAACAGGAGGCCCACAAATGAGTAAGGCCCAGACATGCTTTACGTTTGTATGTATGTTGAACTTCTTTCGCACCGTACGTAGCCAACCGTGCTAATCGGAGGTGGGGGGTAAGGACAACAGGCTAAACGCAAAAAGCAGTTTTAAACGAGTTTTCAATTTAGATTTAAAAGTGCATAGCTCCATTGGCTTCCTAATATGGCGAAGGAAGAGCATTCCAGATGGCTGCAAAAGTGCATCTGGCTCACCGCCGAACAAAGACAGTGACGGTCTTTGTTCGATGGTTAGCCAAAATCCACTGCTGTGAGGATGACCGGAGTAAGCATGTGTGGTTAATTTAGACTTGGTGCCTTGTGATGAGTGTCTATTTGGAGTTTGAACATCTAAAAACCTCGATTATCATATTCTTGGTTCTTTCGGTAAAGTCACGTCTGAAGGGAAACAATAAAATAATAAAATATGTAAAACAATACAAATTCTCACGACGTTTCTACTGCAACACAAGCAATCATCATCATCAGGTGTAAAAACCACAGCAAGAACATTTTCGATTCAACGGGAAACAGAAGCTGACAGCTGCTGCTGTGCAATTTGAAATTGAAGTCCAATGTCAAGGACGGGTGGCTAATAGACTGCATTAGCAAAGTACAACCATGACCTTCACTCGGAAACCTGGGAAATGGGAACACATGGCAAGTCTCTGTTCGGGGAGGTACAACAATTCGCTGTAATTGAGACGATAGATTTATATGCTCACATCTTATGACATGATAAAAACTGATCCTTTAATGACTGACATGCTTAGTATTGTCAGAGGTCACAATTGATATCGGGGTTATAGTTCAATATAATTGATTAGTTGTTTATCATCTCATTCATATTTTTCTCAGTTGTTTGGTCTCTTTTACAGTTTTTCTCACTCCACTAGCCTCCTAGTAACATTACCATATTGTGTGTATACGACACAAACTATTAGAGGATTTACAGCCCTTTTTCAATCCACTGTTGTATAACGTGTAAGTCATTAGGGTTTTTAAACTATACATCACCACTGATCATTACAGGTTCAGTGGCCAGAACCGGTTCAGATATTACTCGCCACTGATGTTGGCCATAGCTGGGTATTCAACTGAGGTCTCTGGGTTAGTCATACACCGTGTTAGCCACTGCAACATTGCTCTACTCCATTTGCATTAAAATCTTCATAAATCATGAATAATTGCTTCTCACGTGCACAATTCCATGCATGTTTTGTGAGCAAAAAAAATTATTTAATCGATGCATCCTTTAATTCATAGACAATTCCACACATTGGGGTGGTGTCATAGTCAAGCGGGCGCGCATTTGCTGCACGGTACAGAGGGGATCATGGTTCAAACCCGGCAGCCGCCCTGGTTCTGACCATGTGTGGTATTAACCATAAAAGTGTGCCGTCTGCTTTATGGTAAATATTAAATATCCCACGGAAATAAAATAGTCGGCCATGTGTGCTGGTGTCACCCATCCAAATTTGGAATCACTCACAAATTACTTGATTGGGTAAAACGACATAGCAACATCACCCCCCATTAGTAGACTATACAAATTTGTAAAACATAGTGCGCCGTTGTAAAGGCCTTTTGCTCGAATAGTATATTGAATGTTGCTGTAATTAATCAACAGATTTTAGCATGCTGTGATCCATAATAGAGTTTTTTTGGGGTTAGATCGCATAAATATAAATGTGTCGTTAAACCCTCTACCACCTGACACGGCCAATTAGTTGGTTTGCCACGTGAACAGAACGTGCCAATTCATTACTAGTGTTGGAGAGCAAATCCACAACATTTACAACACACCGGTGTGCTGTACAAGTAACGAATTGGTATGTTCTGTTTACATGACAAAACCTTACTAACGGCTGTGTCCGGTGGTGCCGGGTTTAATGACACATTTACATTTACACGATTTAACCCAAAAAACCCAAATTGTGGATATTGGTCACGAAAGCATACATGTTAGACTGTGATCATCCGGCAACAGAATCAACGCTCTAGAACCGATCGGCATTTGTTCATATACCACATGCATATTCAGGGCCTAGAAAACTCAACAACACCAAGGCTGTTTAAGCCATTCACTGAAACACAAATGCAGCACGTATTTTTCATTCTCCGCCAACGTGTGAAAAATCGCCGCACCTCTTTTTGCCGCAGCTTGGCTTGCTCCTCCAAAAACTGTCTGTTAAGGCGATGCCGTTCCTCGGTAATCTTCCTCTCCGCCTCCTCCTCCTCGTACCTCCGTCGCTCGTCCTCCAGGAGCTTATGACGACGTCGCTCCTCCATCTGGCTGGCTATCGCTTTCTGAAAACAACGCGCGACGTTGCACGCTCAACTGCAGTAACCCATTTAACAACAACAGGTTAATGGGCTCTCTGACTGTGCCTTTTACCACGTGCTGTTCGACATGATGTCCACACATCGTGCAACCCGAAAACACATCACAGAGCTATGCAGCACAACTGTGAAACTGTGAAAACCTACACTTTAAATGCCCCTTAATATCATGTGTCCTTTCATTGAAGTGGTTAATTGTGATAGCTGCTTAACTGTAAGTTGTCCTTTTAATTTCTTATTTATTGTTTATTTCCTAACCAGCAAGGACTGGTGGTGCAGTGGTAAGCCTGAAGAACCCGGAGACCTCGGTTTGATACCCGGCCATGGCTGACTCCAGCGGTGAGTGACATCGGAACGGGTCCTGGGCGCTTCCTTTCACCAACTCGCAGCAAATCAGGGTGCCGAATTATGATCAGACAAACCCCAAGACTGACAAGACATGGGGCAGTCTTCATCGAGCAGTGGATTGAAAAAGGGCTATACATGTTACATTACTTTAAGCAACTTCTCACTGCTCCATCCCCACCCATTATACTATAATCGCACGCATTTGTGCCCATCAGTACTATACATGTGTAGTGACTTGACTCGGAGACACTAAGAGTAGGAGGCACTCTGGTTTATTAACACGGCCTGAAAGTTCACACTTGGTACCTACGGTCCCCAGTCAGTACAGCTGGTAGTAGACTGCCTGACTGGCGACGCCGAGATGGTGAAGACGGAGACGGCGGCGAAGACTCCAGCAGCACGACGGAGATCCCACTCCAAACGACAGCCCCGAGGTCCCCTCCAGGGGCCCCTCCTTTACTGTCAGCGTGGCCTGGCTCCGCCCCCGGCCACGCCCCCTTCTGGAACCTACTAGCGGGTTCTCGATGAGCCCCTTCCGTGACCCTTCCTCTAGATCCCTCTCTGGTCTATCACGTGGCCTGCTGTCAGTCAGGGCTGCTGTAAGCTGCAGATCCCCTTCCCTTCCAGCAGCCAGCGCTATGCTGCTACTGACCGATTCTATGTCACTATACATGAACCAAACATAATAATAATACCACAGTATTTTAAATAAGCAATAAGTTGAGCTATTCGTGCAAGCATGTAAAAAATCAATTGTGACTAATACCTGATGCTCCAGCTGTTTTAGCCTTTGTCTTTCCCTCTCATCAAGCTGAGCTGGATCCAGAAGGGCTGTCATTGTTCTCAAGTGGCTGAAAGTCAAAACAGTAAAACCAAGGTGATAATAACTAAAAAAAACAATCTGAATGTCATCTGCGGTTCACGTGTGTCTAGGACTCTGCGGGTTTCACACACTCGTTATGCACGTGTCGTTGAACAATTGGGGCTCCTTCCATGGTGTAATAGCACAGTGGCCTTGTTATCCAGAGGTCGCCGGTTCGATTTGATCTTTCGGCGTGGCAGTTGAAACAATGGTGCAGGTTCCTTAAATCTCTCTGTGGTGGCGAGATGTTAACTACCTTGCCTGATACACAGGAGGTCGTGGGTTGGATCCCGACCCTGACGCCTGTATATTTGGCATTTGCATCTTCTCCCCGTGGTCATGTGGATTTTTCTCCGGGTCCTCCGGTTTTTCCCTCCACATGTGTTTAAGAGTATTTTGCTGCTGTAAATTTCCAGGTGGTAAGCCACTTGGTTGAGCTATCATTTGTGGCCAAGTCACTTCTGAAAAAGAGCTGTATAGCTGTGTGTCTTACCTGATCAAATATTTTTTTTTTTTTTTTTATAAATCGGTGCACCACAGTTTGTCGATTGGCAGGTGGCATGTGGTGGGGTCAAGTGTGGGTACACCTACCTCACCCAAGTTGTCTGGCCAGTGTGGAAGTGTAGGCCAACTACCCTCTACAGTGACTCTCGAGTGAAGACGCTGCCGCCAGTAGTAGCTTGAGAATTGTAGGGCTGCACCTTTCACCCTTGAAGCACAATTAGCGTGGCTCCGTCAATGTCAACATTCTTATTTACCTGTTTATCGGAGAAGGAAGCTTTGAAGCATCGGTCAAGGGCACATGAGGACTGTGGAGTGGATCCTGGGGATGAAAAGTCCTCCCCGCATCGAGGCGGACAGAAGTTACCGCACCGTGGGTTTCAGCCTGCGCAACATTGGGCTTCTGGCTGAACGAATCAAAGTGTGCCTCCCATTTTCCTTGATCCGCTTCCTGTGGATAAAGAAGGCATTCTGCATAAGCCCGCATGAGCTTGCATAAGCCACAATTAAGTGCACCAAATCGATTCCGTCCCTTAATCATCAAAGCGGGTATACATATGTTCCAACGATAACACGGCAATGGCAAGTAACTCGGAAATGACATACAGCAAGATGACATAACTCGCCAGAGGCAACTTTATTATGGGAGAGGGTAAAAAGGATCAAGAAATTAGAAAGTCAGAATTAAATAAATTGCCCGCAGTTTTTGGCAAAAACACAACAGTCGTATGTCGTGTGCTATCAGCCCGATGTGAATGCGCAATAACCTCAAGTTATTGGTTTGCGCAAAACTACATATATTGAGACTCACGCAAGTATAAATAGGTACACGCATTGTCCAGGTATACACATTGTCCAGGTGGTAATGCTGACTGTGCACTAGCAATAGGCTCAGGTGTCACAGCCACTGTGGGTGTACGGACACCCCCCAACATATTTAAATATGGCTAAGAGACACCCAAAACATCTTGGTCAAAATTCATGGGATTCTTCAGTCTGAATTTTCCTGATCCTTCAATGAGGAGATGTAAATGCTGAACGTGCCGATGACGGAGGGATTAAACAAACAGAAATGCATGCACAGTAGGCTCAGGACTGAGCCAGTCACCGGTAGATGAGTAGATCACAATGCAGTAGAACTCTTATCTGTGACAAAGTGCGGGGGCAGAATACCATCTGTAATCTGGCCAATAAACAGGAATCCCCCAAATCCCATACTATGGGTGTCTCCCCACATGGGGTTGGGAAGCTCATAATGACCATGTTAGTGCTCCGATTAAGCACACGTAAGCCCTAGGACAGGGTGTACTTAATGCCTATATTAGAGCACTGATTCAACACTACCAATATCCTACGTTAAAGCCTTGGGGCTGGGTGTCAGAGGATTCAGAAATGTGATGTCAGCACCGGTGCGCTGAGATTATTATCGTGTTATATCATGGAAAGATTGCATCATACCATATGGCGATTGCACAGTCAGAATGACAATTGATTAGGACCATGTGATGCAGAGCAACATCACATGGGAGTAAAATGTTGGGTGTCGTGCTGAGAAACGCGCGGTACAACGTGGAAACACATCGGAGAGCTACACAGCACAACCGCAAAAACCTAAGCGGTCGTCAAGCTAGAATTTAGGGTAATGCTAGATTTCTTGCAGCCTATGAAGTGCATCGGTGGCTGAGATGATTAAAAGCATGTCAAAGCACCGAGTTGGCACAGCTGACATTTTGGAATAAAATCCATGCAACCAACCATGAATAAAACTGTTCATCAAGTAGAGTGAGCGATGGACGTAGGCTGGACATCAAAGGCAGAACAAAAAAAAATAATTGAAGTACATTTTGTTCACTTAATTCGGCATATATATTCAGCTGCGTGGGCAAAAAAATAAAAATATAATTATTCCGATAGCCACAAAACTCGCTCCACCCCAACAAGTCACATGAGAGGCACACCACCGCGTGTGGATAACGGGCAAATGAAGGGATCTCATAAGTAGTTCAGTGATGTCACATCCATAGCCATACTCTAATGCACTGCTGGCAAGACTGATATATAGTGCATGACTGATAGAGCAACTGTAATATGATTTGGACAAAAACAACAACATTTTAAATAAACAATGTCTATAGCTCAAACGATGAACTCTGGAGAGTGTGTGTGTGTGTCTTTGTGTGGTAATGCAGTGATTAGCGCACTGCACTATGAAGCTGGCGACTCAAAGTTAAATTCCCACTCATAACCAATAACAGCGTTCAATATTTGCAACCAGGACCGGGCCTCCCCTATATTGACTCAGCCTCAAATGAGCACCTGGATGTGGTGTGCCAACATCAACATTGGGGAGACAAAGACGGCCGCGCACGGTACTAGCAACCCACACCCTCATGTGCCGTGCCCGGCTTAATAGGCGCTCAGTAGCAGCACGTGCCCGAATAGTCTGTTGGAGGCTATACGGGGGGGATCTTTGTCTTCGTGTGTTTGTGTGGAAGAGAATACGCACCCCCTTGAGCCAGATTTTCTCTTGCTGCCTGCGCATGCGCTGCGCTTCCCGCTGCTGCTCCAGCTCCTCTCGCCAGCGCTGCTGCTTCTCCCTATTGGAGGCGCTGAAAGGTTTATCCCTGGGGGCTGCCTCCTGTTAATCCCAAAGAGAGACGTTCAATATTATTTGGCTCTTTCGGTAAAGTCACGTAGATAGGTTCAAAGAAAATAACAAAATAACAAAGAAACTGCGACATTTCGATCGTAACACGAGCGTTCATCATCAGATGTTAAATGCCTGTAAATATATATTCACTAACGAAACAAATGCATTCACGCAGAGTACATGCAACACAACGCTGGTTGGATCCATTCTCAGTGGTGAAAGGTTAAATAAGCAAGTCCTGGATGCAAGGCTGCTGGGAGAGATGCCAAGAGACAAGAGAAGAAAAATTCTGGCTGATGACGTGAAATTAAGAAGCAAAAGAAAGCCCAACATCAGACAGATTGGAGGGAGTTTGAGCAAAAGTTCCCGGCCATTGGGCCGAGGGTTAAGCAACAGAAGGTGGAATAGAACATGTACAAGTTACGGCCATTTTTGACACTCCACTGCTTCCTGAGGACCTACCCACACCGTGCGGGTCATGGGAGTCATTTAACCATGCCTCGCCACTCTGATCAGTGCAGGGTGGCTAAGACGGCAAGCATATAAGTGGAAGCATATCAAAAATACAGTGCAACAATGGATTTTGCTATACTGCTTTCTGCTGCCAATAACATTGCCCTGTGATATCTACGACAACCTGTTTGATAGGCGCTGGTCACCTATCCAAGGACTTTGCAGGCTCGACACTGCTTAGTTTCTGATCATTTGGTAATATACTTTCATATGTATGCAAGGTATAAAGTATGCATCTTGAAAGTACTTACCCCAATGACAAAGGAAGAGCGAATTGCTGCGGGAAGATCACTGGAAGCAAAGCTCTGTGTCTGCCCCATTGCCACGTAGTCCTGGGCAGTGTTCCTGGCACCACTTGCTGTTCCCTGGGCAGATGTTGCAGGCACTGTCAAGTAGCCAGATTCTGGCTGATGTGCTGGAAGGTTCAAAGTGGCCTGCAGCTGCAGACACAGGCGGATAAAAAGTATGAAAAAGATTCTTATTTTTTATTGGCCAGACGACAGCAGGGCAATTGGAATTGTGCTATGAGTTGCTGAGCCATTTAAAAATGCACATCCTGATCCTGAAATTAAATGTAAAATTAACTTTATAATCACAAGCTAGGCCGTCAATAGCAATAACAAGTCAAGTTTGAACTTTGCAATTAAAGCATACATTTGCGCTTTTAAAAAAAAATTATGATTAGTACCAACGTCCAACCGTATGGCACAACGTCAGAACGAGCGGCTCGCAATCGGAAGGTTGCGAGTTCAATTCCTGATCGGGCTTGACTCATCCCATCATCCATGCAGGGTCGATAAAATGAGTGCCACTTTGTGGGGAAGTCAACAGTGTTGACCTATGAATCGACTCGCCTCCGCCAAAGGAATGTGGAATTTTCACCATTGGCTCATGGCTATAAAAAGGAGATGCTCAATTGAGCAGGAATTCACAAAATATGTTTTTTAGAGGAGATATAATAAAACAAATCACTTACACAATGTTTAAAATTTGAAGTCTGGTCACGACTACTACATGGCTTCATGAAATAATTAATTTACATCATATTTTTTGATTTAAAGCTTTCGTGACTGCAGTAATTCATATTCTTAGTTTTTTCGGTAAAGTCACGTTGAAGAGAAACAACAAAATAACAAAATATATATAAAACAATAAAAAATTCCCACGACGTTTCGACCATAACTCAAACGGTCATCATCAGGTGTGTCGGTTTGCATAAATTTATTTTGAAAACGGCATATTTATTTATATATATATTTAAAAAATAACGTTTGCGTCACGCGCAACGATTGGCAGTTTGCCCAGGACTAGTCCATCTATTTTTTGAAAAGAGGAGGGGGGAGACGAAATTTGTTTTTATGTATGCTGTCTGAAAGCCACTGTAAGCGTGAACAATCAATCAAGAACTGAAATGATTTATCAAATCTTTCCAATGATTGCTAAGATAGAATCCATCTTCTCGGTTGAAATTGTCTCTGTGCTTGTATATGTGAATAGCCTCATGAACGAATCTCTCATGGAAGCCAGATGGCTTACAAAGAACCTCCGTCTTGGAAAAGTCAATGGCATGTGAGCCTACTGAATTAGAACAATGATCTGCTACGGCCGAGGTGTTGGTCCTACCGTGTTTAAGGTCTGCTTTATGTTCACGAATGCGGTCCGAGATATGGCGTTTGGTTTCTCCAATGTAACTACTACCACAGAGGCAACTTAGTTTGTAGACACCAGGGTATTGTATGTCCGGAATCACATCTTTTACAGACGGAACCAGATCACGGATTTTATGTAATGTGTTGAAACGGACCTGGATCTTGTGTTTATTCAAGATTTTGGAGATCTTTTTTGTGATCCCAGCAATGTAGGGTAAAGTGATGGTTTTGAAAGGCTCCTCAAGAGGGTTCTTCTTCATGGTTTGAGTGATAGCTTTGCGGATTGTATAGTCGGAGTAACCATTAGCCCTAAGAGCTTGGTGTACGTGCTTGAGTTCACTGCTTATGTGTTCCTGGTCGGATATGCATTGGGCTCTATGATACAGAGTCTTGATGAGAGAATTCTTCTGTGATGGATGGTGGTGGGAATCCGGTTTCAGATAAGCATCCGTATGGGTAGCTTTCCTGTAGACAGAGTGGCTCATTGAACCATCAGGTCTCTTTTTAATTAGGACATCCAAAAAAGGTATCTTGCCATCTATTTCGACTTCCATGGTAAATCTGATAGCTGGGTGTATGGAATTGATGTGGTCGAAGAATTGGTCTAGAGCAGGCCGGCCATGTGGCCAGATGACAAAAGTGTCATCCACGTACCTCTTCCATAAGGTTGGGCGCAGAGTGGCAGTCTGGATGGCGTCAGTCTCAAATTTCTCCATGAAAATGTTAGCTATAACTGGAGAAAGGGGGGAGCCCATTGGGGTGCCCTCAGTTTGTTTGTAGAAAGTTCCATTGCAATCATTGAAGACTTGGTTCATCAAGGACTAAACACTGAGGTACCCCCCCTGGTGAGACACTGTTTAACCAATACATACTTCACTTGGAATGGAACTTTCTACAAACAAACTGAGGGCACCCCAATGGGCTCCCCCCTTTCTCCAGTTATAGCTAACATTTTCATGGAGAAATTTGAGACTGACGCCATCCAGACTGCCACTCTGCGCCCAACCTTATGGAAGAGGTACGTGGATGACACTTTTGTCATCTGGCCACATGGCCGGCCTGCTCTAGACCAATTCTTCGACCACATCAATTCCATACACCCAGCTATCAGATTTACCATGGAAGTCGAAATAGATGGCAAGATACCTTTTTTGGATGTCCTAATTAAAAAGAGACCTGATGGTTCAATGAGCCACTCTGTCTACAGGAAAGCTACCCATACGGATGCTTATCTGAAACCGGATTCCCACCACCATCCATCACAGAAGAATTCTCTCATCAAGACTCTGTATCATAGAGCCCAATGCATATCCGACCAGGAACACATAAGCAGTGAACTCAAGCACGTACACCAAGCTCTTAGGGCTAATGGTTACTCCGACTATACAATCCGCAAAGCTATCACTCAAACCATGAAGAAGAACCCTCTTGAGGAGCCTTTCAAAACCATCACTTTACCCTACATTGCTGGGATCACAAAAAAGATCTCCAAAATCTTGAATAAACACAAGATCCAGGTCCGTTTCAACACATTACATAAAATCCGTGATCTGGTTCCGTCTGTAAAAGATGTGATTCCGGACATACAATACCCTGGTGTCTACAAACTAAGTTGCCTCTGTGGTAGTAGTTACATTGGAGAAACCAAACGCCATATCTCGGACCGCATTCGTGAACATAAAGCAGACCTTAAACACGGTAGGACCAACACCTCGGCCGTAGCAGATCATTGTTCTAATTCAGTAGGCTCACATGCCATTGACTTTTCCAAGACGGAGGTTCTTTGTAAGCCATCTGGCTTCCATGAGAGATTCGTTCATGAGGCTATTCACATATACAAGCACAGAGACAATTTCAACCGAGAAGATGGATTCTATCTTAGCAATCATTGGAAAGATTTGATAAATCATTTCAGTTCTTGATTGATTGTTCACGCTTACAGTGGCTTTCAGACAGCATACATAAAAACAAATTTCGTCTCCCCCCTCCTCTTTTCAAAAAATAGATGGACTAGTCCTGGGCAAACTGCCAATCGTTGCGCGTGACGCAAACGTTATTTTTTAAATATATATATAAATAAATATGCCGTTTTCAAAATAAATTTATGCAAACCGACACACCTGATGATGACCGTTTGAGTTATGGTCGAAACGTCGTGGGAATTTTTTATTGTTTTATATATATTTTGTTATTTTGTTGTTTCTCTTCAACGTGACTTTACCGAAAAAACTAAGAATATGATTTACATCATATTGTCAACTAAAGTTATTTCATAGTTAGCTTTCAGCAATTATAGATTGACATTCACAACATACCTCACATAATTTGCAGCGTGGACAAGTGTCCATTTTTGCAGCGTGGATAATGGGAAATTGGTGAAAAACTGTGTAAAAGATATCACTTTTGGCACTATTATGCATATGGGGAGAGCTAATAATTGGCACTAATGTGACTGTGAGAAGCATGAAATGGAATGTAATTTGAAACCCAATGATGGCCTTTGAAAACACCGAGGATAAGCAGTCTTTGGCATACCTTGGAGTGATCTTTATAGAAGATTGAAAACTGGATAAGGAGTTTTTTAACAAAAAACATTAAAAAACCATGCAATGAGAAAAGTGTGATTTGAGTAAGATATTTGTTCATATATTGGGTATTTGCCACACAATAAAACAAATCTATTTGTGATTTCCATATACCGAATGCAAAAAGGAGTGACTATCATAACATTCACTTGCAGGCACTACTTCCAAAAAAGTGGTACTTTTAATACCAATTTACATCAAACCATTTTACAAAACGGATGAGAACTCCCTCGAACTAACTTTAAAATCCAACGATAAAGCTCAAGTTTTCAATTGATTCTGATTGACAGCTCAGATGATCCTATTGTATTCCATTGAGCATACCTTCTGATTGAACGTGGTCAGCGGCTGTCCAGTGGCTGATAAGACCGGAGCTCCCGCCCCTGGTTTCCCAAAGGGGTTCCACTCTTCCCAGACCTCCAACTCCTGCTTCTTCCCACTGTTTTTCAGCGCCAGTTGTTGATCTGAAAATGTGCACAGGAAATAAAGAGACACAACCAAGGGATATGTGTGGAATTTTAATACGTGGTACAACACTGCACAAAAGCATTTAGGCTTCCCTTTGAATCTGACTGAGCATTTGCCCTCACTTTGAGTTTCATTGTATTATTGCATTCCATTGACAATGCCAAAATGCAAGTTCACTGTTAGAAAAAATGCACATGTTGTACATATGTATGTTGAACTTCTTTCGCACTATACGTATCCAACCAAGCTAATCGGGGAATGACAACAAACTAAACACAAAATCAGTTAAATTTTGATTTAAAGCTTTCGTGACTGCAGTAATTCATATTCTTAGTTCTTTCGGTAAAGTCACGTTGAAGGGAAACAATTTATTATTTTATTGTTTCCCTTCAACGTGACTTTACCGAAAGAACTAAGAATACAAAATCAGTTAGCAAGTAATTTGTTTTCAATTTACAGTAAAACCTTGGATTGCGAGTAACTTGGTCTGTGAGTGTTTTGCAAAACGAGCACATTTTTAAAATAAATATTAATTTGATAAACGAGCGAGGTCTTGCAATACGAGTAGTACGTATATACGCTTTGTCTGCCGAGCGTCACGTGATCACAACTGATATAGGAGTGCTTTCATATACGAGTGCTTTGGATTACAAGCACGTTTCCGGAACGAATAATGCTCGCAATCCAAGGTTTTACTGTACATTTACAAGTGCATAGCTCCAGTGGCTTCCTAATATCGGAAGGAAGAGCGTTCCAGATGACTGCAGAAGCGCATCTGAAAGCTCGCGATGCAGTGACCGTCTTTGTTCAATGGTTAGCCAAAAGCCGCTGCTGTGAGGATGACCGGAGTGTCACGTGAGTAATCATTGCAATTGTTTGTCAACCTGCTGCTGGATGAAGGCCTCCCCAAACCGTGTCATGATGCTTGTCTGACCATACATACTTCACCACACTGTACGGTGCAGGTGAGTGAAGAGGGGGTGGGGCCTAGTGCTCGTTCAAATATTACTTGCCACTGATGTTAGCCATGGCTGGGAACCTAACTCTGGTCGGTGGATTCACAGTGCAATGCGTTAACCACTGTAGCACCATTCATATTCGGGAAAAACACAAATCTTTTTATTCGTACAGCATAACTTCTTTTATAATAAGTGTAAAATGCTCAATGCAACTAATATTATTCAGTGCACGTGCATGTATGTAGCTGTGTGTGTGTGCGTGAAAATATGAATACATTACCCAGCTCTTTTTTCCACTGCGCTTTCTTTGCCTGAAGTATTTCTCGGTCTTTCTCCCTCTCTCCCAACATACCAAAGACACTGCCCGATATTCCTTGCGTCTTCTCAAATGGAGCAGCCGAGCTTAAAAAGAAACAACTAAATGAAGCACCAGGTTAATTTAAATTATTGTAAGCAAGTCAGGGCCGATTTTCCTTTAAGTAACCCCAGTCAAACGAAAAGCCTCACAAAAATAGCATTTCAAATGCCTTTTCCAAATCGCTAAACATAGGAGGGGTACTTGTGTTGGCATTAAAACTACACTTCAAGACTCCATGGGTACAATGTTTAAAGTGCACACTCAACTCTCAGTATATGTGCACTGATGCATCAGTCATTCGAAGGAGCAGGTAAACTCTGTTCAATCAAAAAAACAATGATAATCAAACCTAATGACATAAACAAATAATCTGTAAAAAAATTGCAAGTTGCATTATTCGAAATTCTCCGCTCTACTGATAGCATATTTTACGTCAACAATTGTACACTCACAAAAGCAGTTCCTAAAGCATCCATAACCACTCAGTTGCTCAGTTGGTTACCTTGAAGCATCTTCAGGCTTGGTTTCATTGTCATACTGAACAATATCCTTTTCCTTGTCCAACTCTGTTTCCAAAGGTGCTGAACCTAAATTGTATACAAAACCATCACCTTATTTATTGTGATATGTTGGATCAGTTTAACTCGTAGGCTTTCGCGACCAATATCATCCGTAATACAGGTTTTTTTTGGTGTGCTATACTAGTAATGAATTGGCATGTTCTGTTTACGTGACGCACCTTACTAATTGGCTGTGTTGGGTGGTGGCCGGTTTAACGACACATTTATATTTACACGATCTAACCCCCACCCCCCCCCCCCAAAAAAAAAGCTGTATTATGGATGTTGGATGCTACGAAAAAAATTAAACTAATCTTTCAACATTTCAAGAAAAAAACAATATCCATTGGGTAACCTGGTTACTCCTCAGCCATAGCCTGTAAAGTAGTTAATTAAAACATAAATCACTATTCATAAATAAACTAATAAATCAAGGTTTTTAATACGGAGTAAATGTTTATATATAAGTGTGTACTTTAAGAGAACATTCAGCTATTGTGTAAGGTTTTAATATGACATACACCAATAGCAGATATACACCATTAACCAACGCCATTCAAGTCTGACTTCTGTGATTTTTCTTCAGGATAAAGCCAAAGAACAAAACGCGTCTGCTACTTATAGGTACCATTGAACCTATCCGGTTTGGTGTCAATTCACTGCTGGACTAGGGCCTCTCCTCTCCGTGCGGGTCATGAGGGTTGTTTGACCACACCTCACCATATTGGTCAGTGCAGGTTGGTGAAAGGCATGGAGCGTAGTCGTTGGAGTAAAGTATAATACAAGCACGGACTTTGGTGCACTACCCAATGCTCCCAATGTGGCCCATCGTTTTAACTGCCGCGCCAGGCGATTGAATCGAACCACTGACCTCTGCATTGCAAGTCCAGTGTGCAAAACCATCACACCCTGCCAGGATCCTCAACTAAACTGTTTTTTTTTATAACCTCACTCAGATCATTTTACATGATCCGTGTTTTTGTTTCATTCTTGCAAATCCCTCCCCACCCATGAATCCAGATATCGACGGTCGTTGACCGTCTTAACTTACGACACACGGCTGGCTGCTCACCATCAGTGTTGCTGCTGTTCACGGATTGCCCGATGGATGCTAGAATCTGCTGCAGCTGTTCTTGGGTGAGGCACACTAAGCCATTGCCGAAGCTCCCCGTCTGGGCGTTATCGACGTGCCCCCGCGCATCTGCCGCCTTCACTGGCTTCCCATTGGCAAGGCCGCGCCTATTGCATGCGACGAAGGAAAAGGACAGATCAGACACAAAAAAACACCAAGTTTATTTTGTTTAAACGGGTGAGAAGAACTCAACACGCAAGAACGGTCACATTTGCGAACGTGACGCAGTCACCAAAGTGACATAAGCAATGATGTAAACGATGAAGCTAAAACTAAATCAAGGCGAAAACCATCAAATATAATTCACAGAAAAATGAACGTAACAGAAAAAAACACAACAGTGAAGTGTGACGATGGGATGGTTTTGCAGGTCGTGTAACAAAGGGCATTCAATAAGTTTTCAACACTATTAGGTGATAAGTATGCTCATAACAAGATCCCACTTGCGATTTTTTTAGACTCATTTTAACCCCTCTGCCAAATTACTCAATTGGAATTTACGTAGCAAATCATCACCCCCTACTGAAACATACAATGCCATATAATTGCTTAAGTTTTCGCGGTTGTGCTGTATAGTTCTCCAGTATTTTCAAGTTACCGCCCATTGTCCGGATTTATGTCTAACATTTGGCTCAGTTCCTGAATCTTCCATTCCTGAAGCTCCAATCATGGGGGAGCAATATGTTGAATATCGTACAGAACCGAAAAGAACATTGGAGATCGAAATGGTGAATTTGTTTTTAGGCGCATTAATGCAAGCTTTAGGCTTTGTTTTAATTTTTCACTGCTGACAATAGTATTTAGGAGTGTCATTTTGTATACATTTATAGATTTCGATAGTTTTCTATGTTCAGTATGCATGCGGCAAATTGCGTAAGAAAGTTTTTTTAATGTGTGTATGTCCCATGCAATGCTTTCACTTGATCTCCTAAGTCACTAAAGTCCTTAACATAAAACCAAAATATTAACATCGAATTGAAGCTTGAGCCTAATCACGATCCTGAACAGTGACAAATCATGAATCGCACAGAGGGAATGATTTGTTCCTGCACGTCTCCTGTAAATTACATCATAAGGGAAGTTACAAAATACAACTCTGATATTGCAACATTTCAAATGCTAGAAGAGAGGACTCGTACATAAACTTGCACATTATGAACAGTAAATAAAATACCGTACCTCTGTTTCACTTCTTGCTGGGCTGTGTTTTTGTCCACCCTGCTTCTATTGTTCTTCCCCATCTGCAGACCATTCTGCTGAAGATTCTGTCCATTTTCGAGGACGATGGTCTGTCCATTTCCAATGGCCCTTTGCTCTTTACTTTGTTGATTCGATTGCAGAAACTTGATTTGTGGGCCATTGGTACTTATATTCTGGTTGAATCTTGCCTTTTGAGTGTGATTGTACTGGACTGGACCGTGGTCTGCCTGTGGGTCACTGAGCTTTTCAGTTGGATTCGAAGTCCTCTGATCGATGTCCGCACGACTCTGTGCAGCTTGACTGTTCCCAAAGGGCGTGGGTTTTGGCCCTCTGCTTGAACTTCCATCACTTGCCGCTCCGAGCCTAACACTGCCATTATGCGCCTCCCTTACGAGCCTCGACCTAAATGGAGATCTCCGTTTCTTCAACTGAGAAGTGCCCTAAAATAAGTGTGTAAATTAGGGCACCATGTATAATACCTATCAGTTTGTCACAGCAGGTAATATACATTGTGAACAAATGGTGTTCTTCAGGCACAATGGTATGCTGCATTTCATATTTAAGTTCAGTTTAGGTTAAAGTTGAAGTTCAGCTATTCGACAAAATAAATTAAGAACAAATAAAATAAAACATAAAAATAACCAATAATAAATAAAAGTGCATACACGTCTGGAGATGTACTCGCTTGAAATTACAATGAGAGAGAAATAGGACTACATGATTAAGAGAAAATATGCAAGTTCGAGAAAATGTATTGACTTGGGCAGAACGCAGGGCGAGAAGAGATTATGACGATGATAGCCAGTGGCTTAGACTAACAACAGTGGTAGCCAAAGTAGAAACACGTCCAACTGAAACGTTTGTCGTGGAGATGGAGAAATTAAGTTAACTCATTTTCAGGCGCAGGATGGACTGTTGCATCGTAGAACTCTGAGGGATGAGCTCAGAAAAAGCCTTATTCCAGCAGTGGATTAATCCTGGCTGATGATAAAATACTGCATTTAATTATTAAACGTAAAATAAGGGATTGCACTGAGAGTGGTGTACAAGCACAAATAATAATAAAAAAACTGTCCAATATTGGAATGTGAACTTAAAATGAGAATGAAACGTTATAGATTTTAAATTCAACAGAATGTAAATGGCAATGCATAAGCCTATGTTGCTGTATAATTACCTTTGCAGTTTTATTTAAGGGTTCATCTGTAAGAGAAAAAAAATCTTCATTCGGTTTTGAAAACAGGATTATATTACCATTTATATTTTACAAACAGCACACTGTACACGTTGTAATGTGCAGGATGACCATATTTCCCAGATTATAAGATGCTCTGGAAAGTGAGACGCACCCAAAAGTTATGCTCGGTGTCAAAAAAGTTACACAATTCACTCACATACACACATATATAAAGTTTCGCTTCAAAATACTGGGGAAAACTGCATTTAAATCTGCAAAATAGGCAGTAAAACATTTCTTACCATGAAATGCTATCACAAGCCTCGTCTTGCCGTCCAATGTCTGGGTTTCTAACTTCAGACCATCCCTGTAAATCAACACACATTTTCAGTGGACTTTACTACATTGCAGGCAAAAACAAACCGCAAATAATAAATAATATATATGTAGAGTCCTTTCTCAGTCTACTGATGGATGCGGGACACTTCGCATGGGACAAGTTGGTGAAGGTTATTGTACCATACTTCACCACGCTGGTCAGTGTGGGTCGTAGATGGGAACCATAGACATGGGAGCATTGAATCAGAGTCCAGCAATTGATTTTGCTACACTGACTTCCTTTGCCCACCAACTATTCCCGAAGCCCACTTTAACAACCAACTGACCGTGGCGGTCACCCATCCAAACACTATCTAGGCTTAAAAGCCTGCTTAGCTTCTGGGAGCTGTCGAGATCAGGCACATTACAGGTGATTTAGTCAATGTCAATTCTTGCTCAAATGAGCTCCTCTGCTGTTTACACCTCCTAACCAGTAGTGCGATTCCACGTCTCTGTGTCTGTGGCGAGTCTATCCATAGGGCAACCAACGCTGACATCCCCATAAAGTGGTACTCAATTTGTCGGCTCGAGAGGAATAATGGGTTGGAGCCAACCCCTAAACCAGGGTTGGAACTCACAACCTTCCGATTTCGAGCCAATAGTTCGAAATCGGAAGGTTGGCCATAGGATAAAATAGAATGAGCTGTAATGCTGCATAAAAATACTGGAGTTCATTTGAACATACTCACTTAGTTTTGGACTGGTGCAGGCACACTTTGGAATTGGTGTTGTACTTGGCCATTCCACACACAGCGGTGGCATTCGTACAAACACGTGAAGCTCTTCAGGGGCCACTTGTGACAGTAACTTACGCACTCGATGAAGCTCCATGAGACGCATGGTCTATGTCATTAGCAAAGTCCACGAGTAACAGTGACTTGCGCTACGAACTCGGGAAATCTGATGGACTTAAACATTTATATTTATACGCGGAGACCCAGAATGTAGTTAATCTCATTTAGTATGTGTCCCCCCCCCCCGTATATTATGCTGCACGCCAAGGCATAACGAGTTTGTGTTGAACAGGATTCCAAAGTTTATATGGAGTGCTCTTGCCAAGAACATCTGGAAATCTAGCAACATTTATCAAACAAGCCTGACTTATCCCCAGAAAGTTGAAACCGCTCCAGAGTTGTGTAGCTGATATATTTTTATTATTATTAATGTAATAAAATGTAGATATGCTTACAATTTCCTTTTTTTCCAACCTCAGGTGGATTTCTGGCCGCGGATAACACGAGGGGCAGATGGTGGTGTCCCAATCACGCTGCCCTGGTGCCCTCTCCCCCAGGTTAACTCAGCCATAAACGAGGATCGCGCTTGATGTGTACACATCACAAAACCCCCGTGTGCTGTGCCAGCATTAATAGGTAGACTCTGCCTGAAATTAGTACGTCGTCCCAACAGCGCTGCACGGTCAATGACTGCATGTGGATCTTTGTTTACATTACTGCACACTACATTATCCGCATTTCTGCTAACGGGAGCGGTGATGCAGCGGTTAGCGCACTACGGCTGTAAACCCGGGCACCCACATTTAGATTCGCGGTTCACGGATAACATCAGTGGCGCCTATCAGAACCGGCTCTGTACATTCTCGTTCACCAACCCGCGCCGCCCAAAAGTGGTGAAGTATGACCAAACAATCGAGACGGCGTGCAGAACTCTCCCTGCGAGCGGTCGACATTCGACAGCTGCAATCGTACTCCACGACAACTCGGAACATTAACAGCAGGCCCACAGTACCGCTCGCTCGACAGCAAGTGCTGTTCGCGAGCACCTATGAAGGTCGGATACGGCACACGACACGAAGATGGGTGGCCGGGACACCCGCCCGACCGGAGATGTTTACACAACGCGCCAGGTACTAATTTTAAGGCCGAGTCGACCTAGGGGTAGACCCAGGACCGGTTCAGATAATCGGCAACGGATGTTGGCCGTGAGCTGGCGTCGAACTCTGCTCGCCGGGTTCGTAGCGCGGGCGCGCTGGCCCGCTACACGACCGCTCCCGTCTAACAAACACACACACAGAGAGAGAGTGACGAGCGTGAATCGCTGACAACAGCAACAGTAATATCCGTACCCGAGGTTCATGGCACGTCGCTTATCAACGACGACTGTCTGCGGCGGGGGTCCTCAATTGGCAACGCGTGCGACATTAACTCGAGTTAAACACGACGAACAGGTGAAACCAATGCGGCTCCCGTGGCCACATGAGCGAAGGCCTTGCTCGCTTGCACAGGCCCCAACAGAGCCTTCAACGCTCGCGTGGTTTCCATGCGAACCCAGCAAGAGCGGCGCTCATTGGCCCCCTGCCCTTCGCCGTCTCCGGCCCAATCGGATGGGCGCCAGGGGGTGACACGTGGGTGGGTTTAGGGTGGATTTGTTGCAGCAAGAAAGTACCCTGGCAGTTCAATTTCACTGGCATTGACTTGGTACCCAATTCGCTTGCTCGCGCCCAAAGTCAGTGAATTTGGCCCCAATTGACTGACTTTGACCTGGTCCCAAATTCACTGATTTTGACCAGGTCCCCAATTCACTGTCTTCCGCCCAAGTCAGTAAATTTGGGCCCCAATTGATTGACTTTGACCTGGTCCCCAATTCACTGACTTTGACATGGTTCCAAATTCACTGACTTTGACCAGGTCTCCAATTCGCTGACTTCCGCCCGAAATCAGTGAATTGGGCCACAATTCAATGACTTTGACCAGGTCCCTAATTCACTGACTTGAAATGGACCCCAATTTAATCAGGCCTCCTATTCACTCACCTTGGCACCAAATTCGCTGACTTTTCCATAGACAGTGATAACGTGATTAGTCTAGCCTTTAACTATTGATACATTGTTTAGCCTCGCGTTTACAGTACTTTAGCAGAGCCATGTAGAGGAAGTGTTGATTTAGGCTTTTCGGAGGCTCTCCAATTACACCTTTTAAAAGTTATAGCCCAGGGGGTTGGCAAGAAAAATAAGCGACGGTTTATTTTTCAAATTCGGTATATATATAAAAAAAACGATTTCAAGAGCCGTTATGCTTGTGAATACGCAAACGATCCTGAATAAATAACGGTCACGAAGCCGTCTTTAAAGAGCCGCATGCTGCTCCTAAGCCGCAGGTTACCGACCCCTGCTCATGGTAAACTGGGCTCCCATGGTAAACTGGACCTCAGTGGTGAACTAGACCCCCATGGTAAACTGGACTCCCATGGTAAACTAGACCCCCATGGTAAACTGGACTCCCATGGTAAACTGGACCTCAGTGGTAAACTAGACCCCATGGTAAACTGAACCTCAGCGGTAAACTAGACCCCCATGGTAAACTGGACTCCCATGGTGAAATGGATTTCCATAGTAAACTTGACTCCCATGGTGAACTGGATTTCCATGTTCTTGGTTCTTTCGGTAAAGTCACATAGAAGGGAAACAATAAAATAACAAATATATAAAACAATTAAATTCTCACGTTTCGACTGCAACACAAGCAACCATCCCTCAGGTGTGGTTTTCACACAGTCGAAATGTGAGAATGTTATTGTTTTATATTTTTATTATTTTATTGTTTCCCTTCTACGTGACTTTACCGAAAGCACCAATAATATGAATCCCTGCAGTTACGAAAGCTTTAAATCAAAATTTGGATTTCCATGGTAAACTGGACTTCCATGGACAGGGGTCGGCAACCAATATGAGCCATTTTTTTTTTTTTCAAATTCGGGAGAGAAAAAAAAACTCTATTTCAGGAGCCGCAATGCACGTGAACACAAGGCGGTGGTCCTTAATAAATACCAGTCACGAAGCAGTCCTTAAAGCCGCCGCCGGCTTTGGAGCCAGAGGTTGCCGACCTCTGCTCTAACCTCATACCCCAACCCTCAACAAGCTTTTCACTTGAGTCTGCAGAGAACCAATTTCATGAGATGGATTTGTCAATCTACAGAAGTCGGCATCAGCAAGCATTATAGTAATATCCAGGCATCTGAATACAACACAAAACCGTAGTCTCCTATTTTGCAATCAGCACAACCGAATCCCCCAATGTCTTGTGCAGGGTGGGATCACAGTAGCCTGCAAACTCTATAATTAAAAATTATATATATTTTAACCCCTCCACATTGCAAAAAGACCACACTCATCTTCGGAATGTGAACATTGTGTATCTCTTGAACTATTACAAAAATCTGCCAGCTTCTTTGAAATGCAGATTCTAGATTTTCCATGTTTAAGTACTTCGCATTAAAGAGACGCGGCCGACTTTCTTGCGTTGTGTAGTTTATGAAGCGTTTGACTAGTTTAGCTGCAGTTTACAGTAATTGAGGAGCTGCAGAAATATAGCTGATATGCCATAGTTTGTTTTCGCATCGGCATAGGCTACTTCTTATTTGATGTCTTTTTGTAGACTTGCATCTCAAGTGTAAAAAAAAAGAAACAGACCCATTTACACCTCATGGATCTTATAAAACCTATATTCTTAGCTCTTTCGGTAAAGTCACGTTGAAGGGAAACAATCAAATAATAAAATATATGTAAAACAATAAAATTCTCACGTTTCGACCATAACACAAACGGTCATCATCAGGTTACAGGTGTAACCTGATGATGACATATATTTTATTATTTTATTGTTTCCCTTCAACGTGACTTTACCGAAAGAGCTAAGAATATGAATTACTGCAGTCACGAAAGCTTTAAATCAAAACTTATAAAACCTGTTAACCTGTGCTCTCACGAATACAAGCCAGAGAAATAGGGACAAGGATGGGCCGGCAATACAATGCCAAAAACAACAGCCTAACAACACGGTTACATCTCCCGCTTTACTATTAAAGGTAAAAGAATGGCTAACCCTGTGATATACCAACAATAGGTGTATGTAATTAAGAACGTGTATGACCTGTAACTTTGGGCAGTATGTTTATTGTTGGGACTGTAGTATGCATCGGAAAACATGATTTTTTTAAAAATAAACAGCAACATGTAACATATTACAGTACCAGACTAAGAAACAACACAGACCAGCACAAACCAAGCAACATACTTATTCACCCATTAACAGTACACTAACACAATCCAGTACACCCTGATGCAGTGTTGTAAATTTCACATTCCTATTGCAGGGGTAACTTTATCCGATTGGATGTCATTTTGATGTCACGTGACATCCCAATGACATCACCAAGGCCTCACTATGACGTCAATGTTGCAACATTTTAAAGAATTACAAATATAACGTTTATTGCACATTGAAATATTGATTAACGTTTGCTAACGCAGGATATTAAATCTAAGTTTTTAAACATGTTTAATCATCAAACATATCCACATATGCTGTATTTAAATGTCGATTAAACATTAATATGCTGCATTGGAATGTTGTCGAATATCATATATAGGTGTCCCTCTCATAACGAGCGACATGCGTTTTTGAAAAACAGCACACAACTCGAATCTCGCTATATGAAGTCTATTTTCCCATAGACATACATGTTACAAGAGGGGATTGCGTTTCGGGAAGAATTTATCTTTCCAATTACTTTAGCCCTGTATTTACAAAAAAACACATTAGTGTAACAAGTTAATATTAACATAACAAATCATAATAAGGATTGAAAAGATTACTACTGACAAAGATTACTTAATAAGGAGTAACTTCAGGGCTTATTGAATGCTTCCGTGGCCAGCAGTTCCAAGCAGCTACGTCCGGCCCGTGACACAGGGCGCTGGCACGACGCGGTGACGCCATCAGCATTTTTATTTTCACTTTGAAACTTTGTCATTGAAAATTATTTGGAATAATGTAAAACATTTTTGACCACATAACTGTGGAAGGCATAGCAGAAACGCGTGAAGTATGTCCCTACAAGATGAATCGCTTAGCTGCGAATTCGCGCTGTTAATTTAAATATCGATTTTTTTTCTCACCTGCTTCTTGCGCCTTATGAATCGATTACACAATTAACTTTTTTTTAAATTTAGTTCTGCTAGGATCGTGCATGGGATGCATTTATGTGCTGTAGCAGCCACAAACCCACCTTCCCTCCACAAATCAGGGCACCATCTTCGGAGAGGCAGTGTGGGTATGGGAAACAAATTCCTTTTTAACAAAAGGATGCATTTGGCCGTGTTAATGCTGACATCACTATCATTTTGTTAACTAAATGAAACAGGTTGACAGTTGCTTGCTTGGCATTGCTTCCTTATATCATGCTCGTGGTACTAATGTAGGCCCACATCTACAAGCCTGTTTGCCCGATTTTACTTTTACCCGGGATTGGAGTGGCTTGCTCGGCTGACTGCAGTCTCCTGTATCTCTCTCGACTCACTATGCTCTAACATTCCTACTGGCTCTTGGCTTCCATAAGTCAATATATAAAAAGATAATCAAAAAGAACACATCAAGAATGTATTTGTTTACAGGAGCACAGGGCTGGTTCAGCCTGGACCAGACAACAGCTCCCAGGGGCATCGCCTAGTTCGTATGAGCCCTGTAGGATCTGCAACGGGGCCTCCTGTCCACCTTTCTTGGTCTTAGTAATCTGGTATCTAGGACTTCTGGTACATGGGCTGTAGGGCAGTCATACTTATCCTGTCTTAATACAGAGATGGAACGATGTTAACAACCTCCATGACAGACTCCCACCTCTCATGTGCACGCCTCCACGAGATATTGGCATGGCCAGAGCACCAACACAGAGCCCCCAAGAGGAACACCATCATCACAGACCCCCATCCTTTCTCTTCCCGCAACATGCCGAGTGTGTGACCCATGTTCGTGACCCTCATTGCACACTCCCGCTCCTGTCCATTACCGATATGAACAAAATCTGACCCCAAATGGAGCCCATTACTCCCTCTGGCGCCATTCCTCGACTCCGTTCCGTCCGTGCTGAAACTGCACCTGGCTAGCTTTTGAAAACGTGTGAAAATTACACGGGATTTTGTTGCAGGAATAACGTCTTTGCTTAAGGAATGAAACCCCAAGTTTACAGTTTCAACTTTCGTGTACATTTAATTTGTTTTAAAAAGATAAATGTTTTATTGCACAGAGGTTACAGTCCTCATGAGCCTTAAGCATGAACAAGCTATTTGTAATTTTCCATCGTCCCCACAAAAGGCAAGACCACTTAACAATGCATTTTGGTACCAAATAATCCTCAGCACCAAATCTTACTCTTTTGGCTAAAATCAAGAATAACACTTACATTTATTTTCTAAAGTGTCATCTAAAGTTGTAAATTACTTATGACAATGGCATATTTGCCACATAGCCTACAAGAGCAACCACGGAGCACATTAACCAGTGAAGGGCGCTTCCACAAGATGTAAATGTCATTGCTTTAGTGTCTTATAACCGCACCACCAATTTAACATACAGCTTTACGTCCCACAAGAGTCCTGCAAGAGGTCGGGTACCCGTGGATGACCCACACAGCGGATTGCAATTCGGGTGCGGGTCGGACATGTGTCGTGAACATAATGTGATCAACATGAACGAACTAGCACCCGAATGGCAAGCTGTAAAAATTGTTGCATTCCGGCTCACCTTTGCGGGTCACCTGTGGTAGCCCATAGGTACTCAACCCATTGCAGTGCTCTTATCTCCAACTACGTTGCTGCCTACAAGTGTTGTGAATTTGCCCATGGAAACCTCTTACTAAGTCAACAACTGTAATGAAACTCTTGAAAGAAAGGATGTTGACAAATTTTTAAATCGACATTTGCAGTGGTATTAACACAGGATTCACCAATGTGGAGTTTAGATAAACAGTACCTTTCTTCTGGATATCATAGTTGTCTCTTAAATGTAACATATCGAAATATAAATTGGGTTCCTTTTCCAAAATTATGGAACCCACTTAAGCCAGATCTCCACAGGCTTTACTTAAAATAAAGCATATTAATGGCTGCAAAGAAAATCAGAGCTACAATTGTTGCCCATGAATATGAGACATTGCTCTTCAGTAGCAAAAAATATATTGCAGCAGTGCATCAACTCACAAACCAAGGTATCCTCAAGCGAAAAGTATTTTGTTGGAGAGCTTTGCATCTCAGCACTGGACAAGCTTTTAGTAGGATGTAACAATAATTATCAGAAAAGTTTAGACTTGATGTTACAATGGGAGATTGGAGTTTGCATTTTCGGTCTCGCTGGTTCCACGCTATCGGTGGGCTTTGCCAACGGGACGTCACACTCGGCAGCCACAGCTGCAGCGCAACTCCTGGGAGAGGGTGAAGAGTGACCCGCCACAGCGCCAAAGTTCACGTGCACAGCCGGTGATTAGGACATCTGTGAACAAGCGCCTATATCCAGGGACACCACCACCCTCGGCGCCTGCCTTTTGAGACAGGCGTTTACCTGCAAAAAAATAAGCATGTCAAATCATAAAATTGTACCTTTGATATTTAACGCTATGGCCAAGTGGGGTAGTGGTTAGGGCAAAGGTGGTCAATACATGGATCAACATTTTTTTGTGGGCTCTCATGACAAATATGAACAAAGGCTACAAGTATAAAACAATATTTCTGCTGATGGCAAAAAAAGTCTCAGAATTGCACAATCATCACATCACGGTCCACGGGCAGATAGCCCGCAGGTGTCCACTGCACATTTCGTCATTTGTTTACACTTTCCACAGTTTTGTGCCAATATGCTCAAGTAGTGCCACATCTTTCCGGCACCAATCTCTTGTCATCATCAAGCCATTCTGTGAGGTCCTTCCATTTTTCCAAAACAATACACTTTTAATATTTCAGAATTCAACAATAAAAACACAATAACTTGTACCAATAGTTGGTGCTTGGTGTATTAGCCACCACTGGGATAGGTGATGTGGTTTGAAATCGAATTGTATGATCAAATCGTGTCACGGATCTACTTGGCCATTCATCTCTCTGAGGGATCTACACAATGAGTGCCACCTTGTGGTAAAGTCGACAACAGTCGTTCTCACAATAGGAATGTGGTACATCCACCACTGGCTGCACAAAGTTCACTTTCCCCACGTGTTTTTTTTTTTCACAGAAACCACATTAACTTTTTATAATCTCGTACTGATAATAAAAAATGGCCGATTTGTTTCTGTGTTTTGATAATTTTTAATAGGGTTCAGATGTATTCTTTGGTTCTTTCGGTAAAGTCACATAGACAGAAAAAAATAGAGAGAATAAAAAAATGTATTCACTTTCTTTTTTATTATAATTTTCTATGCGACTTTACCGAAAGAACCAAAGAATATGAATTCCTGTAGTCACGAAAGTTAAGTCAAGGTTCAGATGTGTCTAATGTTAAATGTGATCTTTAACATTTCTCCACTTAAAAGCACTACGCATTCTTTGCAGCAATTGAATCATTTGGCGGGACCCCGGGGTCCCACAAAAATCAGGTCAATAATGATTATTTTTCAGTCCGCCCACTCGTGATCCCGACAGCAACGCGCCGCCCGCCCAGACTTGCGCCAACAAGCGCCAGCAGGCGGCGATCAACACGATGGGCGCCACCCCACCGGCCAAACGCAAGTCCAGGGGGCGTCCGCCGCAGTCGCGCGCGGCGACGACGCCCTCCGGTCAGCCGTCGATCCTCAGCTTCTTTGCCAAGGCGAGCCCGCCCCCAAGGCAGTGAATTTAACGTGTTTATGTAATTTTTCAACTTTTTACGAAACTTAGTGCCCCGAGTAGCTCTCGACCAGGCCAATCGATTGACCACTAGTTTTGTTGTCGGTAAGGCAAGACTCGTGTCGCTACGCGGGTTTTCCCACCCTGGGGCAGTGATGGGACCCCGGGGTCCCGCCAATTGCTTCAATTCAACAAAGGTTTTTTTTTTTTATATAAGTACAGATGTGTCTAATGTTAAATGTGATCTTCAACATTTCTCCAATTAAAAGCACTCAGCAATCTTTGCAGCAATTCAACAAAGGGATTGTCCACAGATGGTAACATTTGAACGTGCAGTAATTATATCAGCCAACGAGATATCACCTTCCTCATCCACCCCCTGCCATGGGTGGTGCACCGGGTCCGCTACCATGGTTTATCCTGCCCATCCGTCTCTGGGGACCTCCTGGTGGGGGCCTGCAATACAAAACAATTACGTCAGAGTTATCAGTGATAACATAAGGAGACAGTTTGCCGACGGCGACAGGATGTTGTGCCTTTTTTACTCAAGTGGTGCTAGCAAACAAGACTCAAGGTAATATCTTGATAGTGTGGATGTGTACAATACTTAAAAAAAATCAACTAGGCTGTTCTGTGCAAGTTGCTGTATTCTAGTCTACAAAAAAACACTCATCTTTGTGCTTATAAAATGTCAAAAAAATTTTAACACGTGAAACACGTTTAAATATAAATTGTTCACAAAACCTGCTTAAGTGTAATAAACCTTGCTCGACACTTTTAATAGGCTATATCATATCCTTCGTTCTTTCGGTAAAGTCACGTAGAAGGAAAACAATAGAATAATAAAAATAATACAAATATAAAACAATAAAAATCCACCAATTATCAGCTAGACCTGTGCTTCCAGGTGCATTGATTAATAAAGCGAAAATGCGATTATTGCTGTGCCTAAACATTTAATATGCATGCAATCAAGCAAGGACACATCACTATTTTCATTTACAACTAGACACCCCCAAAAAGGAATCCCCCCTAAACTTACCACACAGCTTGCCAATACAATTCTATTGCCATTTTCTATGTATGAGGCACCTTGAATCAAGGAGCTTAAAGGAGGGCGACTGCTTCACGTACAGGGAAGGTTCTTTTCCAGTGGAGGGGTGCAAGGAGGACCGAAATCAGGATTGGGCCACAAAGAGGCGGAACAGAGACAGAGAAGATTGTAAACGAAGAGGGCGAGGGAGTCGATCTAGATTTGAAGCTTTCGTGACTGCAGGAATCCATACTCTTTGGTTCTTTCTGTGAAGTCACGTAGGTAGCAAAATAATAGATCACGACGTTTCGATAGCAACACAAGCCATCGTCCTCAGGTGAAACAATACAGGATGAGGGAGGACACAAAGAAATGAGAGAGGCAAGGTGAGGTGGGGAAAGGTCACGGAGAAATGTAAAGATTGGCGTCGGGTATCTGAAAAGACAGCGGTAGTAAACGGGGTGCCAGTGACGTTGAGAGAGAAGAGAAGTGTGAGCGTTAAAGCGGAGGTGGAAAACAACCCGTGCCAAAACATTTTGAATGTATTAGAGAGGAGTGAGAGCATAGGTAGGGAGACCAAGAAGAAGATAATTACAGTAATCCAGATGGGTAAAGATCAGACCCCTGCACCATATCCAAATAGTTTTTGGGAAATATTTGAAAAAACTACTTTAAAAAGCATCTGTGTTGTTTATGGTGTGGGCTAGGCTTTGGAATATCCATCACTCACTGGTTTGGAATCCAATTGTGGGACACACTACTTGAAACTGACATGGTGGCCCCTTTAAACCTATTTGCCTACATATGGGTAAATTTTCCATGAGAATCAGAAACCATAGAGTTGTGTGGCACATATGAAAATAATGAAGATAAAAAATATATACTTTTAAGGCCTTACAGATACATAATCCCAACTTTATGAATAATGCTATTTGGTTCTTTCGGTAAAGTTACGTAGGTATAAAATAAAATAATCATTAGCATTCCCAAAAGTCTCAAGGTATGGCTTGAGCTGACGGACGGCCAATAATATGAACTCGGGGTTAACCTTACTGATCCTGTGTCAGGGGACCCCAAACAGACCACCAACAACATATTTACGGAGAAATGATTGCACATTGTTTCAAGACTTAATGTGTGCATTCCTGTGCATGCCAATTCATCGCAGAGTTACTTAAACTCACCCTCTCCCATCCTGCGATGGAGTGTAGTTTGATGTGTATCCACGACCTCTTCTTGTCAAATCTGGTTGGAACATTGTCTGAAAGCTGTGTAAAAAGGATGAATATAGATTGATAAAATAATTTGCATGCTGTTTCAACACCAAATAGTCATGAGGTATTTTGCAGTATGCTCCAAGCAATTTAATCGAATATACTTCTCAATTCACTCAAGTCAAAGATCAACCTATGCTGAAAACCATCCTGATTTTTAAAACATCACAGCACTCATTACACCACAGACGATGTGGTGTATAATGGACAGCATACTGAACTTTAAATCCACCAATTTTCAACAACGCATGGCATATATTAAAGTTGTTTTCTTTAGAACACCATAAACGAAAAATGTTTCGCGTTACCATACTGCATTGCGCATTATTCCAAACTTTCTCTTGCAAAAATGAATGTCCATCAAAAGTGCCGTGCAAATACTGGGGTATGAATATGTAATCGCACATCTCAGAGATGCACTACTTGTTGTCACTCACAAAAGCCCTACGAAGTTCACGACGCTCCAAAACAGTTCTGGTATCGCCGACAGCCGCCACAACGACTGCTGCCGACTCTCCATTACGCGTCCTAAGAGAGACAGGGAACAAAGTCTGACAACAATGAGCCGAGCACAACGCACTATTCTGTTAAGAGAGCAATTAACTGATGCGTATTACCACGGTTTTTTTTTTAAATATCATTTAGTCTCATAGTGAAGTCAGAAGGCTATTTAGCGAAACATTGGTTGAGAAAAATAATGACATGGACAAAAACGGATAAGGTATTAATAATTATCACAGAAGAAATAACAGTAAAGTCGTTGTGACAATGGATATATATAAAGCGGGCAGCAGTTTGGCTCAATAAACATAAGCAAACCAAAAGTCATGTACGTGTAAAGTAAATAAATGGTGAAAGGACGAAACTGGAAAACACAACAGAGTTATGTTTATGTACTGCAAACGGTAAGCAATAACCAATCCCGGATATGTAATGCACAGTATGTATGCTTACATTCCTCATTAGCATGGAGGAATGTGCACCTAACAAAGACAAATAACTGCAGTAACAATGTATAAAATTTTGTTAAAAAAGAAAATCACCGACTAAATTAGTGTTGTCAAATATTTAAGAAATAATGTGTGCTGGGACAATGTCTATGTTGATTGATTTAAAAAAAAACATTGTAAAAGAAAATCAACCACTTGTCATTGATTACTCCGGGCTCTTTCAAAAATATTAGCCGCCTCTACATCCTGAACGCTGACAAGGCCAACAGCATCAACAAATATACTTAGCAAACATTTGTTTTCATTAAAATTGGTCATTAACGAAAATAGAAAACTTAAACTTGCGCTAAAAGAGGTGTTCCTACTGGACATCTGTGGACAGATAAAAATAGCTCATCGGATTCCTCCAGTCGGATTCTCAAAATATTCTGAGGTGTTTTAGGATACGCTTGGACTTACATTGAGACATAAGGAGAGGAACATGCGCATCGGAGTCCATGAGGACATCGTTCTGTTAAGCTTTGACAAGAAGTGTTTTAGGATACGCTTGGACTTACATTGAGACATAAGGTGAGGAACACGCGCATCAGAGTCCATGAGGAGATCGTTCTGTTAGGTGAGCTTTGACAAAAAAGTGTTTTAGGATACGCTTGGACTTACATTGAGACATAAGGTAATGAATACACGCATCGGAGTCCATGAGGACATCGTTCTGTTAGGTGGGCTTTGACAAGAAGTGTTTTAGGATACGCTTGGACTTACATTGAGACATAAGGTGAGGAACACGCGCATCGGAGTCCATGAGGACATCGTTCTGTTAAGTGGGCTTTGACAAGAAGTGTTTTAGGATACGCTTGGACTTACATTGAGACATAAGGTGAGGAACACGCGCATCGGAGTCCATGAGGACATCGTTCTGTTAAGTGGGCTTTGACAAGAAGTGTTTTAGGATACGCTTGGACTTACATTGAGACATAAGGTGAGGAACACGCGCATCGGAGTCCATGAGGACATCGTTCTGTTAGGTGGGCTTTGGCAAGACGCGTCGCTTAGAAGGGTCTAAGGCCAATGGTCAAGAATGACAACGGAGTGGCAGCGAACGCATGGAACGCGACCGACCGGGCATCCTTAGAGAGGGAGCGATGAAATTGGCTCTTGTGAAGGTGCTTGCTGGATCATGACACAGCAGACGCGGCAAGAGGCTTGGCGATAACTTCAACTAACAGTGGAATGGCCTCATCTGCCGATGTAGATGATAACAAAGATTGATATTGAAGCACCCCCCACCCCCCCATCGCCGTCGAACCGGCAAACCAACAAGGCCTCGGGCCCCGGGTAAAGAAACAAGGCCAGACCGAGGCCTGAGTGACGCCACCAGGCCGCATCCGTGACAACTTCGGGGAGGGGGTGGTGGTGGTGTGAAACATAATCATTGTCCATAATCGAGGTTTTTAACGATCAAAGGAGCCAGCGCTCGCTCGCTCACGTACTTGCTGTGTGTGTGTGGGGATGAATCGAAACTCGGTGTGGCGAGAAAAAGCCGCAATGTTATGAATTTAAAGCGACACGCAGAGCGCCCACTCACCGTTGACCACGTACGCCATGATCGCGCGACGATGACGTCACCCGAGAGTTCGGAAGGCCACGTGACTCGGAATCAGATTCCTGTATATCGACTTGCAGGAGGAATCCGATGAGCTGTAAAGCTCTTTGTGTGACAGATGCTCTAGTAGGGGGCCACCGGGGCTCAGAACGTTCACAACAACAACAACAAACACAATACAAAAAAACACGATAGGAGTGCAAAGTATAAGAAATGTAAACAAATCACTTACAAATTTTGATTTAAAGCTTTCGTGATCGCAGGGATTCATATTCTTGGTTCTTTCGGTAAAGTCACGTAGAAAGGAAACAATAAAATAAAATAAATATAAAACAATTTATATTTTTATTATTTTCTACCTGACTTTACCGAAAGAACCAAGAATATAAATCACTTACAATAAGAAAATTGAATAAAACTAAAATATTTTTGTTTATCTTAGCAGGTAAATTCCACTGAAGTATTAACTTATTTTCAGAAGCGACCTGGCCACAAATAACAGCTCAACAAAGTGGTCATCCCAACTCGGACCCGCAAATCCATGCATTTTCTTTTAAACAAAAAATAAATCTATGGATTAATTTAATACAGCCTCTTTCATGCAAATAGCATCCAGACAAGCTAGAAGGTTGGTGAATCAGCGCCACCAAAACTCTACATATTGAGGTGCTTTCAGCCAATTTAGTGAGTGCTGTTCGGGGCCGTCCATAAATGACGTCACGCGATTTTGGACGATTTTTGACCCCTCCCCCCCTCTTCGTCACATGGCGTCACAAAAAGTCAGACCCCTCCTCAAATATGACGTCACAAAGCTCTGCCCCCCCCCCCCCCAAAAAAAGAAAACATGCTTAAAATCGCTTTAAAGTATTGTCATTTTAGTGTTGTAGTGCGTATTTAATGTGGCGCTGCACTCTGATGTTGTAGGAGAAAACATTTATTAAAAAGTATATTTAATTAAGTAGAACGTGTTGTCTATATTTATTTAAAGTTGCGCATTTTGATGTGACGCCACATTTCTCACCCCTCCCCCCTCGTCACACATCGTCACAAATGCCTAGGTGCGTGACGTCATTTATGGACGGCCCCTTCATCCTACAATGCGGTCTAGATGTCTTGTGTCCTGCAATTCATTGACCCTTAACATTTGTTTCCTTTCCATGTTAATTTCTGTCTTTAAATAAACTTTACTCTTAAAATAGAAAGTTTTAGATAAATTTCGATTTAAAGCTTTCGTGACTGCAATGATTCATCTTCTTTGGTTCTTTCGGTAAAGTCACGTAGAATGATAATAAAATAATAAATTGATAAAATAAAATAACACAATAATATTCTCACGACGTTTTGGCCACAACACAAGCAGCCTTCATCAGGTGAAGGGGGCGAGACTGTCTGGTAGGACTGTCTGGTAGGACAGCGTTGTCCTACCAGACAGTCTCGCCCCCTTCACCTGATGAAGGCCGCTTGTGTTGTGGCCGAAACGTCGTGAGAATATTATTGTGTTATTTTATTTTATCAATTTATTATTTTATTATCATTCTACGTGACTTTACCGAAAGAACCAAAGAAAAAGTTTTAGATACTTAATTGGGGGTCACAAGACATCTGGACCACCGTGTACAAGTGGGTTGGAAACACGAGTGCCAGGATACAACCCAAGCATCTTAGGGTCCCTAGGAGGCATGGTTCTGATGGCTGGCAGACGGGGGCATCTGAGTACGTAGCAGCCCGGTTGGCTGGCAAGGGCACGTGACAGGACAAGGTAAGGATGTGGGCCAAAGGTGACAGAAGGGACACGTAGTGCATGGCCCAGAATATTCTGGGAAGTTCCAGAAGGGGGCGTGGCCGAGGGCGGAGCTAGGCCACGCTGGGGGGGGGCATAAAAGAGAGGTCCCGAGGTCCCATCGGGGCTGTCTGCTGGAATGGAACCCGCCGTGCTGCGTCTTCTCCTCGGTCTTCAGTCTTCGTGTGCGACATCGTGGGTCAGGCAGTGTGCCGACTGACCTGACCTGTTAATGTAGTTATCCCGTTGTGGTCGTAAAATAAAGTGTTGCCTCCTGAGTTAAGTGTGTCTCTCAAGTGAACCCGCTACAAATGAATGAATGCTAAGGTCACGTCAAGTACACTTTATTTTTGCTTAAACACGTCGCCTTTCTGGCACAAATCTGCCACCCAAAGTACCATCACATTAAAATTCATGAACATAAAAATATAAAATTCAATATAGTGAGAGATAAAAAAAGACTCTTTGAGTTGTTTAAAATCTGAAAATAAAAGCAAGTTGTGGATGTGAGTTGTTTTTTGCAAGTGCAAAGAGACGTGTTATGAGTTGTGACTTATATGTATTTATGTTGAATTTATTTTACACTGTACGTAGCCAACCGTGCTAATCGGAAGTGAGGGGTAAGGACAACAAACTATACACAAAAGCAGTCCTAATGAAAATAGTTTTCAATCTAGATTTAAAAGTGCATTGCTTCAGTGGCTTCCAAACATCAGAAAGAAGAGTGTTCCGGACGGCCGAAAAAGCACATATAAAAGAGCGCTATGCGGTGACTGTTTTTGTCAAAAGCCGCTGTGAGGATGACCGGAGTTTTGCGCGATGATAGTTTATTCTCCTTGACGAGATCTTTGTAGTGATGAAATAAATTGCGCGCCATTGCCTTGGGAAGGTTGCTCCAGCGGTGAGTCCGTGAGTTAGTGCAGTAGCCAAGGCTGAATCATGGACCAGGCCAGTGGGGCCAGTGCCCCGGGGCCTCGGACTGCCAGGGGGCCTCCAAGCCTCAGGCCGCGCGCGGTGCGTGGCCCAAGACTTCGGAAGGAAGTTGAACACCAGGACCCTCAGTGCGCACAGCGCAAGCTGACCACGAGGCCCCTGGGTGCTTATAGCGTGAGCTCACCACTAGGGCCCCCCAGACCCCTCAGCGCTTACAATGTGAGAGCCCCCGGGCCCCTTGGTGTTTAAAATGTGAGCTCACTACTAGGGCCCCCAAAACCCTCGGTGTTTAAAACGTGAGCTGCACACTACTGCCCTCCAGACCCATTGGCGCTTACAATGTGAGGACCCCCAGACCCCTTGGTGTTTAAAACATAAGCTGACCACTAGGGCCCCTAGGCCCCTGGGGCTTAAAGCGTGATCTGACCACTAGGGCCCCCGGGCCCCTGGGTGCTTACAGTGTGAGTTGGCCACTAGGGCTCCCAGGCCCCTCGGTGCACACATCGATCGTAACACCTGGGCCCCTTGGTACATAAAGTGCATGCTGAGAACGAGAGCCTCTCGGAGAGAAAACTGCTTTTGTACAACTGAGCCACTGGTTAGCACGCTACAATATTGCTGTGGCATGATACAATATTCACCAACAAGTCAGTTCATGCTGCATAACAGGACAGTTTGAAGGGCGTCATATTATGGCAAGCCGTTCGTTATTTGACTTACCGTAGCTAGCTATCCCTTTATTTTATCTAGCTGCCCAGTTTCCCTAGCTAGCTGCCCATATGATTCAGCTTGTTAACAGAAATTAGTTAGCTAGCTGCCATTTTTGCCAGCTAGCTTCCCTTACAACCAAATTAGCTGCACTAAAACGCCAGCTAGTAGTTTTTTTTATTTCAAGCAACATAATTATCTCTGTGTCAGATAGGTATATAAGGCATTTCTTGGTAGGAAAAGCCACAGACAGATGCCTGTTTTCTTGCTTGATACGCCACAGTCATATATTAAGATACATTTTCATCTTTTTCTAAAACAACAGCCTTCTTAAAGGCTATTTCAGCAATCCCTCTTAAAGGCTATTTTCTCACAGCCTTTTTAAAGGGTTAGGGTTACTTTATTTTACGTGCTTTCTATTTTTATTTATTTTATCTACTCAAAGCTGCCTTTAGGTACAAGTAGACTATAAAATACTACCACTTGAATGTAATTTCCAACAACAGTATTTTAAGTGTGTTGCCATTATGAATATACATTAATTCAATTATTATTTAATAAGTATTGAGATATGTTATTAATATATTCATATAAATAGCATACTAGTTCTGAAATATGGACCACAAACGTTGGAATAGTGGTGCTTCCAAAAGGAAAGCCAAAAAATAAGAGGCAGGAGAGGTAATTTTGCTTCAAAGTGTTCCACTGATTGCCAACTGCTTTCAAAAACCCTTTGATAGTAATAATGATGACAGCAGGAGCACTATTGTCAGCTTTGAGGAAGGAGCTAGCACTAGTTCAGTTTCCAGTAATGTTGTCACTCCCCCAGAGCCATCCTTTGAAGGCGAACCCTCAACAGCTAATGGTATACAAGAACCATCATTTCCACATCAGGAGCAGTTGGGCAGATCACAAGAATCAAATCAGCAACCAAACCATTCCTGGTGCTATGAGGTCACTGACCCTGCATTATGGCAAAGCACTTACAGTGACATTGTTAAGTCAGTGCTTATTGAAAGAGGAGCAGTACCCTTCCAAAACCGCAGTAAAAATACCCAGCTTCAGTCCAAGATAGAGCGCTTGGTGGAAAGACTAGAAGTTTAAACAATTAACTTCTGAACTGTATATTGCCAAATGAGCAGAGGGTTTCTAGACAGTGGCTACTGTACTGTTTTGCATGCAAACTGTTCTCCAGCAAGCTCGGTGGCTTTAGTCAGGGGTTTAGTGACTGGAAGCACTCTGAAAGAATAGGGGAACACAAAAAGAGTGGAGAACACAGATCATACATGCTTGACTTGCACCAGCGGACAAAGGGCAGTGCTATAGATGCAGATCTCATGCAGCAACTTGATGGGGAACGTAAATACTGGAGGGACATTTTGAAAAGAGTTGTAGCAGTGATCAAGTTCTTGGGTGAAAGGGGACTTGCGTTTAGGGGAGATGATAAACGGTTTGGGTCAACCCATAACGGTAATTTCCTTGGCATCCTAGAATTGCTGATGGGTCAGAAAACTCGCCAAACAATAGCAGATGAGATTCGGGATGCCAAATATTTTTCAATAATTGTTGACTCCACCCGAGACTTGTCACATGTTGACCAATTCCGGTTTGTTAACAGCAGCGGGAATGTGGTGGAGCGATTCCTGGGCTATGAGCCAATTGAGAGCCATACTGGCAAGAGTTTAGCAGAGGGCCTTGGGTTGGACCTCTCAAACTGTAGAGGTCAGTCATATGACAATGCAAGCAACATGTCAGGAAAAAAATACAATGGGCTGCTGAAACAAAAAACCCTCTGATAGAGTATGTGTCTTGCGCAATGCATTAGCCCAGAGGCTGATGAGTTTTTTTTAATGTTGCAGTCATATTCTTGGTTCTTTCGGTAAAGTCACGTAGAAGGGAAACAATAAAATAATAAAAATATAAAACAATAAAATTCTCACGATGTTTCGACTGCAACACAAGCAATCATCATCAGGTGTGAAAACCACAGCAAGGAAATTTGAAAAAAGTGGCGGTTATTTTTAACGTTAGCACCACGGAGAGCGATTTGACAGTTTGTTTTATTGTTTCCCTTCTAAGAGACTTTACCGAAAGAACCAAGAATATGAATCCCTGCACTCACGAAAGCTTTAAATAAAAAATGTTGCAGTCACTTTACACATTTTGCTCTTCATCCACACACAGATGGGGGAAAGTCTTTCAGAAAAGCGATGTCAGACTGGCATTAAAATCGTTGTCCAGTACTCGATGGAGTGCTCGGGCAGAGTCAACCAAGGCACTGTGGAGAAATTACTCCCACATTAGAGAGGCCTTCAGTGGTATGTGCAATGATGATAATGAGAAAAGAGATACTCGAATTGAGACCGCCAGACTATGTGCTAAATTGGACACCTTAGAGATGCAGTTCATGGCACATTTCTGGGACGTCATACTTGACCGGTTCCACGCTACAAGCATGCACCTACAGAAAAGTGACATTGACATCTCTGTAGCAGCACAGCTTTTGTCTTCGTTGAGGGATTTTGTGGCAGGACAGCGAGACCAGTTAGAGGCTTTTGAAAAGGCAGCCTCAAATATGACAGGTGTCTCTCAGTCATATAAGCACGATCTTCAGCAAAATAGGAAACACAAAACATTTGCAGATGAGAGCTCAGAGCCAGGTGTGACACTTGAAGGGAGGGAGAAGTTCAAAATAGAAACATTTTATGTGGTCATTGATAGGCTCGTGGCATGCCTTGAACATTGCTTGGACGCTTACAAGCGTTTGACCATTCTCTTTGGAGTTCTGTTATGTCAGATCAGGTGTCTAACAGTGATGTCAAAGTGGAAAAGGTAAATGCACTCTCTGCTGCATATCCATCAGACCTGGACATGAACTTTGCCAATGAACTCATTAAATTCAAGTCTTTCATGTCTGACTCTGAGGGTGAGAAGTGCCCAACTAAATTGCTTGAGACGTTGCAGGCACTTAATCTGCAGTCAGTGTCCCACAATGTTTTCGTGGCACTTCGGATTTATTTAACTTTTCCAGTGACAAACTGCCAGGGCGAGAGGACATTTTCCACTCACCCTGGCAGAATAAAAAATGAGCTGCGAAGTAGCATGTTGCCAAACACGTCTCAGCTCATTGTCACTCAGACACCAATACCAGGGGGGGGGGGGGGGGGGGGGGCTCCAAAAGACACGTGACCAGGGGCCTCACGGGACCATGATCCGGCCCTCCCAGTAGCATAAAACATATTTTTACTCCCCACCCCCCACCTCCCCCGATGTTTAAAAAATATCGAATGTTCCAACCGGCGCGATTTTCCCACGTAAATGAGACAAAAGTCTCTCTTCCACCCAATTCCCTGTGTTGTCTATCCTACCCCCCCCTCCCCCATCATCAACCAAGACGCGTCGAGGATACTCGGTCCTGGCGGATATTCGCGTGGCGCTGTTTTTTTTTTATCATCGCGCAACGTTTTTGCAGCGTGCCCTTTGTTCTTGTGTACAGCAAAAATCTAATAAAAATATTTAAAAAAAACTAAACAAGCAGGCGGTGAAATTAAAAACACATTTCCAGGGCCCTCGTACAAGTCAATATTGTGACAGCATTCGTTTGTACAGTCACACGTACTCCACATTGGAAGCTGTGTTTAATGAGAAACATAAAGTACACGTCCAAAGATCACAGATAGTTGAACACGCAGGCTTTCGCGACCAATATCATCCCTAACAGAGGTTTATTTTTGGGTTAGATCGCGTAAATATATAAATGTGTCGTTAAAACCCGCCACCACCCGACACAGCCAACTAGTAAGGGTTGTCACGTAAACAGAACGTGGCCAATTCGTCACTAGTACAGCACTAACCGGTTGTGTGTTGGAGAGCCAAGCCACAACATTTACAATCTGAGTATGACGTTTCGCCAGTAATTACAACTAGCTTCATCAGGCGACAGCCAGATTTGCAATGAATCTCGATACATTGAGCCAGCACTTAATTCGGAACAGTCCAAGAACCTTGTTCCAGGATTATTTTTTGACACACTACATCCATCTTGCCTTATTTTGTCCTTGTAATTGTTATAATAATAGAGTTTTCCCCTCGTAATTGTTATCAACATCTTTATAGGAGTATAAGATATATGGTAGAATAATACAGGACTGTTTAGGGTTATTATGAATTCGCTGCTATAATAGTGACAGTGGTAGTACCAGCCCACTCCAAGCCAAGCTTAGCAGCGTTTCACAAATTGAACGATAAATTAAGCCCCGTATTTGTCCCACCTGAAAATAAATAAATATTGTGCCACATAACATTTCTGTAGCTCCGCAAACACAACTACTATATATGTTTTGCCTTGTGTTTACAAAATAAACAATTCCAAGTCATTCACGACAGTAATACCTAGGTATATACTTTATATATACAGAGACACAAAATAGATCAAACACTTTGAGGAAAATAGCATCGGCTACTTCTACATATCAATTATGTAACACAATTAAACGTTTATTTTGCAATCACTGGCAGAGATGCCATCACCACTCGCTACATATTGTGAAAGATCATAACAATCTCACAAGCACATGACTATGAAACACTGATTATTAAGTGATCTCAAGCGAAATGAAAAATTTCCCACAACATGCACAAGGCTTGCTCATGAAATGTCCTAAACTGCACAAGAAGGGGTCGTGATAGATGCGTTCGGAGGTGTTCATATTACAGTAGAAATGTCGACGAAAAAAACACACAACTGTTATTTTTCAACATCACCGAGAAAAGTTTTCTTTCTGGCAAAAATCCAAAGCCAATCGCCAAAAAATCTAGACGTCACAAAGACACAATCTCCAATTAGGACGGTTGGCTACGTACGATGCAAAAGAAGTTCAACATGCAAACATCGAATATAAACCATATGATAGTGGCAGTACTTTACAATACTTAGTCTATGGGGAGGAGTGGTGGCGCAGTGATTAGCGCACCGTGCTATGAACCCGCCAAACTGAGTTTGTATCCCTGCCCCTTCATCAGTGGCGAGTGATATCTGAACCCGCCCTGGGTTCCTCCCTCTTCATCAACCCACACTCACAAACACCAAAGGGAGAATATCAGCGGTCACAAGGAGTCATGACTGAGTGAGTTTGGGGGGAGGCATTAATCCGGCAATGGATTGATAAAGAGCAGTGTATATACACTCTGATTCACTCGGTAAAGTCACGTCGATATAAAACAATAATAGAATAATGTTTTATTTTATTCTATCTACGTGACTTTACTGAAAGAACCAGAGGGTATGGATTCCTGCAGTCACGAAAGCTTCAAATCAAGCAGTGTATATCTGAATCTCAGTGTATGCGGGTGTGTTGTTAACGTTAAACCTTGGCTTAAAAGATTTCTTCATCCATTCCGAGTGATCCCGGTGACTTTAAGCGGGCTGTAGCCTCTGCATCGTGTTCTCTTCGGGTTTTATTCTGCTGCTTTGGTTACGATGGTCACAAAATATGCGTGAGATGTGCTCCCGGAACTGAAGCACACAAGAACACAAACACACCCACGTCAATGCTAATAAGGCAGCACTTTAACTAATCATCAATATAACCATTTAAATAAGCTAATCAGCCGCTTATTGTCTGGATTTTAAGATTATTCGGTGAGTCAGATGCACCCCCAAACGTTGGGTAAAAGCAAATATAAATTGAACTTCTATGCCGTCTCTCCTTATATTTATCTAGACCATTGGCCTTTTGACTTTCCAGAACAATATTTCCAAGCAGCAACCTTCTGAGTCTCTTAAGCAGTCAGGCATGTAAAAAATATACAGCAAAAAAACAGGTGTTATCGGCAAGCTCACTCCATGTAAATTATGGGACCTGGTTAAAGGATAAAAAAGTCAACTGTACTCAAACTCATGATGCGTTGCTGTGGAGAATTGTGGGTAAAAGCAAATTTAAGAAAGATTCTATTCTGTCTACAAATATATAAAACGATATTGTACATTCCATTAGCTTCGGGGGTCATTTTGAAAAGCAATATTCTAGAAGATATGTAGTCCTGGGAAAATGAGAAAGGGAAATAATGGTGTGAAATAAAGAATGAGCATGGGGAAAAAAGTGTGTTTTATAATCGGGAGAATAGAGTTCAATGGAGAGCCATGTGTCAAATAATGATGAAGGCGCTGCTTTAAAATGGGTGGGGTCTTCTGGAAGATTATTCTGACCGATCAGGATAAAACATGTTCACGGGAAGATCATTAATTCTCAGGATTACAAGACAGACTCGCAACTTTTTCGATAAAACACAGGTCGCAAACATGCGTCATAGTTGAGACAATACGGTACTTGAAGGAAATATTATGGGGGTCCTCCCACGTCATAGACACATTCTTTCACATGAATTACAGAACCCCTAAACCAATCGCTTTCAGACATATTGGGCATCTTAGCAATATGACAGCGTAAGCAGATTTGTATCGTTATGGGCGACATTGACCACAAAATGCTTACAAGCAAGTTTTTTTTTTTAATTACAAACACGACAGCGCATAATTGGAGCATGCATGTTAAAACATCAGCGCATGAGTGTAGGTGCAGGCGCTTAAGATGTACATCCACTTGAATGGCCGTTGGCATTTTCTCAGCTCGCACATTTCTCTGTGCAGTGACAGACTAAAATATGAAGGCCCCTTCAGTGGAGTGGCTTGTCAGCGTGCCAATATGATTCGTCATCGCTACCTCCGCTGTTTGTGTAACATGTCATTGCAGTGTGCGCTAACAACGGCTCTTTTCGATAATTACATTTTCAAGTTACTACGTGGTTTACCTGTCTGTGCATGAAGATGTATATGATGGGGTTGTAAGCACCACTCGACTTGGCCAAGTAAACCGGAATAGAGGCGGTGACAGGGGATACCTGAATGGTTCACAAAAGACAATCGGAATTAGTAGGATCAGCATCTGATTCAAATTATTAGGCAATTTGTGAATACAATTTTTTCAACTTGCCAAACTTGGGCCATGATGATGGTACACACGGCTAATCTTTTTCGCGTAACGTCACATGACCTCTAACACCCGCTGTGCAACATACAGCTCGTATTTATTTGGTCAAGACACCCACAGTATTAACCAGGGTGGCCACTAGGCTCGTACCACAAACCTCTGCAACAAGAGCCAAACATTATTCTGCTCAGCCGTGTTACTGCCCTGGCAAATCCACTGCTGGATGATGGCCTCCTTATGCCATGTGGTTTGCAGTGGTTATTTTATCATATTTCACCACGAAGTCAGTGTGGGCATCTGACCCCGGGGTGTAAAGAGCAGGTAGCATAGAGCCACATTACAACTACACATTATTCTGCACTGTCCACCCCATACCTTAGCACTACAGCCGCTTATAGCAACCTAGCGTGCATTGTGGTCACCCATCTAAGCATTAGCCAGGCTCAAACCTGCTTACTATCGGAGATCTGACAAGTCCAGGCGCATTCTCACCAATTAGGGCATGTGAGCCCGCTAATACAGCAATCTATTTCATCGCTTGGGGTGGGTGCTGGACTGGAATGCGGCAAGTCAAATGTGAGGAAGAAAGCTGTTGAAGAAGAAAAAGTCCGCAAACCTTCAGGTCCGGCTTGATGACAACAGCAATGGCCAGTGCAGCGTAAGGCAGCCAGCAGAGGAAGAAGGCAAATACCATCACGACCACCATGATTCCGACCTTCCTCTCGGCTGTGTCATTGGCACTCAAGCCAAGCTTTGAGACCTGCGCATGGCCATCGACCAGCAATTATATAATCAGACACTGGGACATTGGCACAATGACATATCACACGCTGCGACATTGGCACAATGACATATCACACACTGGGGCATAGACACAATTATATAATTAGACAATGGGACATTGACACAATTATAAAATCAGACATTGGAACATTCACACTTGCCCGAAATGAAAATTGTGTTTTATTCGTGAAGATGTCAATCATCATTGTTTTGGTGTGTGCTTTCTTGATGAAAGCCACAAGTAAAATTGATTGTTTTATAATTTAAAAAAAACACGCTTATGTCAGTCTGTCATTTTATTTCAGGTAAGGCCCAATGAGCTAAGACGCTCTTTTGCAAACATGTAAACGCTTTCAGCTTTTCCACTAACGTAAAAAAACAACATTTGCATATTTGCATTATAAAGTATACCTTCATGCTCTAGTTCATGTCGCCAAACTCTGGGCAAACGATCAATTTGGCCGGTTTTCAGATGACGGACGGAGGCCAACGCATTCAACCTTACTTGAATCACTTTAACAAGCACAAACACAATGAACCCCCCCCATCCCCCCCAAAACAACGAATCACAACCGCCGGCCGAACGAGCGTCTGCGCGCATTGCATTGCGGGCACAACCTTGTGTATGGCGATCATCAGCTTGGTGTAGCAGAACAATATGATGATCATGGGCAGCGCGAAGCAGAAGATGAAGTACGTGGTCATGTAGCTGCGTCCCGACGGGCTGCTGTCGGCCCAGTCGGGCGCGCAGGACGTGCCCACGCCCTCGTAGTGGTAGCGTCCCCAGCCGAAGAGAGGCGGCGCGCTCCACGCGAGGGCCCAAGTCCACGAGATGGCCACTCCGCATAGGCCGTGCTGCGTGCCGAAGTGCACGCCGCCGAGCGGCTTGCAGACCACCACGTAGCGCTCCACGGCGAGCACGCAAACCGTGATGAGCGCCGTCATGCCTAGCCGGGGGGCGTGGGGACAGAACGCAACAACCGTGGTGTTGGTGGTGGTGGTGGCGGGGTGTTGGAGGGAGGGCCGTGAGGATACTCGCGGATACCTGTGCACGGTCACGCTCGCCGATCCCACGTGCGTACGCGCGTGCGCGTTGAACTTCTTTCGGAACCGTGGGTCGACAACCGTGCGAAATCGGAGGCGAGAATGATTATTGTTGTTGTTGTTGTTTTCATCGTCATCATCAGCCCGCGGGGTCAATCGAGCGCCGGGCGAAGGCTTCCCCGAGTCTCCGAACCTGCAATGTCAATAATCCGCCCCGCACCTGCACATGAACTGATTTCATCGCTCGATCTCCCAAGGGGGCCTTTGACTACGTTAGAGGGGAGAAATTGGACAGGGGGAGCCCCATGTCAACCCGTGCACCTGGGCCCGAGCTAACCAGTTTCCCGCAGGTACACATCAAACGGTTGCACAACGAAGCGCACACGCAAATGCCAGCTTCAACATTGTGCAAGCTGGCATTTTGAACAGAATTTCATAATTCATTATAGAGGTTTTATTTTGGGTGTGAGATCACGTAAATTTACGTGATCTCACACACAAAAAAAACCTCTAATATGGACTAGCTTTGTTTTCCCGCTCTAGGACGGAAGCTGTAATATATACGAAAACATTTTCCAGAGTATATGTGTAAATTTTATGGCAGTGAATCTTGCCCGAAAGTATATCATCAAACACTTCACTGCAGTTCACTGTAGTACTGTATTAATGGCAGTGATTCGTGCACAAAGTGAAGTAATAAAACACTTCACTTCATGTCACTGAGGCACTGTATATAAGTAACCTTCAATTTTGATTTAAAGCTTTCGTGACTGCAGTAATTCATATTCTTAGTTTTTTCGGTAAAGTCACGTTGAAGAGAAACAACAAAATAACAAAATATATATAAAACAATAAAAAATTCTCACGACGTTTCGACCATTATTCACCAAGGTCCCTGTACCTGACACCATTGCAATCATTGAAGACTTGGTTCATCAAGGACTAAACACTGAGGTACCCCCCCTGGTGAGACACTGTTTAACCAATACATACTTCACTTGGAATGGAACTTTCTACAAACAAACTGAGGGCACCCCAATGGGCTCCCCCCTCTCTCCAGTTATAGCTAACATTTTCATGGAGAAATTTGAGACTGACGCCATCCAGACTGCCACTCCTGCGCCCAACCTTATGGAAGAGGTACGTGGATGACACTTTTGTCATCTGGCCACATGGCCGGCCTGCTCTAGACCAATTCTTCGACCACATCAATTCCATACACCCAGCCATCAGATTTACCATGGAAGTCGAAATAGATGGCAAGATACCTTTTTTGGATGTCCTAATTAAAAAGAGACCTGATGGTTCAATGAGCCACTCTGTCTACAGGAAAGCTACCCATACGGATGCTTATCTGAAACCGGATTCCCACCACCATCCATCACAGAAGAATTCTCTCATCAAGACTCTGTATCATAGAGCCCAATGCATATCCGACCAGGAACACATAAGCAGTGAACTCAAGCACGTACACCAAGCTCTTAGGGCTAATGGTTACTCCGACTATACAATCCGCAAAGCTATCACTCAAACCATGAAGAAGAACCCCTCTTGAGGAGCCTTTCAAAACCATCACTTTACCCTACATTGCTGGGATCACAAAAAAGATCTCCAAAATCTTGAATAAACACAAGATCCAGGTCCGTTTCAACACATTACATAAAATCCGTGATCTGGTTCCGTCTGTAAAAGATGTGATTCCGGACATACAATAACCCTGGTGTCTACAAACTAAGTTGCCTCTGTGGTAGTAGTTACATTGGAGAAACCAAACGCCATGTCTCGGACCGCATTCGTGAACATAAAGCAGACCTTAAACACGGTAGGACCAACACCTCGGCCGTAGCAGATCATTGTTCTAATTCACATGCCATTGACTTTTCCAAGACGGAGGTTCTTTGTAAGCCATCTGGCTTCCATGAGAGATTCGTTCATGAGGCTATCCACATATACAAGCACAGAGACAATTTCAACCGAGAAGATGGATTCTATCTTAGCAATCATTGGAAAGAATTTGATAAACCATTTCAGTTCTTAATTGATTGTTCACGCTTACAGTGGCTTTCAGACAGCATACATTATAAAAAAATTCGTCTCCCCCCTCCTCTTTCAAAAAAAAAATAGATGGACTAGTCCTGGGCAAACTGCCAAATCGCTGCGCGTGACGCCAACGTTTTTTTTTATAAATAAATAAATGTGCCGTTTAAAAATAAATTTATGCAAACCAACACACCTGATGATGATCGTTTGAGTTATGGTCGAAACGTCGTGAGAATTTTTTATTGTTTTATATATATTTTGTTATTTTGTTGTTTCTCTTCAACGTGACTTTACCGAAAAAAACTAAGAATATAAACCTTCAATTTGTTCAAATTCACTGCTCTGATACTTTATTCTCTATTGCTTTCGGTCGCTGGGGTTGAAATAAATTGGAAATCGATACAATATCTGGAAAATCACCGATAAATAAATATTTCAGCCTAATGTAGAAGCATAAATTAGATTTACCGTGTGTCTCAAGTGCTAAAGAAATAAACAGGAGACACCAAATCCACTTTGTTGCTGCGTACAATTATGTATTAGATTCACTTTCAAAAAAAGAGACATCAAACTTAAAGCGAATTTGCGAAAATAAAAAAATTTCCGCTCGACCTTCTGCTGAGTGTAAAAAAAAATACACCGGCTCATGAATATTAATGACACCAAACAGACATTCTTGGCTCATTATAGTAGTACAGCAAAACCTTGGATTGCGAGTAACTTTGTTGCACACTCGAAATGAAGGACATGGGCAAGTGCTGCCAAATCGAGGGCAAGCACATTTATTGTGGTTAATCTGTAATCTTGTGAAGAACAGCACCGTCACTCTGTAAAATGCACCACACGTGTGTCACCACACACACAGCATTTATTCCGAGTCGCCTTTAATCATGTGGCGGGTTAACAAAGCGCGGTTAATCATTCACAGTTTTCTCTTTACACCAATTCTACTACTGATAAACCGTCTTTGTCTTTGACAATCACATTTGCACATCACTATTCGAATATTACTTTAATCCTAAGCTGTATGTCTATCTCTACCATCCACTTATCTCTCGTGTCTTACACCCATTATATGTACTGTATGTGTACAGTATACGTACTGTATATCACCATTGTACAGCTTGCTATTACATGTGCTCTATTCTCAATAGGATTGCAAGTAGTCATACTCTGGGTACATGGGCATGGTTATAGACTAAACAGTATTAGAGTTAAAGAATTACAATGACAGTAGGTAATTAGAGTGCATCATCCCTTTACAATGCACAGTGCTAAAACCCCTCTAAAACCCCTCTAACTGCATATATCTAAAATGCACCAACACGTGTGTCACACACACAGCATTTTTTCCGAGTCGCCATTAACCATGTGGCGGGTTTACAAGCGCGGTTAATCATTAACCCTGCCAGCCACCTACAGGCCCAACTCAGTCATCACATGCTGCTGTACACACGCGCACTAATGCACCGCACAGCACATCAGGACGTTCATAGAACCACACTTTTACTCCCTTGCTGCACAAGGATATAATTAAAAGAGTGGTCCCTTCCTAATGTGCCACAACTTGGTCTGCGAGTGTTTGGCAAGACGAGCAAAATGTTTAAATAATTATTAACTTGATAAACGAGCGAGGTCTTGCAATACGAGTAGTACGTATATACGCTTTGTCTGCCGAGCGTCACGTGATCACAACTGATATACGAGTGCTTTGATATACGAGTGCTTTGGATTACAAACACGTTTCCGGAACGAATTATGCTCGCAATCCAAGGTTTTACTGTAATTCAAAAAGTTTCCTAGTTCGTAAGATATTTCAACTTATTTTTCAGAAATTGGGTTTTTACTGTTATAAAAATTAGTTTTGTTGTACTGCATACTGCTCTGAAACCTCTTTGTCGTCTGTTGCACTTCATATATTATTTGTTATAACTTAAAAATATATAGCTCCTGAAATAATTGATTAATTGCTTTGTCCGCAGACAGGTTCAAGGTAACGAATCTCCCCTCCGTGTTCCTCGGTTTCCGCTGCTCACTTAAACCTGTCCATGCGTTTCATAATTTCTGACACATCACTGAGCATGTTGGTTATTTTCCTTTTAGTAATTATAGTTACATGGCAAACAGATTATTTTGTAATAAAAGTTGATGTTGCGTGGGCCCTAGCCAAGGCCGTAGCCATGGAGTGAACATTGGGGGGGACCAAATCTTAGCCAGTGGTCTGGGGGTCCAACCCAGAAAAAATATATAAATTTGAAAACTAATTTCCTGCCATTTCCTGCCTAAAATATAAATAAATTTCACTAACACATAGGATGGACTTTTTATTTATTTTTTACAATATTGTCTAATAGTGTATTTTTTTTTTATTTAAATCTTTCGTGACTGCAGGGATTCATATTATTTTATTGTTTCCCTTCTACGTGACTTTACCGAAAGAACCAATAATATAATAGTGTATTGTATTACATTGCTCTGTTTTAACTTTTTTACCATTTCTTGTTTCATTGTATGTAATGTTTGAGATTAGGGATTAATAAAGTACAACCATAACCACAATCATATAAACAGAAATCTATGCATTGATTTATATGAAGACAAGTCAGATATTGTGGCCAAGGTTTAGCAAATTGTTGTTTTTATTTACATAGCATAGCAATTATTATTACTTTTTATATTTTTATAGCAATGTATTGGGAGGGGACATTTTGAGCATATTTGAATATTAGGGGGGATGTGTCACCCCCAATACTGTGTATATTATAATTGCGGCCTTGGCGCTAGCATCTACTGTATGCACCTGTATGTTTTCTGACGTTATTGTTCACGATACACGCTGTGGTCAGGACACTTGGCCAGAAGG